GTGACCCTGGGCAGGAGGCTTGACCTCTCTGGGCTCCGATTCACCTGTGTGATGGTTAAAGATGAGTACGGTGTTCTTGCCTCTCTGGTTGTGAGGACTGGGGAAGAGGTGTCTAGGGTGCAGGGTTGTGAGCAGTGAGTGCACCGCTTGTGAGCAGTGAGTGTCCGCCGCAGCTTCTGCCTGTGTCAAGGCTCCTCTCGGTTTCTTTCTCCCCTTGGCTTTACTTGGTTCCTCCGGTGGCACCAGAGGCTCTGCACTACGACTCATTCCTGCTGAAAGATCAGAGCAAGAGGACTGGCATCTACCGAGCGCCTGCTGTGTGCCAGCCAGTGCCTTTGTCGTGACTGTCGAGCTGCCTTCGTGGGGTGGTCGTGAGAATCGTGTTCCCCAAGCACGAGTTCTGGGGAGGAGGGGCTGCTTTCTCTCCACGCCTTCTGTAGGCCTCAGGGAGGGACGGTAGCCCCGGCACCCCGCCTGGACTCGAACCAGCGCGGTGTGAATCTCCAGGTGCTTCTCTGCACCATGCTGGGCTGTGCCACGCTGTCTGTGACACACTCTGCCACACACTTTCCTTGTTCCTTTTTCTTCCTCTTTTTAGTAGAGAAAAAAATATTATCCAGATATATCCAGAACTCAGCCATAGGCTGGACCACATGACGCTGGTACCGCTGGCTTAACACTTCCCGCCTGTAACAATGGCGCCCTCACCCGCCTGTGTACCTCCTCGGTGTCCTCCCTGCCCCACGCCCCCCTGCTGGCAGCCTCCTGATTGGCATCCCTGCTTCTCCCCTGGCCACCAACGCCTCAGACTCCCAGCAGCAGTGGAGTGCTCCATCTGGGCGTTGGGTCCTCCGTCTCCCGGCCCCTGCTGTGCTCAGTGAAGAGAAGAGAGATTTTTTTTCTTCGACAAAGGGTACTTAGTATCCCTGCCGCTTGTGGGAATACTGAGGGGTAAATTAGGCAAAACTGCAGGAAATCTGACCGCAGGAGTTGTAACAGGTTCTTGGACTTGGGCAGCTGCTCTCCCCAGAGCGGAAGCGTGCTTCCTCCTCCCCACTTGGGACAGTGCTGCTGTCCACTGTCACTGTGCCCTGTGCCGCTGCTGCCGTAGCTGCACCAGCCCTTGCTCATTTCCCATTTTTTTAAAAAGGTTTATAGTTATTCACCTGAAAGTCGGAAAGAGAAACACAGTTCTCCCATCTGCTGGTTCACTCCCCAGATGGCCGCAACAGCCAAGGCTGGGCCAGGCCAAAGCCAGGAGGTTCATCCCATATGGGAGGCAGAGGCCCAAACATTCAAGCCCTCTTCCACGGCTTTTCCCAGGCCATTAGCAAGGAGCTGGATTAGAAGTAGAGCAGCTGGGGGCCAGCGCCGGCATCCCATGTGGGCACCGGATTCTAGCCCTGGTTGCTCCTCTTCCAGTCCAGCTCTCTGCTGTGGCCCGGGAGGGCAGTGGAGGATGGCCCAAGTGCTTGGGCCCCCTGCACCTGGCTCCTGGCTTTGGATCAGCGCAGCGCCGGCCATGGAGGCCATTTGGGGAGTGAACCAATGGAAGGAGGACCTTTCTCTCTGTCCCTCTCTCTCACTGTCTATAACTCTGCCTGCCAAAAAAAAAAAAAAAAAAAGTAGAGCAGCCGGGACATGGACCAGTGCCCACATGGAAAGCCTGCGTTGTAGGCAGCAGCTTTACTCACCACGCCAGAATGCCAGCCCCCTTCATTCCCTTTTGAAAATCAGCGTGCACCTTCACTGTGGTCAGGATGCAGCAGGCCGTGCAAGGGCCGGGAGATTCCAGAGCTGTCCCAGCTGGGTGGGGCTCATAGGGTAGTAAAACACCTGGGTTTTAACCTGTGGTTGCGGCATTCCTGGTTTGTATTAGTGATAGCAAAACCATATGTTTATATTGTTCTGCATTTGGAGTTCACAGAGTGAGTCTGTGTGTTTGAGAGTCAGAAATGCAGAAGTTACGAGCCCAGGGCACAGAGCCTGATTTTCCTAGCTGGGAACCTCTGTGGGTCTTGTCTCTTCATCTGTAAAAGTCACAGCAGAATGTGGCCCTGAACTCTGGGCCTCTGGCTTCCCAGCTGCTCTTTAGCTGAGCAGTGTTCAGCTTTTGTCTGTGTCGTGCTGATCATAGCCTTCGGGAGCCACCTGCCTGCAGCCCTGGAAGCTCTTGCGCCTGGTTCTTCTCCGTCCCTTAAAACAAAGGTTGCCAGGGCAGCCTTTACGTCAGTCTTCTTGAACCGTGGTATTTTTAAATAGTTAGAGCTGCTTTGAATTGCAATCTGAGCTTTTACTTAAAGTCTGGATTTTTGATCTCTAGAAAAATCCGAACCACCGGGCTCAGGGTCTCTAGAGGTGCCAGTCAGTGGGGGCTGAGAGGCTGCTGCCCCTCCTGCCCTGTCTATTGGGTGGGGAGGGGGCTGCCCTGCCACTAATACCTCACACCTACCATGTTTCTCCTTGAGGCTGCCTGCCTTTTTTAAAGTTTTATTTTTTATTTTCATCTACTTGAAAGGCAGAGCAAGAGAGAGAGAGACTGACACACACATGTACACAGGCACACAATGCAGGGGTGAGAGGAGAGGGAGAGACAGAGCAAGAGATTGGGATTGAGATTTTCCATCTGTCTGTTTACTCCCCAAATGCCTGCAACAGCTAGAGCTGGGACCAGGCTGAAGCCTGCAGCTGAGAACTCCACCCAAGTCTCCCCTGGGGGTGGCAGGGGTCCCGGCGTTTGAACCATCATTTGCTGTCTCCCAGGATGCATTAGCAGGGAGCTGGATCTGAGGTGGAAGTGCCAGAAGCCTAACTGGCATTGCCAGATGGAACATGGGCATCCCAAGTGGCACCACAGCACCTGCCCCTCCGTGGGCCTTTGGGTGTGTAACCTCTGCCTTTGGTTTTGCTACCCACCGTGCTTCTGTGAGTAGCCGTCCTGGTGACTGGTTGGCTGATTGTGGTCGGTGGCATTCCAGATAGAGATGATGTTAGAGCTCAGAGGCTAGCAGGGACGCCCACAAAAGCTCACTGCTTCAGGTGCGTTAACACTTAAGCTGGTCCCCAGCACTGTGACCGTGATTGGAAGGAAAGTACGTCGTGGGGGCGGCACTGGCCAGTGTGGCGTGTCACAGGGGAACAAGTGATCTTGTCAGCCTGGCAGGTGTAGGCTTCTAGGGCTTGGTCATCAGCCTCGTGGGCTGAGGCTCCTTGGCGTTCCCCAGCTTTGTGGGCCTCTGCCAGGGAAGGGGAAGCCGCTGCTTGTCCCTGGAGGGCAGCATCTCTGCCACACAGTCCCCCGGACAGACCGGCTGTACTGCAGGCCTCTGGTCCAGGAGCGAGATGCGTGTGGGCACTTCTCTCCTGTTTGCTTATGCCTGTAATAAGACAGTGACACACCAGTGGGAAGTTAGACACTGCCACTGTTTACTTGACTTTCACATCCTCAAGTTCAGTCTAGAATAGAGTTGCCTCTCTTGAACCGTGTCCTGGGCTTGCCAGGGTAGCCTCTGGTTCTCAAGAGGCTGTCCTGAGGGAGGTGAGCTGCGTGCGTGGTGGTCAGGGCCCGTGTCCCTCCCCTGCCTGCTCTGGTAGCACCGGCACATTCAGCAGAGTGGGTGTGAGGGTTCTGTGTACAGACAGTGAGACCTGGTGTTCACCCCACAAAGCCGTGTTCCTCTGGAAGGAAGGCTGTCTCTGAGATGGCAGTTTCCGAATAGTGACACTTGATTCGCAGAGCTTTGCCTCTGTAGTTACTGTAACCTCCATGGTACAGATTTTTAAATTAATTGTAGCTCATCAGGATTACACATGCCTAACACCACTGAACTATACACATGTTTTATGATTAAGGTGGTAAATTTTATTACGTATACTTTACCACAGTAGGCTTGAAAAGTGCTGTATAAAGTCTACACGTTTATCATAGAGAATGTGAAAAAAATCAAAAAGTCATCATCCCAGCACTTAGTTTTCTTCACTGTTTTGTTCTGTTCATTCCCAGTCTTCTATGCACATTTTTGCACAGTGGAGGTGTCACCATTTCACAGGTTGAGTATCCCTTACCCGAGATGCTTGGAAACAAAAGTGTTTTGAATTTTGCATTTTTCCAGGTTTTGGAATACCTGCCTATACATAATGAGATATCTTGGGTATGGGACCCAAGTCTAAGCATGAAATTGATTTGTGTTTCGTATATGCCTTACACTCGTAGGCTGATGATGGTTTTATACAGTAATAGCGTTTTCTGTTTGTAGCACACCTGTGTCAGGACAGCGCTTTGAAGTCACTTGTGGCATTTGTCCCTTGCAGCATCATGCCAGCACTTTGAAAGTGTCGGGTTTCGGAGCATTTCAGAGTTTGGATTTTTGAATTGGGTTGCTCAGCCTGTGCCATGAGATTGTGGGACAGGGGCTGCAGAACCCAGGCGCCCAGGTTTGGTTCTGTGCCCTGGTTCCTGCCGTGGAACAGTGGGAAGGCTGCCTGACCTTCTGTGCCTTGGGTTCCCTGTGGAAATTACTGGTTCTCATCAAGGGCAGTTTTGCTCCAGGGACGCCTGGCAGTGTCTGGAGACACTGTTTGGTTTCTGAGACTTTGGGAGGGTGAGGGAATCTACTGACATCCAGCGGGTAGAGGCCAGGGGTGCTGCTGAACCCCCACAACGCACAGAACAGCCTCACGACGGGGTCGCCCACCCCTCACGTCACTCAGCCGAAGCCAGGCAGCCCTGCTCGGTATGAGATGGAGATGGCAGCAGTGCCTCCCTGGTACGGCTGTTGTGTAGAGTGAATGAGAAAACATGTTTGCAGAGTAATGCCCCGCACGTGGCAGTTCCCAGTGCTAGGTGATGCTGCTGCTCTTACCATTTCTTTCGCGTCATGTCAGTATTTCTGTATTTAAATTTCTCGTCAACATTCTTTTTAATGACTTCCAAGTATCTTGTAGCAAAGTTTTAGTAAATGCTGCCTGCTCCTAACACGCTTTTCCTTCTTCCCTACCAGATGAAATTAAAGCGGAAATAGAGAAGCAGAGGTAAGCTACAGCGCTGTGTCCTTAAAGAAAGACTGCACCGGGAGTGGTGTCAGGGGACCCCTTTCTCTGGGCGTGTCCTGCTGTTCTGTTTCGTTTCTTTTTTTTTAAAGATTAATTTATTTGAGAGGCAGAGTTAGAAGCAGACACACACACACACACACACACACAGAGAGACATAGGAAGAGAGAGAGAGAGAGAGAGAGAGAGAGAGAGAGAGAGAGGGAGGTTTTCCATCCACTGGTTTACTCCCCAAATGGCCACAATGGCCTGAGTTGAACCAATCTAAGCCAGGAGCTGGGAACTTCTTTCTGGTTCCCCCACATGGGTGCAGGGGCCCAAGCACTTAGACCATCTTCTGCTGCTTTCCCTGGCCATAATAGAGAGCTGGTTCGGAAATGGAGCAGCCAGGACACGAACCAGTGCCTGTATGGGATGCTGGCGCCATAGGCAGAGGCGTAACTTACTATGCCACAGCGCCGTCCCCATCTGCTGTTTCTAACCCTGGGGCAGCGCATGCTCTCCTAACGCCGTACTGGGCACAGAGCAGGGTACAGTGTGTTTGAACCAGTGCTAGGTTAGCACTTTACTGCCGTAGCACTTGAAGGAGTGTTAGCCAGCTTTTCTTAGATAGAATACTTGAGAGGAGCTGCCTGGTAAAGAATCAGGTTTGTTTTGGCTCATAGTTGTGGGGGTTCACAGTCTAAGATCTGGTGGCCTCATTGGTCTGGCCTCTGACAGAGGTGGTGGGAGGCAGAACGCGTGTGGGGTGAGGGTCGCATGGAGAGACAGGAGCACTCTCTCCTCATGTACCCAGCCCTTTCATGAGAGCTGCCTTCAAGGATGCACCCCAGGGACCTAAAGACCTGTCTCTGGGCCTGTCTCCCAAATGCCATAACCATGTCAATCTCTACCCTCCATCTTTCAACCATTAACTAAAACGTTAACTGTGAATGTGAGACTTTGGGGTTTAAATGTCTGTGTGTTTGGCTCTCCAGGAGCCAAATCCTGGGTCAAGGTGAAGTAGAAGGGGTTGTCCCATCTCACTTGAGAGCTGTGCCGTCAGGAAGGGGTCATGACGTTTTAGAACTGAAGCTGTGGCACGGCTGGCGCCAGCCTTCAGCCCACTGAGCAGGGAACTCTCTGTGTGGCGCCCTCACGGCTTTCTCCAGCTTGGAGCCGTCTGGCCGGGAGGTGCGGTTTGCCTGCTGTTTAATTAAATGGTTGCCATTGGGAAGGTGAGTTAGAGTCGGGTGTAGGAAAAGCAGCCTCTTTTTTTCCTTTCCCTCCCTCAGCCCTCTCCTGCTTTTTCCTAGGCTCGGCGCTGCTGCACCACCAAAGGCTAACTTCATTGAAGCTGACAAGTATTTCCTTCCGTTCGAGCTGGCTTGCCAGTCCAAGTCCCCCCGGGTGGTCAGCACATCCCTCGACTGCTTGCAGGTACTGCGTTCAAACTTGGCGTAAAGGATTCTGTCCCAGCCCCAGGTGGCCTTCACGCAGAGCCATGCTGGTGACTGCCTGGCACTCAGAATGCACGCGGCGGCCATGGTGAGAGGAGCAGTTCAGCCAGCCCTTGGCTTGGTCTCCTGAGGCAGGGCGGAGCAGGGGCTAAGCTCCTTACTGAAACAAGAATTTGTTTCCCTGGTAATATCTTACTCATTGATCCACATATACATGTTTTTCTAAATGAAACTTTCAGCATTAATTGGAGTATTTGGTTTACATGGGCACAAAAAGCATTAGCTTTGTCTTTTAGAGATTGATTTATTTGAAAGGGAGAGCATCAGAGGGACAGGGAGAGGCAGAGAAAGATCCTCCGTCTACTGCTTCATTCACCAAGGGACTATAACAGCCAGGTCCGGGCCAGATCAAAGGCAGTCGCCTGCAACTCCACCCAGGGCTCCCACAACGGTGTCAGGGGCCCAAATACTGGGGCAGTAGATTTTTAATTAATTAATCAAAATTAAACAAAAAAAGCCTAGAGACAGAGCTCCCATCTGCTGGTTCACTCCCCAAATGGCCACAACAGCCTGGGCTAGGCTGGGGCTGCAGCCAGGAGCTGGGAACATAATCTAGGTTTCCCACATGGGTGGCAGGCACCCAGTTACTTGAGCCATCATCACTGCCTCCAAGGATTTCCATGAGTAGGAAGCTGGAGTGAGGAACCAGAGCTGGCAATTGAACCCAGATTCCCTGATGTGGGACATAGGCACCCTAATTGCTAGGCTGAATGCCTGCTCTTATGACTTGGGTCTCTTCATTCCTGGTCCAATATTTTTTTTCTCAAGACCTATTCCTGACATTTCTTTCTTCCTTCCTCCCCTGCCCCGCCCCGCCCCGCCCCTCCCCGCCCCTCCCCGCCCCTCCCCTCCCCTCCCCTTCCCTTCCCTTCCCTTCCCTTCCCTTCCCTTCCCTTCCCTTCCCTTCTTTCAAGATTTATTTATTTATTTGAAAGAGTTAGAAAGAGGAGAGGCAGAGAGAAAGAGAAGTCTTCCATCTGCTGGTTCACTCCCCAGTTGGTGGTAACGGCTGGAGCTGTGCTGATCTGGAGCCAGGAGCCAGGAGCTACTTCTAGTCCTCTCATGTGGGTGCAGGGGCCCAAGGACTTGGGCCATCCTCTACTGCTTTCCAAGGCCACAGCAGAGAGCTGTATCGGAATTGGAGCAGCCGGGACTCAAACCGGCACCCATATGGATGCCAGCACTGCAGGCGGCAACTTTACCCGCTACACCACGGCTCTGGCCCCGCTGAGATGTCTGATTACCTTAAAGGACCTTATTCTTGACCTCAGTGGGGAACTCATAACAGTGAGAAGAGTTCAGTAAATGTTAAAAATGTGTTGAAGAGAAGCACAGTTTGCCAGTGTTCTGCAGACCTGGCGTGGTGACTAGGTTCTCCATGACAGCGCTTAGGGGGCTCTGCTGGAAACGTGTCTGAACCCCTGTGGTCTTCAGAAGGAGCCTGGTGGCTGATGGGTGTGCCTGCCGAGGCACGCCTGCGAGGCGGCCGTCCCGTCTAGCACTGGCTCTCCCCTCTCTTCTTTGATACGTGTAGCTGACAGTTGAGGAGTTTTTTCACAGGAGCAGCTCTTCTAATTGAAAACCCATTTTCTCATTCAAGATAATTCCCTGCAGATTGTCCCACGTGAGACGTGCAGTGTGCCACCGTTCTTGAATGCTAGGAGCAAATCCTCCTCTCCTGAAATAGTTGTCGCTGTGAATGTCTTCTGAGGAAGTCTGGCCCAAGCTGAATTTGAGTTGTTTCCTCCCGTGTTGGGGTTGGTTTGGGAGCTGGGGCTGGGAACGCTGGCTGGCTGTTAGCCTGGGGTGAACCCTGTCCGGGTGTTTCCTCCACGTAACAGAGAGCTGCTTGCTTTCCTCCTCATTTTAGAGTTGAGGGAACTAAGCATAGACACTGGTCCAAAGTCCCACCGCCAAGAAGCATTGAAACGGGGTGGGGCTCAAGGACTTTCTCACCCGACATCTATATTCTTACTCAGTTCTAAATAGAGTTTGATTGGGACACAGCTGTCTTAGTCTGCTTGCGCTGCTAATGTAGAATACTGTGGACTGGGGGCTTAAACAGCAGACATTTATTTCTCACTTCTGCAGGCTGGGGAGTCCAGGAACAGAGTCCTCTTTGTGGCTTACTGACGGCTGCATTCCGCTGTGTCCTCACTTACCAGAGAGAGTGAGCGAGCGAGCGAGCGAGCTCTGGTCTCCCTTTATGGGACACTGATCCCATCCTGAGGACCCTGCCCTCATGACTTCATCTAGGCCTGATTGTCTCCCAGAGCCCTGATGTCATCACCTTGGGGCTAGAGCTTCAGCGTATGCATCCGGGGACACGTAGTCACCGAGTCTATGGCAGCAAATGGGCCGTTCACTTATGTGGTACCTGTGGCTGCTTCCTGCAGCCGCAGTGGAGTTGAGGAGTTGTGGTAGAGACCATGTCACTCCCAGCGCCCAAGTGTTAAGTCCCTGCTGTTATGGAAGGAAGTCAGCGGCCCCTGCTCTCAGCCGTGACCCGGCAGTTCAGGCCCCTTGCCTCACGAACCAGTCCTTAGCTGGAGCCGTGTGTGTGAGTGGGCTTCAGATGGAAACACTGGCGTCCTGCTTTTACGACAGCCTGCGGCGAGTCTTGGCTAATGGCCCAAGTTCTTATCTTTTTTAGAAGAAGTTCTGTGGAATTTAATAGGCACTCCAGGACTTCTTCATTGAGCATACAAAATACAAAGTATGTCCTTACGACATTAGGAAGTGATTCGGTGCTCCCTGGACTGTTGGAAAAGCTGCCCCTTGGTTGCTGCCCGGCTAAGCCTGATGGACTGGCTTTCCCAGAGCTGGTGAGGAAGCTTCTGTCTTGGAAATAGAGGGCCCGCATCTAGGGATAGAGCCCAGTTTTGCAAGAATTGAAGCCAGCCGCAGACGTGTGATGGTGCTCTGTCATTGCTTGAGCTTGGGGAAGAGATGCGGGCACAGTGCTTCAGTGGGGCTTGGTTTGCCCTGAACACCGTTGGCTCCGCTTCCTTTTCCCCACTGAGAGAAGCTGCAGCTCCCCTTGATCAGGGGAGCACAGGGCTGGCTCTGGCGTGAGGGTTCACATCTCCTTCTCTGAGCTAATAAGTGGTTTTCTTTTCTTTGTTTTTTTTTTCTTAACGATTTAGTTAATTGAACGGCAGAGTGACAGAGAGAAAGGGAGAGAAAGATCTTCCATCTGCTGATTCACTCCCCAAATGGACACAACAACCAAGGCTGGGCCAGGCCAGAGCCTGGAGCCTGGAGCTCCATCTGGGTCTCCCACGTGAGTGGCAGGGGCCCAAGCACTTGGGACATCCTCCACCGCCTTCCCAGCTAACGCTGCTTGCATTAGCAGGGAGCTAGATTGGAAGTGGAGCAGCCAGGATTCAAACCAGTGCTCCAATATGGGAAGCCGGCATTGCAGGCTGTGGCTTTACCCACTGTGTCACAACACTGGCTCCTAGTGAGTGGTTTTCAGATTTTTCAACACAGAATCAGTGATTTTAAAAAATTTCTTTGAGTATATCCTCCCAATATATTAATAATTTTCATTTAAAATTATATATATGTACCAGTGTTATTAAAGTACATACATTATAAAACACAAAAATAGAACTTTAAAAGAGCAAGATAGAAGATAGAAGTAACTCCAGTGTGTTCTTCCTGCTTCCCAGTGAAGGCTGGGGGAAGCCATTTGTCTGACCAGCCCTGTCCATACCACAGGCATCCACTGTAGTTATTACTAGGAAACTGGATTTTTAGCACACATTTAAAAGTTAATTTGTAATTATATGAGTTGTACATGACTGTGAGGGTTTTTTTGGTTTATCTGAAAGGCAGAGTTAAAAGAGAGAGAGATCGTCCATCTGCTGGTTCGTTCCCCAAATGGCCACAACGGCCGGGGCTGGGCCAGCGAAGCCAGGAGCCAGAAACTCCATCTGGGTCTCCCACGTGGGTGACTGGGGCCCAGATACTTGGGCTATCTTCTGTTGATGCCCCAGGTGCATTAGCAGGAAGCTGGTTTGAAAACGGGGCAGCTGGTACCTGAACCAGCTCTCATCGAGATGCCCGCGTCACGAGCTGTGGCTTAATCTGCGGTGCTGTAATGACAGGCCCTGGTAAAACTTTCTTTTTAGAGATTTATTTATTTATTTGAAAAGCAGAGCTACAGAGAGAAAGAGTTCTTCCATCTGCTGGCTCACTCCCCAAGTGGCCGCAGTGGCCAGAGCTAGGCCAACCCAAAGCCAGGAGCCCGGAGCTGCTTCCGGTCTCCCATGTGAGTGCAGGGGCCCATGCTTGGGCCCTCTTCTGCTGCTTTTCCCAGGTACATTAGCAGGGAGTTGGATTGGAAGTGGAGCAGCTGGGCCTTGAACCGGCGCCCATACAGGATGCCGGCGCTGCAGGCGGTAGCTTTACCTGCTGTCACAGCACTGGCCCCGTTAAAATGTTTTTAAAACTGCAAAGAACTACTTGAGCTACTGGCCCCAGACCCAGTCGCTGGTTTAGGTGTGTAATTTTATCTTTTCCCTTTTTAAAGACATAGTATCTCTGTGCAGCTTCCTTCTGACATTCAGCAGTGTTTCTAAGGTCGGCTGGATTGCCACGTGCAGACCCGGTACGTCCCTCTTGACTGGTGCGCCCTGGTCTACGTGACGGTGTCTTTTCCCTAGCCCTCTGAGAGGCACGTACACACGGAGTGCGGTGAGCAGGGCTGTACAACAGAGCTAGGAAGGCCTGTTGGAGTGCTGTGTTTCCTCATCTTCCTCTCCGTGCCAGAACACTCCTGCGTAATCCCCTGGGGTCACGCGTTAGTGGGCCAGCTGCCCACAGGCTCTGCCCTGTCCCCCACCCTCTCATTGCATCAGCAAAAAGACAGGCGGGAACGGGAAGCTGTGGGAGATGGGGATTGGAAGAGAGCCTGCAAACCTTACAAGTCCCTCAAGGATCCCTTAGGGGTTTCTGGCTTTATTGTGGCCTCCCACTCCCCACTCCTACCCCCACCCCCCACCCTGAGAAGAGAAACTATGAGAAGCAGAATCGTGTCCATGTCACTTGCCATTTTATCGCCAGCACCCAGGACGGTGCCTGGCACAGGGAAGGGTGAGCAAGCAGAGCCAGGAAGCCCCCCAGGGCACGGAGCTCTGCTGTCTTCCTGGCCCCCTCACCTCGGGTGGGAGGGAGATAGCCTGGGAGCCTGCTGCTCATGGAGCGGGTGTGCCCTTCGTGGGCCCTGCAGAGGAGCCGTCCTTTCTCATGCTTCACTTAAACTCCCAGCCGTTCGTCTCTGTCTTGGCCTTGTAGCTTCAATGTTGGAGCTTGCTTTTATTTTTCTTATGTTGTTTGTTTGAAAGGCAGAGAGACAGAGTGCTCCCCTCCTCTGGTTCACCCCCAAAATGTCCCAGCCACTAGAACTGGGCTGGGCCAAAGTCAGGAGCTGGAAACTCCTCCGGGTCTCCCATGGGGGTGACAGGGACCCAGTTACTGCCACCTTCCAGCATCTGCATTGGCAGCAAGCTGGGGTCAGGGGCCGGAAATGGGCTTTGAGGCCAGGCGCTCTGATGTGGGAGGCCCGCACCTCGCGCACAGTCTTAGTGCCCCCAGGAGCTTGCTTTCAGCATTCACATCTTAGAAGTTGGTTGAGCGTCCCTTGTAACCCAGCCTGAGTCCGTCAGGAGTGAGGGGAAGCAAGCAGCCGGGCTGCCTCTCTGAGAGCTGCATCCGCAGCAGCTGGGGGAGGGGTGGGGGAGGCACCTGGACTTGCTCCCCGTCTGGAGGTCCCCGGAGCTGGACGTGAGCTGCACGGTGTGCACACCTCGCTTCTGCTCTCAAGCGCTTGGTCAGCAGTATCATGTTTCTGCTCTCAGCCTCTCTGTCTTGATCTGTTTTTCTTTCTGCTTACTGAATGGCTGTGCTTTTGTAGCTAAGGATGGGGAAGAGTGTTGAGAAACTGCAGTGCCGGGCCTCTGCGGGGTGGCCGGTCGTCTTCCCACCGCAGCAGGAAGCCTCAGGAGCTCCGGTGTGCTGCTTACGGGCAGAGGCGAGAACGTCGCAGCCCGAGCTTCGCGAGATAGAGCACTGCCTGGCGCTTTGCTGGTGCTTGCCAGCCCGCCTGAAGCAGAGTGCCTTAAGCTCACGTGGCTTTCGGGCTGCCATCCACATGGCCCGGAGAGCCGGGAGCCAAACCCTGACTCCTGGGCTCTGCTGCTGGCGCTCTGCTTCAGCGGGTCTGGGTGGTGGTGCAGGAGTCTGTAATTGTGATGAACTCTCAGGTACTTCTGGAGCTGAGCTGCGCTTGGAAAACATCTTGACCTTTGAGGCTCCTTCCGCTCTCCTTTCTCCACGCTGAAATCCAGGTCGCAGGTGAGGTGGTGCAAGCAGCCACCTGACAGGTCACGGCTAAGCAGCCCTCCAGCCATGTGGGTGACGCAGTTTGAAACAGGGGTATGGAATGCAGTTATTATTTTTGGAATAGAAAATATACTGATATGACTCAACACTGAAAAAGAATGGAAAAAAAAAAAAAAGAAAAAGAATGAAGGGGCCAGTGCTATGGCATAGTGGGTAAAGCTGCTGCCTGCAGTGCCAGCATCCCATATGGGTGTGGGCACTGGTTCAAGACCTGGCTGCTTCTCTTCCAGTCCAGCTCTGCTACGGCCTGGGAAAGCAGTGGAGGATGGCCCAAGTCCTTGGTACCCTACACCCATGAGGGAGGCCTGAAAGAAGCTGGCTTCTGGCTTCGGATTGGCCCAGCTCCAGCCATTGCAGCCATCTGGGGAGTGGACCAGAGGATGGAAGACCTCTCTCTCCCTGCCTCTGCCTCTGCCTCTGCCTCTCTATAGCTCTGCCTTTCAAATAAATAAATATTTAAGAAAGAAAGAATGAAGGATGTGTATTGGCCCAGTGGTTAAGATGCTGATTGAGACCCCAGCATCCCATGTCGCAGTGCCTGGGTTCAGTTCCTGGGTCCAGCTGTCAATTTCAGCTTCTTGACTGACACACACCCTAGGAGGCAGCACGTGATCCTCGGGTGATGGGGTCTCCCGTGTGGGAGACCTGGATTGAGTTCCAGCTCCTGGTTTCAGCCAGATTCAGTCTTGACCTTTACTGGCATTTGGGGAGTGAACCAACAGATGGGAACATATCCCCCCCCCCCCCCCCGAACAAATTTTTTTTTTTAAAGTTTTTAAAACAGAATGAAGGCCGGCACCGCGGCTCACTAGGCTAATCCTCCGCCTTGCGGTGCCAGCACACCGGGTTCTAGTCCTGGTTGGGGCGCCGGATTCTGTCCCGGCTGCCCCTCTTCCAGGCCAGCTCTCTGCTATGGCCAGGAGGTGCAGTGGGGGATGGCCCAAGTGCTTGGGCCCTGCACCCCATGGGAGACTAGGATAAGTACCTGGCTCCTGCCAACGGATCAGCGCGGTACGCCAGCTGCAGCGTGCAGGCCGCAGCGGCCATTGGAGGGTGAACCAACGGCAAAGGAAGACCTTTCTCTCTGTCTCTCTCTCTCACTGTCCACTCTGCCTGTCAAAAAAAAAAAAAAACAAAAAAACAAAAAAACAAAAAAAACACAACAGAATGAAGACATGAACTTGCCATAAAGTTCCTGCCCACGCTGCTCAGTTCTCTCCTCGAGTAAAGCATGTTGTCATTAGTTTAAGTATTTGAATATTTACATTTAAAAAGTATACTTATGATATTTTCAAATTAGCATACATGTATTTTACTTGTAAAATTTACTTGAGAGGTGCGCAGTGTTTGTACCCACTCTGCTCCCGGGTACCATTGCAGAACGGCCAGGACCGGCCACGCCAGAGTCCGAAGCTGGGACCTCAGGGCAGGTCTCTTGTGTGGGTTGGTGGCAGGAGCCCACTCAGCTGAGCTGTCACCATTGTGTCCCAGGGTGTGCACTAGCAAGAAGCTAGAGTTAGGAATTGGAGCCAGGGTTTGAACCTAGGTACTGTGGTGTGGGATGTGGACATGTAACCTGGGTCTTAATCACTGGGCTCACTACTTGCCCAGTTCACCAGTACCTTAAGTAGATTCCATGATTTGTACAATAGTGACACTTGTGCAGCCATCGCTACAATCTAATTTTAGAGTAGTTTGTAATCACCGTGGAATGAAGCACTGAACACATTTCTGGTCACCATCCTTGTCCCTCTAACTACCTCCCCCTGGGCTCTGGACAATCCCTGGTCACTTTCTGTCTGGCATGGATGGTTTTTAATCCCTCATGCTTTTGCACAAACCATTGTCTACTGGCAGTGTTCTGGACCCTGCTTTTTTTTTATCAGACATTGCATTAGCATCACAGGGAGCTTTTGCCATCAGGAGACCGGACGGAAGGCGCTCCCACGGGCTGGCTGTGCCTGCCTGGCTCCCGAGAGCAGGGGCAGCTGTAGGAGCAGGAAGTTAAAGGCTGTGCTAACTGCCTTTCTGTTGCTTCTGTGGGCGGCCTCCACCCTGGCCAGGCAGAAACATCTCATCTGTGTTCTCTCTGTGTCTAGAAACTCATCGCATATGGGCACATCACCGGCAATGCCCCCGACAGCGGAGCCCCAGGGAAGCGGCTGATCGACAGGATCGTTGAAACCATTTGCAATTGTTTCCAGGGCCCTCAGACTGACGAAGGGGTTCAGTTACAAATAATTAAGGTATTTCTGCTTGTTCCCTTGGTCTGGCTTTTAAATTAGAAAGTCGGCCCCCTTTGGGAATGTAGAGTTCTGATTTACCATGTGTGCGTGTCCCAGGTGGCGCTGGGCTGGGACAGGACAAGTGAAGCCTCACTTAGATCTTTGGTTAAGTGTCAGAATTTATTAGTGTAGACGGAGACAAGAAGAATAGAACCAGGTGTGTTTTCAGAGTCAACAGTTCCACTAATAACAATGTCAATTGCCTGTGAATTAAATGGACTTGAAACCCTCTGGTTTCCCCCCTTGGAATTCTGGGTTCCCGGCCTGTCACTCACCAGGAGGTCTTCATGGATGCCCCCCATTCCACTTCCTTGTGCCCTGTTGCTGCAGGAATGGCTTGGCAAAGGATGGGACCATCTGCTTGTCAGCAGCAACAGGATGGGTGTGGCCTTGTTCTGAATATGTTAGCTCTATGAGGGATGACTCCATGTGTTAGCTGCACCTGTCTTTTTCCTTTGTTAAAATTTTTTATATTTTTTTATTTGAGAGAGAGAAATAAGCACAGAGAGATCTCATCTATTAGTTTCACCCCCCAAATGCCTTCAACAGAGGGGCCCGAGTCAGGAGTCAGGGAGCTCAGTCCAGGTCCCCCACGTGGGTGGCAGGGACCCAAGTACTTGAGCTGTCACCTGTGTCTCCCAGGGTGTGCATTAGCAGGAAGCCGCAGTCAGGAGCCAGACCTGAGGACCAGATTCAGAGGTTTTGATGTGTGTCAGCAGCTGCTGTTGTTACTTTGTTGCTGTTGTTGGGGGATGGTATTTATTTTTTAATTTTTCATGTCCTTGACAGGCAAAGTGATAGTGAAATAGAAAACAAGTGCACTCGTTAGAACTGGTCCACTTGCCCAGTGCACAGAAGGCCAATCGCGGGATGGTGGAAGAAAGCAGGCGTTTATTGCCATGCGCAGAGCAAGGAGCTGGGCAGCTGTTGCCTAATTCCCGGGCTCCCTGGGAGGTGGGGTGAAGCTTAGAGGCTGGAATTGGGATGAGAGGCCAGGTTCTTTTTTCTTTTTCTTTTTTTTTTTTAAGGAATTTTCATGGTGAACAGTGGGTTTTTGTCAGTCTGGGGTTTACATGAAGAGGGTTGGTACCTTCTGCCTGGACCTAGAATTCCCCCCGAGAAGAAAGCCCTGGAGACACCAGGTGTGGAAGCAAATAACCTCAGGGTCCAGGGACTGGGACCTGGTAGGGCCCATGTGCACTCCCTCAGTTTAGTGAGTTAGTCAAGTGGTTGATTTGCTATCAAAAAAGCAGAGCAAGGACATTTCCAGCTCAGGGAGCGAGGCTGGGAGACTGGGCCTGATGACGTTTAGTATCTATGTTCAAGGCACTATAAGGGGCTCAGTTTCCAGAGAGAGAGAGTTCTCCCATCCACTGGTTCATCTGGGCTGGCTCAAACTGAAGCTAGGAGCCACAGACTCCCTCTGGGTCTCTCGCGTAGTGGCAGGGGCCCAAGCCCTGGAACCATCGTCTGCTGTGGGATGCGAAGCTCTAACTGGCGTTCCTGCAGGGGATTCAGGCGCGGCAGGTGGTGGCCACAAGTCCTGACCCATGGCTGCCGACTCCTTAACCAGGAGCCCAAATGCCTGCCACAGCTGCGCCTTTCCTAAGCGCTCCCGAAGCCCCGCCAGGGCACTGGAAGGAGCAGCCGTAGCGTGTGCGTTCTCTGGTCGCTGTGGAAGCGATCGAGCTGCAGCCCGCTCCCTCCTGAGAGAAGCGTTCTTTCGTTGTAGGGTTTTCAGTAGTGTTAATATTTGGAAGCTTGGCTTTTTACAAAACGAGCCAGCGGGAAGCCTAATTCAACATCACTTACTTCAAATGATTTGGGTTTTGTGGAGTTTAGTAATTGTTTTTAAACACGGAGCGATAGGAAGTTGGCTGTTGGGACCAGTCCTCCAGTTTGGTTTGCAGGACAAAACCAAACCCCCCAGGAGAGTCTGGCTAGGGGAGGGGCGGAGGGAGGAGGGTGTTTATGGAGGTGAAGGTTTCTGGTTTCTGTTTTAGGCCCTTCTGACGGCAGTGACTTCCCCACACATCGAAATTCATGAGGGCACCATCCTGCAAACGGTGCGGACGTGCTACAATATCTATCTGGCCAGCAAAAATCTCATCAATCAAACCACCGCCAAGGCCACCCTTACCCAGATGCTGAACGTCATCTTCACCCGCATGGAAAACCAAGTGGTGAGTGGCGGCACTTCCGGCCGCCGGGGTCAGGACGCCGTCTCGGCCCTGAGCTCTGTGATGTGTGGCCCTGGTGCCCTGAGAAGATTTGCTAGCACTTCCGAGTTAACCCTTCTGCCTGCGCATTCTCGGTGCTGTGCTTTGTTCTTACTTTAAAAGCAGAGGCAGCATCAGGCATGTGTTTTAAGCATTTGTGTTTGGAATTTTCTTTGAGTTTCTCAAAGGAATTGCCTTCCTTTTTAAAATTTTATCCTTTGGTTGGAATTTTTTTAAACAATAGGCTGGCATGGTTTTTTTTTTCTTTGCCAAAGTGCTGGGACTATTTAGGTTGAATCCCTTCCTTGTTGCCTTTTAGTTGCAGGAGGCTAGAGAATTGGAAAAACCGATCCAGTCGAAACCCCAGTCCCCCGTGATCCAGGCTGCAGCAGGGTCCCCAAAGTTCAGTCGTTGGAAGCAGAATCAGGCACAAAGCAAACCGACTACTCCTGAAAGAGCAGACTTAACCAACGGTGAACACGCCAGGGGCGGTCCTGGGAGAGTGAGCTCGGAAAACGGAGACGCACCCAGAGACAGAGGCTCGTCACTCTCAGGTACTGGAGTCCGCGGTGAGAGCCACTGGGCCTATGGCTTGGGGACAAGTGAAGGAGGTGTCTGGTAACGTCTCAGGGAGGCCCGGGGGTGCTTGGCTGCTCCTGGGCTTTCCCCTTGTCCTCCCTTCTGCTTTTCTTACGGAGCACCAGCAGCAAGGCACGGCATCTGCTGTCCTGGGCTCTGCCCTGGGCGTCCACTAAGTGGTGCCTGGCGTGTATCTAGCCCTGTAATCTGTGGCGTGTAATCTGTGCCCTCAGGTTGGCCTCAGTGTCAGGGGCTCAGCTTGGGGCACTCGCTTTGGTCATCGGCCACACAGTGTCAGTCTTACCTGTGCACAGGAGGACGGGGTCTCGTCTATCAATTTTTTGTCCAGTACCTGACAGCTGGGAGCCACTCAGACATCTGTGGGGGAATCAGAAGGTGGGTGGGTAGGGAGACAGATGGTTTTGTTTTCTTCTTCTGGTGACCAAGTATATCACTATTTTTAAAGCAAAGAATGTCCCACACCCGATTATAGTTTTGAAGTACAAAGAAATTGTCTGAGATCGTGGGTGCTTTCATGACAGTGAGATTATTTCTGAATGTTTGCCCCTCTTCCTGAGCAATCTGTATAAACCAGATCTTAAATTCTTATTTTTCTGGAATTTGCACTTCCCGAGGTTCAATAATTTAATTAATTTAATTCTTTAAAAAAAAAATAGGTTTATTTATTTATTTAAAGGCAGAGTCAGAGGGCCAGATTGTAAGGGTGATAGGTAACCCTTCACTCACGCTGGTTGTCCGAGCTGCCATCATGGTTGTCCTTGTCGCTGCCTCGCTCACGTTCCTGCCGGCGACTCCTGTTCAGAGTCAATTCTGTGTGCGAGTGCACGCATCGGAGCAGCTTTTGCCCTGTTTGGCGTGCCTTGGAACAGACCGAGTGTAGTTAGAGGGAATGCTGTCTATATCTGTTTACTCCAGGACAGGACATAGAGAAAGCTGCCACCCAGGGACGCGTGTGTCTCTGAGCGGGCACAGGTGGCCCTGTGCTCACTCACCTGAATCACGTGTGCCTTGGCGAGAGCAAGAGAGGCAATGTGCTCACCCCACCAAGACGTGCCTGTGTCACAGGTGCAGGCGTTGTGGCCATGTGCTCGGTCCCATGAGAGTCGGGGCAAGTGGGTGGCGTGTCCTTGCTCCTGCTGGCTGCGTCCTCAGGAGGGTGTGCAGAAACTGCTGACCTGCTTGCTCATCTGCCCTCATCTTTGCCTGCGTGACTCCAGGGCAAGGACCAGGTTTTCACTGCAACCCTTATCAAGCTGTGGGCACCAATAAACATTAATATTTAAGCACACGGTAGTGGGCAAAGCTGTGCAGTTAGGAAAGCAAGTCTCTCTGAATTGCATGTAAGCGCTTCTGTTCTAGCCCATTTCCTGTACAGCAGCCAAAGTGATCTCTTAAAAGCATGAATTATGTCATGCTCCTCCCCTGCTCAAACCACTCTGGTGTTTCCCCATTCTGCCGCATTCAGAGTGAAACCCATAGCTTTCGAGACTCCTTTTTAAAGATTTATTTATTTGAGAGGCTGAGTTACAGAAAGAAAGGGAGAGACACAGAGAAAAGTCTTCCATGCACTGGTTCATCCCCCAAGTGGCCACAATGGCCTGAGCTGGGCCAATCTGAAGCCAGGAGCCAGGAGCTTCTTCCGGGTCTCCCAACAGGGTGCAGGGACCCAAGCACTTGGGCCATGCTCCTCTGCTTTGCCAGGCCATTAGTAGGGAGTAGTAGTTGTATGTTAAGCAGCTGGGACTCAAACCGGTGCTCATATTGGGATGCCAACGTTGCAGGCGGTGGCTTAACCTGCTGCACCACAATGCCAGCCCCACCTGTTGGTTATCAGTGCCCAGAATTACACAGGTAGTTTTGGTCCTGGTCTGAGCCCTGGGTTTTCCGGTTCATCCTGTATTCCTAGCGCCTGGAAGTGCATTTCCAGCAAGCAACACATTTTTTGAACAAATAGAGGGAAAAAACATGATCTCTAAGTATAGTTTTTTAGAAGCACAGTAACTTGAAGTTCCACACTAATAAAAGAATGATTTATAGTTGGTATATTGCTGTGAATTTTATTTCCAACACTTGATGCACCTCTGGAGGCTTATCCCTGACCATGCAAGAATCAAACTGCAAACCTGCAAACAGTGACTCTGAACGGCATGCCATTCCCTTTAGAGAAGAGTGGGTGGGACAGTGTCTGGCCTGACGGTTGTGTCCCGTGTGGGAGTGCCGGCGTCCCTGCCTGCCTCTGGCTCCCTGCTGTGGTGGGCCCAGGGAAGACAGTGGCGATGGCTTCAGTAGTTGGGGCCCTGCCACCAGGTGGAAGACGGCACTGAGTTCCTGGTTCTGGCTCCTGGCTTCGGCCTGGCCCTGCCCAGCTGTTGTGGGCATTTGGATAGTGAACCAGCAGACAGGAGCTCTCTGTCTCTCAGCCTCTCAAATATATAAATACAAAATAGATGGGGTGGTGCGGGCATCCCATGCGACTGCTGGTTCATTTCCTGGCTGCTCCACTTCCGATCCAGCTCTCTACTATGGCCTGGGAAAGCAGTAGAAGATGGCCCGGCCGGCGCCGCAGCTCACTTGGCTAATCCTCTGCCTGCGGTGCCGGCACACCAGGTTCTAGTCCCAGCTGGGGCGCCGGATTCTGTCCCGGTTGCCCCTCTTCCAGGCCAACTCTCTGCTGTGGCCCGGGAGTGCAGTGGAGGATGGCCCAAGTGCTTGGACCCTGCACCCGCATGGGAAACCAGGAGAAGCACCTGGCTCCTGCCTTCGGATCAGCGCGGTGCACCGGCCACGACGGCCATTGGGGGGTGAACCAACGGCAAAGGAAGACCTTTCTCTCTGTCTCTCTCTCTCTCACTGTCCACTCTGCCTGTCCAAAAAAAAAAAAAAAAAGGAAGATGGCCCAAGTGCTTGGGCCCCTGCACCTGTGAGGAAGACCTGAGGAAGCGCATGGCTCCTGGCTCCTGGCTTTGGATTGGCCCAGCAGTGGCCATTGTGGCCATTTGGGGAGTGAACCAGTGGATGAAAGACCTTTCTTTCTGTCTCTCCCTCTTGGTCTGTAGTTCTGCCTCTCAAATAAATAAATAGAATCTTAAAAAAAAGAAAAGGCTGGCGCCACGGCTCACTAGGCTAATCCTCCACCTGCGGCACCAGCACCCCGGGTTCTAGTCCCGGTTGGGGCACCGGATTCTGTCCCAGTGTCCCAGTTGCTCCTCTTCCAGTCCAGCTCTCTGCTGTGGCCCGGGATGGCCGTGGAGGATGGCCCAGGTCCTGCACCCGCATGGGAGACCAGGAGGAAGGACCTGGCTCCTGGCTCTGGATCAGTGCAGTGCGCTGGCCGCAACGCACCAGCCATAGTGGCCACTTGGGGGGTGAACCAACGGAAAAAGGAAGACCTTTCTCTCTGTCTCTCTCTCACTGTCTAACTCTGCCTGTCAAAAAAAAAAAAAAAAAAAAAAAAGAATGACAAGGAGCCACCTAGGCTTGGCTGTAACGGAAGAATGTATCCTTCAGAAGAGAGAGCAGCCCCGGAAGCCAAAGAGGAAGACAACCCAAGAGGCAGATGAGCGGTGCTGCCGGGGGCAGCCGTGCTCCAGCGCCTCTGTGCCCACACGTGCAGACTGCGTCCTGGAGAGAGCACCCTGTGGAGCCACCTGAGCTCACCAGACGCCCGCTGGGCCAGGTGCTCTGCTTGCTGACGCAGCACTTGACATCTGTTTTCCTGCTCAATTAAGTAGGCACCTCCCGCAGCCTCCCTTGGCAGTTTGTCGGTGGAAAGGACTCAGGACAGACAGGAGGGGCGTTTCTCTCCCTAGCGGGTTTTTTTGTGAGCTAAGGAGATGAGGTGTTTGAGCCTGAAGCATACTAGCTTGTGTCAACTTCGGGCACAGCCAGGCAGCCGTCGCTAGAGGACCCCACACGGTGAGCCCTTTGTACTCCCCTGGTCTCCCTGCTTCCTTATCTGTTTTTTGAAAAGCAGCTTTGCTGGGGTCTGGTTCCCTGCGCATGCTCCGCTGTCCCAGAGGTACAGTGCGCTGTGGCTGCACGCACGGGGTCAGCAGCACTCGCGTTTTGTCCCCCTCCAAACAAACTGCACCTCTGAGCAGTTACTTCCTCGTTTTCTTAAGAGTGACGTTTTGACTCCCAACGTTAGCCACTAGCATGTTTATGTGTATACAGGTAATATTGGGTATTGCCTGTGTTAATGGGTTTCTTAGCATAATTTTCCTTTTTGCATCTCATTCTTGAAAAGGAAACAACCCAATCCTTTAAGTTCTGTAAAACAGAATTTGTCTTCTCAGCCATTTCAGAACTCCTGACCACACAGCCTGCGTTCAGATCGTGACGAGATCTTTTAGCAGCTGTGTGATCTTAAGCAAAATGTTGGATGACGCTGAGTCTCAGTTTCCTTGTCTGTAAGAGAGGCACACAGCTAGTACTTACAGGCTTCTGAGAGCTACAGGACAGTGGCTGCTGCATAGGGCTGTATGTGTCCTTGTTTTTGTTTTTGTTTTAGATTTATTTTATTTATTTGAAAGGCAGAGTTACAGAGAGATCTTCTATCTACTGGTTCATTCCCCAAATGGCTGCAATATCTGAGACTGGGCCAGGTCAAAGCTAACAGCCAAGAGCTTTTTCTGGGTCTCCCACATGGGCGGCAGGGGCCCAAGCACTTGGGCCATCCTCCGCTGCTTTTCCAGGCAGGATTGGAAGTAGAACAGCTGGGACTTGAACTGGTGCCCGTATGGGATTCCAGCACTACAGGTGGTGGCTTTACACGCTATACCACAATGCCAGCCCCGTGTTGTTATTATTTTAAAAGTTAATTTCAGCTTGAAAATGAGTTGGTTCTTTACAAAATAGGATATGTTTCAGATGATAATCCGATGTGAATGCGGTAGAACTATATGGTAGGCTGAAGTGAGCCTGGCTGTTTTCCATGTTAGCGACACCAAATCCTCTGCTTCAGGAGTTTGATTATTTTGTTAACAGAAAGAGGAAGGAGAAGTTTCAGATTGAGACTTGTTAAAAATAACAAAATGCACTCCTCCTCCGGACTTGCTCCTGACAGTCTGCCTCGCAGGGAGTAAGGCGCAGTGGCTTTTCAGCTCATTGGTTCTCAGTGTTTTGATTCGCTGTGTAATGGATTGCATTTGGGGATAGCCTAATGTGTTTCTTCTCGACAGGGCAATGTTTTCTTGTCAAAGAGCCGTGTCAGTTCATGGCTTATATGTGACTACAAAAAGCTTCGCTCTCTTGTTTTTCCCTTTAGCATTCTTGTGTGTGACTGAGTGCTTTGGGCTTTGGACACAAGTAAACCTTTTACTGGGAGACAAGCATGTCACACCTTTTTGTCACCACCACGTGTTTACATCCGCCCCCTCTGCTCCAGATCTCTCTTCCCTCACTGTTAGTCCCTGGCCCTGTAGTGTATAGTAGGATTAACTCACTTATCATCCCAGCCAGGGTATTAGCACCCTGAAGATAAGGGTCTTTGTTTTAGACAGCCACGTGTTCCAAATCCTGGACAGTGCCAGACGCCCAGGCACTCAGTGTGTTGATTGGATTATGGGGGAGTGCTTCTCGCCCCTCATCTGCCCCATCTCCTGTGGTCCCTGCTCCACTGGACAGGCACCTGGGAAGGCCTTGTCTCAGGCTCCTGTTTTTCCAAATTACTCTTAGTTGTGTGACTTCCGTCCCAGGGCCACCTTTGCTTGTGTTCCAGGCAGGAAGGAGGAAGAGGGTGGGGTCCAAAGGAGTCCTGACAGCTCAGTCACTCCCTTTCCTAACGAGGCTTCTTCCTGGAAGCTGCAGCCATGCCAGGAGCTTACCTTATCCCTGATTAGCTGGAACTTGATCGTGTGACCCCTCTTTCTGCAAGGAGGGCTGGGAACTGTAGGCGCTGTACCTTCCAACAGGAAGTTAGTGACCCTCAAGTAGGGAGGAAAGCCCTGAGTTAGGTAACCGGGCAGCAGGGGCTTCTCTCTGGACCTGTTCTAGGTGACTGTCTTATGTTGCATGGAGACAGAATCCATGAAACTGGTTGGGTCTGGGGACCCTGCAGCAGGACCAGAGTTTTCTAAACGTGCTTGGCTGCGCCTTTCAAGTGTGTGCTGCGACTCGGCTGGCACTTGCACAGCTGCGTGGCACTCCGGCACAGCAGACGTGTCAGTGGTTCTGCAGCCTCTCCTGAGCCCTGCTCTGGCTGTAGTCTCAGGAGCAGCTGTCCAGGCTGTGGGCGGAGTCGGCTTCTGCCCCACTGGGATTTTTGGGGGCTGCAGCAGCTCCCTCCACAGGAGCCTTCCGTGAGAATCCAGGCTTTCTGGCCTGCCCCATCTCTTCCTGAGAATGTTTTGGTTGTGCACAGGTGCTGTTGTGGTTGCAGCCTGTGTCCTGAGAGCCTGTTAAGGAAAGTGAGGTGTACCTTGTGCTCCCTGCAGGAAACAGCGTCCTGATGCTGCGACGAGGGAAACCCCTGCTGAAGAAATTTTCTTATTCTCAGGATCAACAGAGAGTGGCAGTTTTGACTAACTGAAACTACTTTGTGTTGCTAGTTGGGAGATTTCATTATGGGCTTAGTAACCAGGGCCAGGCCATGACAGAAGTGAGCAGGCTTCTCTTAGGACCACCGCGCAGATGTCTTCACACAGGTGCGCACTGCACCACAGCCCCAGGAACCTCGGCCTGTAACGACTTACTCTTTCCAGGCACTGGCTTAAGTGTTTTCTCTGTGTGAGAGGACTTAAGAAAGCTATGGAAATGGAATATAAGCTTATTTGAGGGCCAGTGTTGTGGCATCATGGGTAAAGCTGCAGCCTACGATGCCAGCATCCCATTTGGGTACCGACTTTTCTCTCAGGTGCTCCACTTCCCATCCAGCTCCCTACTAATGGCCTGGGGAAAGTGACAGAGGATGGCCCAAGTGCTTGGGCCCCTGCCACCCACATGGGGAGCCTGGAAGAAGCTCTGGGATCCTGGCTCCTGGCTTCAGCCTGGTCCAGTCGCAGCCATAGCAGCCATCTGGGGAGAGAACCAGCAGATGCAAGTTCCATCTCCCTCTCCAACTGTGACTTCTGAAATAGTAGATAAATAATCTTAAAAAAAACAAAAAACAAAAAACAAAAAAAACAAACTTGTTTTGTCGCAGAAATTTTTGCAAGAGATCTTTGAAAAGGTCATGGAAGATGTGCTATGATAAAACTGCACAGATTTCAAAACTTCGTTAAAATAAGCATCTTTGGATTTCATCTTTCCAGTTTTAAAGGACCCTTGCACAAGAGCCTCGTGTGCCAGTGAGGGGCCTGAGGGCTGGGGAGGCAGAATCGCTCGGATCCCACACCAGGCAGTGGAGGCAGAATCACTCAGATCCCACACCAGGCAGTGGAGGCAGGGCCTGGAGACTCGGCCAGCGTGCTGATGACTGTGATGAGTTCACTTCCACAGGGAATGTTTCACTCTGAATTTTTTTTTTTTTTTTTTTTTTTTTTTTAAATTTAGGGCTGTCGCTGAGGTGTAGAGAGTAAAGCCACCTCCTGCAGTGCCGGCATCCCATATGGGCACCGGTCAAATCCCCGCTTCTCCACTTCCGATCCAGCTCTCTGCTATGGCCTGGGAAAGCCTCAGAAGATGGCCCAAGTCCTTGGGCTCCTGCCCCCAATGTGGGAGACCCAGAAGAAGCTCCTGGCTCCTGGCTTCAGATAGGTGTAGTTCCAACCATTGTGGCCATCTGGGGAGTGAACCAGCAGATGGAAGACCGACCTCTCTCTCTCTCTCTCTCTCTCTGCCTCTGCTTTTCAAATAAAATAAAGAAATATTCTTTTTTTTAAAAAAAGATTTATTTAATTTGAAAGACAGTTATAGGGAGAGGTGGAGAAAGGAGAGGTCTTCCATTGTTGGTTTGCTTCCCAAATGGCCACAAAAGCTGAGCTGAGCTGATCTGAAGCCAGGAGCTTCTTCTGGGTCTCCCATGCGGATGTAGGGGCCCAAGGACTTGGGCCATCCTCCACTGCTTTCCTAGACACATTAACAGGGAGCTGGATCAGAAGTGGAGCAGCCAGAACTTGAATCAGTGCCCATATGGGATGCCGGCCTTACAGGCTGGGGCTATAACCTGTTATGCCACAATACCAGCCCCTGATTTCTTTCTTTCTTTCTTTCTTTCTTTTTTTTTTTTTTTTAAAGATTTATTTTTGTTTACTTGAAAAGCAGAGTAAGAGAGAGATTGATTTTTCATCTGCTGGCTCACTCCCCAAATGGCTGGAGCAGCCAGGATTGGGCCAGACCAAAGCCAGGAGTCCAGAGCTTCCTCCGGGTCTCCCATGTCTGTGCGGGAACCCCAAGCGCCTGGGCCATCTTCCACTGCTTTCCCAGGAGCATTAGCAGGGAGCTGGATGGCAAGTAGAGCAGCCTGATCTCGAACCAGCTCCCAAATGGGATGCTGACACTGCAGGCAGCGGCTTACCCTGCAGCCATAGTGGCGGCCCCCTAAATCACCCTTTTAGATGAAGAAACGCGCTTAGGAGACTGTGACGGTAACTGAGGTGTTTTCCATTTTCCGTTCAAATCCGTTTGCCCTGTGAGAAAAGCACACGGCAGGGTGATCTCCCGCATAGTTTGCTTAGCCCTCGAGATCATTGCACTGTGCTAAGTGCTCACTGGAGACAAAGAATCCTAGAGCCCCTCCAAGACATTGTAGACGAGCGCTGCAGGACTGTGGCTTTAATGTTCTATTTAAGGCAGAGTTACAGGGCTGTGTTGCTTTATTTAAGGTGATCACTGTGATGTTTCATAAGTAGTTTTGCATCCAAAAGCCTAGTCAAGAGCTGTTTATACTGTTTTCCAGAACTGGTGTTACTACTGTTACTTTTTTAAAAGGATGTATTTATTTATTTGAAACGCAGGGTTACATAGAAAGAAGGAGAGACAGAGAGCGAGCCTCCATCCTTTGGTTCACTCCTCAAATGGCCACAATGGCCAGATCTGGGCTGGACCAAAGCCAGGAGCTTCTTCAGGATTACCCACATGAGTGACAGGGGCCCAAGTACTTGGGCCATCCCTTCATTGCTTTCCCAGGCCATCAGCAGGGAGCTGAATTGGAAGTGGAGCAACTGGGATGCAAACCCATGTCCATACGGGATGCTGGTGTTACAGTCAATGGTTAACCTGCTGAACCACAAAGCCGGCCCCCCAGAACCAGTAGTCCTCCAAAAAATAATGATAAGTGCTAGACTTCTTCTACTTCAGCAGTTAGCGTTTTAGAGAGTAATCTCATTGAAAATTTAGCACATCCCCAAATATCCTACAAGACACCCTGGGCTGAGTTCTGGGCTCACCCTGTGGGGAGTGAGGCAGTAGAGAGCACATTGCTTACCGTGGCGCCGTGGCTCCCAGGGCGAAGGCGCTTGAGGAGGCGCCATCTTCTGTTGGTGCCAGAAACCACAGCAGGAGAAAGAATATCCTGCTCCTCCCCCCAAGTTACGAATCGCAGGGCGGCCCTGGGCCAAGCAACTTGGGGAGAAAGCGAGTACAAATCAGAGGGCTCTCGTGGGCCCCCAAGGGCCCTTGAAAGCAGGGCAGGCGCTGCCTGAGGTTTTGCAGATGGTGAGGGTGTCGTCCACTGGCCGCCCGGGAGCAGGACCCCAGGGAACACTGCTGTAATCTCCTGCTTCCTTTCCTTGTCTTCCCTGGAAACGCCCCGTGTGTCCGCTACCGGCCTGTGTGTTCAGGGACTGACAGCGGAGCCCAGGAGGTGGTGAAAGACATCTTAGAAGACGTGGTCGCCTCAGCTGTCAAAGGTAAGAGCTGAGGACAGCCCAGCTGCTCCTCCTGCCTCATTCCTCAGAGCGGTCTTCAGCCAAATACGTCCCCTCTTCACTGCCCAGCAAACTTGGGGAAACTGAGGCTGCTCAGTCTGCCCGTCTTTCTCGAGGAGTTCAAAAGGAACTTGTGTTTTCTTGTCATCTGGGTTGAGTTTTGGGGATCATGGTCTGGGTGGTCCAAAGGAACAGAGGGCCACTTGTATGCCCATCCAGATTTTTCCCGGGCCCTGAGGTCCAGTCCACAGCTGGTGAATTTTTTTTTTTTTTTAATTTGAGAGTTAGAGACAGAGGGAGAAACAGAGAGAAAGGTCTTCCATCTGCAAGTTCACTCCAAATGGCCGCAACAGCTGGAGCTGAGTTGATCTGAAGCCAGGAGTCAGCAGCTTCTTCCAGATCTCCCACGCGAGTACAGGGGCCCAAACACTTGGGCCATCTGCTACTGTTTTCCCAGGCCACAGTAGAGAGCTGGACTGGAAGAGGAGCAACCGGGACAGAATCCGGCACCCCAACCAGGACTAGAACACGGGGTGCCGGCGCCGCAGGCAGAGGATTAGCCTATTGAGCCGCGGCGCCAGCCTTGGGCCTTCTTTTACTGCTTTTCCAGGCCATAGCAGAGAGCTGGATCGGAAGTGGAGCAATCACTTGAACCGGCACCCATATGCGATGCCAACACCGCTACGCCACAGTGCTGGCCCCAAGAAATTAATTTTAAAACTGTGCCCCACTACAGATGTGTGCGCTAAAAAACTGAAACACATTTTATATTAACATTCTGAACCTTACTTACATTAGTAATTAGCAGTTATGTACTTAATGTTACTGTATGTGATGCAGTCAGATCATGCACTGCCTTTATACTCTTGTTTTATTCTTTCATTTTAAAAAGATGTTGGCTGCAGCTCACAAAACTGTTTTTTTCATCCAATTAATGGTTTCTTGGCACTGGAACTAAGTGTTCAATACACAATGACTAGTCTAGTTGTGGGCCGCAAACAAGTCAACAAACATCTAATAGTCACTCTGAACCATCCAATTTTAATTCCACTGAAACCATAACATGAAACTGAGAGATTTGTGCAGGATGTCTGACAGAATGAACAGCTTCCCTGTGCACCTGACACCTGCTGCTGTGTGCACTACCCCCTCAACACATCAAGGGCTGGCCCTAAAAATTCATCAGCCAGGGCTGGTATTGTGGCACAGTAAGTTAATCCTCTGTCTGCAGCGCTGGCATCCCATATGGGCGCTGGTTCTAGTCCTGTACCCACATGGGAGACCAGGAGGAAGCACCTGGCTCCTGGCTTCGGATCAGCGTGCTGCGCCAGCCGCAGTGCACCAGCCGCAGCAGCCATTGGGGAGTGATCCAACGGCAAAGGAAGACCTATCTCTCTGTCTCTCTCACTGTCCACTCTGCCTGTCCAAAAAAAAAAAAAGAAGAAGAAGGAGATGGCCCAAGTCCTTGGACCCCTGCACCCACGTGGGAGACCTGGAGGAAGTGACTGGCTTCAGATTGGCACAGCTTCAGCCACTGCGGCCAATTAAGGAGTGAACCAGCAGATGGAAGACTTATCTCTGCTTTTCTTCTCTCTCTGTAACTCTGACTTTCAAATAAATAAATAAATCTTTAAAAAAATAATTTCTTACTGAAGTGATTCAAAAACCACTTGTCTAAGCCCTATTGCTTCATCAAGTTCGGGTACCACAAACTGTAGATTTTTATTTTTTTTATTCCCTGTAGAAATATGTGTAAAATGGAATAATTCTATTTCATAGCTTTAGATTTGTTTCTAGAGTCTGTACAAGTCGTTATCCCCTAGTGAAAGTTTGTCTTGTTCACCATCATAGAGCCTAGTACATAGTAGGCACTTGATGCATATTTGTTGAATGAACAATGCTCTATAAAACTTAACAGAGAAGCCAGCACCGCGGCTCAATAGGCTAATCCTCTGCCTGCGGCGCTGGCACACTGGGTTCTAGTCCCGGTCGGGGCGCCGGATTCTGTCCCAGTTGCCCCTCTTCCAGGCCAGCTCTCTGCTGAGGCCCGGGAGTGCAGTGGAGGATGGCCTAAGTGCTTGGGCCCTGCACCCCATGGGAGACCAGGAGAAGCACCTGGCTCCTGACTTCAGATCAGCATGGTGCGCCGGCCACAGCACGCCGGCCGCGGCGGCCATTGGAGGGTGAACCAACGGCAAAGGAAGACCTTTCTCTCTGTCTCTCTCTCTCACTGTCCACTCTGTCAAAAAAAAAAAAAAAAAAATTACCAGAGAGATTGTGCTCATTAAAATTTTTGAAGCTCTTTATGTCTATAAAGATCCACATAATAATTGCCACTTCGTTTCATTGTTCTGCTAACCAGCAAATATACTTTCCTTTATTAAATGATGAAATCTAAGTAATTCTTTTTAGAATTCTTTACCATTTTCATGTGGCTGCCAGGAAACTCAGGTTGACATATTTCTCTGTGACTGAGGTTTTTCATCATAACTGGCTCTTCTTTAATTCCTATAATAATGATCCTTTTTAAAAACATCTATACATGTTTAGTGATTTCTAATCTTTTTCAAAACTGGACAGAGTGCGTAGGGCTGGAGCAGCGCACAGTTCTGGGGGCACCGTTGACATGGATTGCAATCAGAATGAAGGCCCTGGAGCAGGTTGTGCGTTGCTGTGGCCCCAGGAGACACAGAACACTTAAGCACCCCTTTGGCCATGCCTTTCCCGGTGTTGTTCAGTCGTGGGCTGACGGTGGCAGCAGCTGGGGGGTCGTGTGAGCGCTTTCTTTCTGGCGTCAGGCCGCCCCCAGGGCATGCGCACACTGGGTGATGGCTTTTGCACTTACATTTTCAGAAGCATCAGAAAAGCGCGGTGTGACAGAACACGAGAGGAGCTTGGGCGAACTGGAGTGCCAGGACAGTGCCGGTCCCCCTGGAGCTGATGAGGACTCACAGACCAACGGCATAGCAGATGACAGGCAGTCCTTGTCCTCGGCAGACAACCTGGTACGTTGGTAGTGATCCTGTCCAGACTCATTTCCGTTTTAACCTTTTTAGAAGTGCGGAACTGAATCCCTGTGAAAAGAAGTGACTGAAAGGAGAAAGCCCTGTTCAGTCCTTGGGCGTGCAGTCCTGGCCTGGCGGTCTGTCTCAGCAGGTCACTTTTGGAATACACTGATGGGGGCCGTGGATCACACTGTTATTAAATGCTGTTTACCCAGACTTGGTTAAACATAAATTTCCGTCCATTTTCTTCTCTCAAAACAACATGCATTCGTAATTGGAAAACAGGAGAATCCAGAGAGGGAAAGAGAGCTGTCTGTGTTCCTCCTCTGTATTGAGAAGTCAGTGTCTGGGAAAAGGTCCTCCATGATCGCAAAACCCAGGGATCACCCGTGGCAACGTTTACTTACATCCTTCTAGATGTTTCTGCCTCTGACATTTTTCTGCACTTAAATGGAATAACAGTATACATACTGTGTTGTAACCTGCTATTGAAGTTTGATGTATACTGTGAACATCCTTTCAGACCCATGGGTATGTCTGCCACATTATGTTTGTAAAATAGCTTTATTCTACTCTTGAAAATTGTATATATTAACATTTAGAACATGGACTAGTGTGACTTGAATATCCACCCAGGTCCTGCTTTCTCCGTCTCCGACCCAGTGTTTCTCAACCTTTTCTTTGCCTTTTTTTTTTTTTTTTTAAAGATTTATTTATTTATTTGAAAAAGAGGCCAGTGTTGTGGCATAGCAAGTAAAGCAGCTGCCTGTGATGCCGGCATCCCATATAGGCGCCAGTTCATGTCCTGGCTGCTCCATTTCCCATCCAGCTCCCTGCTAATGGCCTGGGAAAGCAACAGAAAATGGCCTAAATGCTCAAGCCCCTGCCACCCATGTAGGAAACCTGGATTGAGTTCCATGCTCCTGGCTGCAGGCTGGCCCAACCCCAGTCACTGGAAGTATTTGGCGAGTCAAGAAATGCATGGAAAAGCTCTCTCTGTCCATCTGTCTCTGTCTCCATCCTCTGTTTGCTTTTCAAATAAAATGGAAATAAATGAAAGTTGAAAAAAAAAAAAGATGCACTTTGAGAGTTGTATTTAATTCATACAAGGAACTTGTGTCTGTGCAGTGGCTGGGACTTGCCTTGTTCCTCAACACCACGTCACAGACTTGCTTCCAGTCAGAACATGGAGAACTAACTGAACTCTGCATGACGGCCCTGTAAAATTCTCTGTGGATTACCAAAATCTGTTTAACCAGTTGCCTAATAGGTTCTCAGATTCTTTCCCTTTTATCATTGTGAACAGTCTATGGATAACATAAATCCTTTATTCATTTATTTATTTATTTGAGACACAGAGTTAGAAAGGGAGAGACAGAAAGGTCTTCCATCCACTGGTTCACTCCCCAATTGGCCGCAGCAGCAGAGGGGGGCTGATCCGAAGCCAGGAGCCAGGACCTTCTTCCGGGTCTCCCACATGAGTGCAGGGTCCCAACTGCTTGGGCCGTCTTCCACTGGTTTCCCAGGCCATTAGCAGGGAGCTCGATCAGAAGTGGAACAGCCAGGACTAAAACTGGCGCCTCTGTGGGATGCCGGTGCCACAGGAAAGGTTTAACCTACTCCACCACAGCACCGGCCCCACGTCCTTCCTTCTTTCCTCAGAGTGAGTCCCGCAGGTGGTGCGGCAGGGTCAGGAGGCAGAAGCGTTGTGTTCTTCCTGCTTGACCCTGAGTCAGCCGTCAGGAGCCTGGGGTGGCAGCTCCAGCCTGCCTTTACGGATATCTGTGCCCGCTTCCCTGTTGCCCGCGTGCAGCGGGACAGGAGCATCGCCCAGGCTTTTGCTGGGCTGAGAGGACAAAAATCCTGCCTTAAGTAATTGGTAGTAAAGGCATTTAGAAATAAGTCTCCAGAAAGTCCATGGAAAATATGTATTGTGAAAAAACTATCCATGGATTTCAAAAATTCTTTGTATGAAAATAGGTTTAGTTGAATTTTCCACAGCCTTTTTGAAGTCCCCTCCTATTTGTTTCCTTTTGAGTTTTGCCGTTTACCCTGGGTCATTTGTCGTTTTAAACCATCCATGCCAGCTTCTTCAGGGACAAGGACCAGGGCTCGGGAACTGCGGCAGTGGCTCCCCCAGAGCTCCTGCTTCAGCGACCCCTCCCTCACACCCCCCGCCTCCCTGTGGGTGACTTTCCGTGAGATCTTTCTGTTGCCCGTTTTTGAGGCGTTCTCTTTTGTGTTGTGCCTCTGCTCTCTCAGGAATCGGACGTGCAAGGACATCAGGTGGCTGCCAGGTTCTCGCACATTCTGCAGAAGGATGCCTTCCTCGTGTTCCGCTCCCTGTGCAAACTGTCCATGAAGCCCCTCGGGGAAGGCCCCCCAGACCCCAAGTAAGCAGACCGCATAGCCCCGTGATCCCGAAGCACGTGGTACTGTGCCCCCCTCTCCCGTCGCTGCAAGAAGTCCCGCGCCTTGGCCCCTTGGTAGTGCGGACAGGTGGCCGCTTTCCCATCCCGTGTGGTCCCCACAGCCCTCTCAGGCTCCGTTGTCTCTACCCCCACTCAGCGAGATCTTACCCCGTGTTGCTTTTATGCTAGAAATAATCAGTGTATTCAGCAAGCACGGTCTTTAATCTCCTGAGTGGGGATGGAAGGGGCCGGATGCCTGCAGGCTCAGTTCCCTGCCCTGCTTCGTGGGTACAGATTTAAGGCGGAACTCAACCCAGGGAACCCGAGTGATTCTTTGTAGCAGACGTGGTACTGCAAGGATGAGGGCGCCGTGGAGTGAAGAAGGCAGAGGCTTGGCGGGAAGAGCTGCATTCAGACCCTGGCTCCTCCACTTGGCTCTGTGGCTGTCTGAGTTGCTGAACTGCATCTGCAGAATGGGAATATGAAAATCATACAGGAAGGAGTACTGAGATGGAGTACGGAGCACAGGGCCTTGTACTTTGTAAATAGCTGCGTTGCTCCTGTAATTATTATTAGTTATTCATAAGTACCTTCAAGTCTGCTGTTGAAAAGGCTGCAAACAGTTTCTTTGGGGGAAAAAAAAAGACTACATAAGAAATCTTTATCCAATAAATAAAAGTGTTTTCTGCTATAATTTTCAAAAGAGAAAAGAAGATGCTGCCATTTGGAAAATGGTTGACGAGAGCTTTCCGTGTCTTACCATCCCTGAAGGGGGGGTGGGGCAGAGAGTCAAGGGCACCATCTTCCCAGCGTGTACAGGTAGGGCAAGCAGCAGTCAGCCTCACCCGGGGAACACCTTTGCTCCTGCCACGTTCTCTGCTTGTGATGGGCAGGGCTAAATGAAGTAGAAGCCAGTAGTGCTTGTTCTCGAAGGGTCTGCAGATTCTAGGAGGGCCTGTCTCATTCCTAGAGCCCTTACTGCGAACTCTCAGCTCACGGGCTCTTCAGAAAGCCGTGTGCTGGCAGAGGAACGAGGCCGTCTCCACACTGTCCCACTGGAGTGCTTCTCACCCAGCGCTTCTGCTGTTTTCTGCTCCTCGCCAGGTCCCATGAGCTGCGCTCCAAGGTGGTCTCACTGCAGCTGCTCCTCTCTGTGTTGCAAAATGCCGGCCCCGTCTTCAGGACTCACGAGATGTTCATCAATGCGATCAAGCAATATCTCTGCGTGGCCTTGTCCAAAAATGGCGTCTCTTCAGTGCCTGATGTCTTCGAGCTCTCTCTTGCCATTTTTCTTACTCTTCTTTCAAACTTTAAAATGCACTTGAAAATGCAGATAGAGGTATAAACTCCTTTTTCTTTAAACTTTCATACCAGATGAGTTCACTGTTGGTGGCACGGTCGCCAGGGCTAGTATTGCACCGTTTAGTGATCCTGATGAGTGATGGGAGAGTGCCTTTTCATGAAAAGTTCCTGCCCCGAAATCTTCTCACTGTCATAGTTCATGCAAAGCTTTAAACGTGTGTTCTGTACAGCAGACATACTTGTTTGTGAATTGTTTGAAATCATTTAGATTAGTTGCCAAATCTGGAAATAATATTTCAGCTGAAAAGCCAGATTTGCCATTCCTTTTGAAAAATGGTGACGTACATCCTGTCACCATGTGGCTGGGCTAGTTGGGAGCCAGAGGCCGCTGCCTGCCTAGTGGCCATGCACAACCATCCCCTCCCTGAGGACAGCTTCGATGCTCCCCGGCTGACCTGGGTGCTACTCTTTTCCTTCTGCCCCGGCCACTTTGCTTACTGTAGGTGCGGGCTGCCTGGCTTCTAAGGGCTGTGGAGTGTCTGAGCCCTGATTGACACTCGAGTTGTCCTCTTCCTGTCGTACAGGTCTTCTTCAAAGAGATTTTCCTGAACATTTTAGAAACATCGACGAGTTCTTTCGAGCACAGGTGGATGGTCATTCAGACTCTGACGAGGATCTGTGCAGGTAGGTGCCCCTGCAGGCGCCCCTCCGCTGGACTCACTCAGCACGGGTCTGTCATTTGTCAGGGCCCAGATTAAGACCTTCTGCTTCCTTGTAGAGTTTTAATGAAGTGTTGGGAAAAATCGCCTCCCAAAAGGCTCATTCTAACCAGTTCAGGCTGGTTTGCCCCGGACTTTCTGGGTTTTGGACTAAAAACCCTGCATCTCAGAAACCCCCTGTTTCTGGCAAACTGGGACACTTGGTCACCCTAGCTGCAAGCCACATGCTGGGGGGGTTATTTTTTATTTTTATTTTTATTTATTTTTAAATTTTATTTATTTGAAAGACAGAGTTACAAAGAGAGGTCTTCCATCCAATGGTTCACTCCCCAGATGGCTGCAATGCCGGAGCTGTGCCCATCCAAAGCCAGGAGCCAGGAGCTTCTTCCAGGTCTCCCACGTGGGCACAGGGGCCCAAGCATCTTCTACTGCTTTCCCAGGCCACAGCAGAGAACTGGATTGGAAGAGGAGCAGCCGGGACTAGAAGTGGCGCCCATGTGGGATGCCAGGGCTTTAACCCACTGCGCCACAGCGCCGGCCCCACTTTGTTTTTTAAAGATTTATTTATTTATTTTTGAAAGAGTTACAGAGAGGAGAGACACAGAGAGAGATCTTCCATCCACTGGTGGCAGGGGCCCAAACACTTGGGCCATCCTCCACTGCTTTCTCAGGCCATCAGCAGGGAGCTAGTTTGGAGGTGGAGCAGCCGGGCCATGAACCAGCGTCCATACAGGATGCTGGTATTGCAGGCAGCAGCCTTACCCACTACACCACAGTGCCAGCCCCAGGCACCGTTTATTAATTACAGGACCCACGGCATTGGTGCCGCCCACCTTTGACTGGGTGCTGATCTCAATCTGCATTTACCTTATACCATGCAGTCGTAGGCTTCAAACAAAGCACCCGCTTGTCTGTCTGCCAGAGTGATTTCACAAGGGTGACACAACTCTAAGAGGTGGGTTGGGTATCACCAGCCCCCTTCTTGATGAGGAAAGTAAGCTGTGCAGAGGTGGAGTGAACGGCCTGAGCTTACAGTTAGTGCAGAGGCAGGCCTGGAAGCAGGGCTTCCGACATACATTCCTGAATGGGTGTGGCCACCTGATTTTTTGGGGCAGAGAAGTCTCATTTAATGAGAAAATATAATTGCTATTTGTCTTGGATCATCGCTTCTAACCCATGCTGTATCGTTTTCCCAGATGCCCAGTGTGTTGTGGATATTTATGTCAACTATGACTGCGATTTAAATGCTGCTAACATTTTCGAGCGTCTTGTAAATGATTTGTCCAAAATCGCTCAGGGAAGAAGTGGCCATGAGCTGGGAATGACACCACTACAGGTAAAACACTGAGGACGTTGGTTTATATTTAAAGTTCATTCATCCCGGTGAGCATGGATTGAGCGCCACGGTGTGCCAGGCACCGTGCTCCGTGCTGCAGACACGGCAGTGCACACGTGCATGCCCGAAGCAGCAGCAAAGAACTGAGCTGTCAGGACGGTAGGGCTGCGGAGGGGACTAGGACAGGGACGACAGAAGAAGAGTGCTGGCGCTGGGGACTTACCATCCTTACAGGAGTCATCAGGGTAGTTCCCTGAGAAGGTGACACTTGAGCCAGGACCGCCATAGGAAGCAAGTTCATTCCATCACCTTTCCAAAGCTAGTGTGGAAAACAGGATCCCACCTCCGGGACAGGCAGAGGTGGCAGCCTGTTAGAGTGCTGACAAAGAAAATAGGACCTTAAACCAAAGATCTCTGCATGAGTTGGTCAGACTGAGGAGCCCCCTGGAGTTCATTGTGGGGTTTTGGTGCATGGACATTTTTCTTAGAAGAAGTTCGTAGTTCTCAGAGATTCACACAGGGACCTGTGCTGCCTGAGATACTGTTTTTAGATTATCTGCAACTCAATCTCTTATTTAAAAAATGCCACTTTTCAAAGGAAGACCTTTCTCTCTGTCTCTCTCTCTCACTGTCCACTCTGCCTGTCAAAAAAAAATAAAAAAAAAATGCCACTTTTTAAAATTAATTGTTATTTTTATTATAGAGTAAGCCTTAAAATGCAATGCATTGTATTTGTGGGTGTTTAGGGGATAAACTGTATCCAAAATCATTCATTTGCTGCATAAATCAAGGTGTTTTTTTTCAGTCACTGTTTAAGACCCTGTTTGAAAAAAATTTGGTTTTTTTATTATTATTACACAAGCCATGATGGGAACGCTTTTTAAAAACTCCCTCCTCCAGACTGTAGGCAGCAATCCTCTTCAGCAACACCCTTGCCCTTGATCCCTTGATCGTTATGTCACCCGTGACGCCTCCTTGGGGTCATCCCTGGTACCACTGAGTGTCAGCGGTGGTCTCACATCCTCCTGGTGCTCAGGAGCCCTCTGGCTGTGTGCTCTTGACTTTTCAACTTTCCGTGCCTGTTGTGTCCCAATAGGAGCTCAGTCTGAGGAAGAAAGGCCTGGAGTGCCTCGTGTCCATCCTCAAGTGCATGGTGGAGTGGAGCAAAGACCTGTATGTGAATCCCAACCACCAGACCAGCCTGGGTGAGAGAGCAGCATCGCGCCGTTCACGAGGGGCCACTGCTGGGCAGAGCCATCTAGCTTTAGTTATCTCGGAATTGAGCGAAACCTCGCTTGCTAACCTAGTCTTGAAGCTTCTGTGTTTTGATCTGTTTGTTCGTCTTAGAGGAATAGTGGGAAGTGCTGCTGTCACTGCTTTTTTCCAGTGGAAGGCCAGGCATGGGTGATTCAGTGGTAGAATTCTCGTCTGCAAGTGGAAGGCCAGGCATGGGTGATTCAGTGGTAGAATTCTCGTCTGCAAGTGGAAGGCCAGGCATGGGTGATTCAGTGGTAGAATTCTCGTCTGCAAGTGGAAGGCCAGGCATGGGTGATTCAGTGGTAGAATTCTCGTCTGCAAATGGAAGGCCAGTCGTTCCAGCATTTTCCTAGTGGTCTCTTCCCTTACTAGTTTGAAGCGTCACTTTATGACGTAGTGAATTCTCCTGTGTCCATATGTCGGCTTCTGGAGTTCTGCCCTGCTCTCTTGAACACTTTTCAAATTATTAAAGTTGTATCAAGAGTGTATTTATGTTTTCCCAGAAAGACAGGGGAGCAACTGGCATTGTGGTGCAGTGGGTCAAGCTGCCACCAACGTCTCTGTCCCATATAGGAGTGCCAGTGTGAGTCCCAGCTCTTCACTTCCAATTCAGCTTCCTACTAATACCTGGGAAATCAGTGGATGATGACCCAAGTGCTTGTGGGAGACCTGGATGGAATTCCTGGCTCCCAGCTTCAGCCTGGCCCAGCTCTGAATGTTGCAGGCATTTGGAGAATGAACCAGCAGATGGAAGATCAGTCTTTCTCTGTCACTACCTCTCTGTTACTCTGCCTTTCAAGTAAATAAATAACTATTTAAAAGAAAAAGAGCACTCCCATCAACTCAGTTTGAGTCTCCCACGCGGGTGGCAGGGACCCAGCACTTGAGCCATCTGTCTCCCAGGGTGCACATAAGGAGGGAGCTAGAACTGAGAGTGCCGCTGGGACTCAACCCGCCTCTGCTGTGGGAGGTCTGGCAGAGAGGCCTGCGGAGCCAGACCCAGCTGCCCCGAGCCTGTGTCTCCACATCTTTGATGGCCTTTGCTTTTGTGTCCCTGCAGGCCAGGAGAGACTCCCGGATCAGGATATGGGGGACGGGAAAGGCCTGGACTTGGCCAGACGGAGCAGCGTGACATCCATGGAGTCCACAGTCTCCTCCGGGACCCAGACAGCCGTTCAGGATGACCCGGAGCAGTTTGAGGTCATCAAGCAGCAAAAGGAAATCATCGAACACGGCATCGAGCTGTGAGTGTGGCTGCTGGTGCAGCGCGGTCTCCTGGGGCCTCTGGTAAAACCGCGTCTCTGGGATCTCAGGGCCGGTTCCAGCAGGGGAGCGAGCGCCTGGCACAGGAGGCTGTGCCGGCCCTTGCAGCCGGGCCTGCGGGAGCCAGGCCGAGTGAGAGAATGGGCGTGTGGATTCGAGCACGGAAACTGAAGTGCCTTGTGTGGTTGTGGGGCCTTTTTCCCTTTCTGATGAAAAAGAGTAGACCAGTTTAGAAAGAAAAGGATAAAGCAGCCGGCGCTCCGGCTCACTAGGCTAATCTTCCACCTTGTGGCGCCGGCACACCGGGTTCTAGTCCTGGTCAGGGCGCCGGATTCTGTCCCGGTTGCCCCTCTTCCAGGCCAGCTCTCTGCTGTGGCCCAGGAGTGCAGTGGAGGATGGCCCAAGTGCTTGGGCCCTGCACCCCATGGGAGACCAGGAGAAGCACCTGGCTCCTGCCATCGGATCAGTGCAGTGCACTGGCCGCAGCGCGGTGGCCATTGGAGGGTGAACCAACGGCAAAGGAAGACCTTTCTCTTCTCTCTGTCTCTCTCTCTCTGTCTACTCTGCCTGTCAAAAACAAGAAAAAAAAAAAAAAAGGATAAAGCAAGAATGTCAGAGGCACTCCTGAAATTATAACCTGGAGGAGATTGTCAATGATGACATTGTTTTCAATTATATTTTATGAAAAACTCCAACATACAGAAGTTAGTATTTGTCATTTTTTAAGATCTCTGTGTTTTCTAAACATTTGAAAGTGATTTGTAGCCATCATGAGATTTTTAACTGGACATCTTCAAAAAGTAAGAACATTGTTCCATATAACCATAGAATCATCATCGCAATTATTGGTCAGTCTTTGCATGTTTCTTTCTAGTCTTTTCCACACATGAATGCGCACGTGTGTGTGCACGCACGCACACACACACAGTCTGACATCCTGCCCGACCTTCGAGTCCTTGGGCAGCTTAGTGAGCTCAGTTTGTGTGAAGCTTGGTCACCGTACCCACTTGTCCACTGCAGTGCTGAGCTTGGTCACCGTACCCACTTGTCCACTGCAGTGCCGAGCTCCTCATTCCTGCTTTGACCATCCCTACTCCCCCACAGCAGCTGAAGTCATTTTTTCCCCAATAAACTGGATTTTTAAAAAGCTGTCTTCATGTATTACTTGAAAGCCAGAATAACAGAGAGAGGTAAGATATCCCTTCCTCTGAAGAGGCGTTCTGTAACTGTGGTCTAAACAGGTCCCGCATAACTGTGTTATAGCCTGTTATCTAAACAGGACAGCTCTTGTCCCAGCAGTGCATAAACTACACAGTTCTCTCCTCGAGTAAAGGCAGTCTAGGTGTGGACAGTCTGAGGCTGGCACAGTGACGCTCATGCATGTCAGGGAGCCGGGCTTCTTGGATCTGTCCGCTCCACCATCCTTAGCACGTAACTTTCATCTTCAGGGTTGTTATGGTTTCAGATGACAGGGAGCACCGGGCAGCACACAGCTGTTCTGGAGAAGGAGGAGCCAGCTTTGTTTAAAGGTCCTTCCTAGAAGCAAAGCCAGAACTTTGCATGACCCAGGGGAGGCAGGGAAGTGTAGTTTTTATTCCAGGCGGTTATGTGCCGGCTTCTCATCAGCTCGGCTTCTGTTAGTGGTGGTAAGGGGGAGCATGGGTGACACCCGGCACTCTGCTGTAGCTGGCTCGGAAACTGAGGGCGGCATTCAGAAAAGCGAGCAGGACCCATAGAACCTTTCTGGTTTACATGTCAGGGCTTGTTCATGGGGCTCAATACCAGCTTTTCCTGCCTTCTGGATTTTGAAATCCGCAACCTGTGTCCCATCTCTTCTTGAAACAGATTCAACAAGAAACCTAAGAGGGGAATCCAGTTTCTCCAGGAGCAGGGCATGCTGGGAACATCCGCTGATGACATTGCCCAGTTCCTACACCAGGAGGAGCGCCTTGATTCTGTAAGGCTGGGCTTCAGTGTTCACCATGGGTTCTGGCGGGCGTCCGAGCTGTCACCTTGAGATTGGGGGCAGTGTCTGCTGTCCATCCCTGGCTCCAGCAGTCCTGCTTAGCCCTCTGGCCGATGTAGCAAGAAGTTCCTTGAGGGGAATAAGCAAGGCTGCTGACAGGGAGCTGCGTGCTCTTCTTTGGTGAGACGCTGTCAGAGCTGGAGGTGTCGCCTGACTGCTAGACACTGGTCTGCTGGCTCCCTCCTTAGCATGCCCGCTGTACCCTCCATGTTTAAGTCTCTCACACTGCCACCTCTTCCTGTGTCTGAGGCAGGACAGCCTGAATCTGGAGGCGTGGGGGCGGCTCAGGGGACCCTGTGGTTTTCCAGCTGTCCAGTCTGTTGGCATCTGGAGTTGGTCTGGGTCGGAGTGTGGCAGTTTCTGGATGGGAGTGTGTGTGTTTCAGACCCAGGTGGGTGATTTTCTGGGAGAAAGCACAAGGTTCAACAAGGAAGTGATGTATGCCTACGTGGACCAGCTCGACTTCTGCGAGAAGGAATTTGTCTCAGCTCTGCGGACGTTCCTGGAAGGTTTCCGTCTGCCTGGGGAAGCCCAGAAGATTGACCGGTTGATGGAGAAGTTTGCCGCAAGATACATAGAGTGCAACCAAGGGTGAGCACCTCATGGAAGTCCTCTCCGTGGCATTGTCGGTCGCGGTGTTTGCCGGTTGGGTGGAGATTTGAGTTTGTTCTTCCTCCATCTGAAAGCTTCTGTTCATGTGTGCCCGGGGCCGTGCTAAGGGACTGTCGCACAGAAGACGTCACAGCAACCCTGTTTGTGTGCCGTCTGCAGACAGGAGATTGAGCATTAGAAGGGTTAATTACCCAGGATCACACAACTGAAAGCCGTGTGGTTAACTTCTGTGAAGCAGTAGTCTTCGGAGTTGAGAGGAGGCATTAGCGCCCTTCTTCCCTAATCAAGGAGAATGCCTTGGGTTAATCTATGGGGTGGATCTCAAGAATTTTGATTTTTCTCTGGTTGTGTACTGCTGAGCAGGTTACAGAAGTGGCTGTGTCACTAATAAAACCACGCAAGGGCGTGGTAGTTTGTATTTTTGTGGAGTTGGAAAGAGAGAAGGGAACTAACGATTGTTAGACCACTGCTGTGTGTCCGCTGTGCCATGGGTGCTGCATGCATTTCATTTCATTAATGGTAAGCCTGGGAGCAGTGCCCCTGGTTTGCTTTAAAAAAAACAGACTCTGGAAGATTGAGCATGCTGACCAAAATCCACGAGCTAGTAAGTAGCAGAGCCAGGCTCGAATGTGAATTTATCTTCGCCCAAAAGCTCCTGCCTTTTCCACTGAACCAGAAATGAAGTGTGTGAAACTCGGTGAGCATAAGGTGGAAAGTATCTAGTGGAAACATTGTCACCATAGTTTGGCCTCATGCACTTTGGTTTTCTTATTAATTGGTCCCTGTCCTCCAAGTGTGTGGCAAGCTGTCCCCAGGGCCTGGCCTGGTCTGCATAGACAGCCCCGGTTATTAGAACCGCATGGACATTAGAGCTCTCTCTGAAGACAGAATTAGGTGTTGCTTATTTTAAACATGTCTGCTGTGTGGGCCTGGAGGCCTTGGCCTGCTGTCTTACTCAGTCCATGACCCAGTTAAATCTCCCAGCAGAACGGGGACCTTTCCCTGTAATTTTTCACAGTTTCCCCGTTGCTTGTTAAGGCCAACTGAGACACACCCTACAGCTGCTGGCTTCAGGCTCACGCACTTCAGGGCTGTCATGCACGTGCCTCTGTCTCTCTCTCCTGGCCTACAGCAGCAGAAGTCACACTCCACCGGTGTGTCTACAACACATTTGTTTTCCCTTGCCTTTCTGCAAATCGGGATTAAAAAGGCTGCTATGAACTGTCGGTAGCCAGTGCCAGCAGGTCCAGCCATCTCTGCATCTGGTGTGGGACACGTAGGTGGCACGGGGTGGGTGCCGTCAGGAACAGGCCATTGCAGCAGTGCAGGAGTGCTCGCCATGGGGCCAGCACCAAGAGGGAGCGTGCTGACACCCTGTGCTCACTTGCCTCACTCTGCCTCAAGGGTCTTTTTAAAAAATTGACTTGAAATTGCTTTATTCAGAGATACCAAGGACCCAACACGTGCTTCAGTTAGCTGCTTCTAAACCGTGGTTCATTTCTGTCACTCAGTGATGGGGAAAGGATGCGGACTGCGCCCCTGGGCCCTGCGTGGAGCACGTGCTGCTTTGAGTGCAGGTGCCCCTGCCAGCGTCGTCCTCCAGCCGCAGCACCGTGCCTGCTGATTACGTGTGGCTCTTCTCTTGCAGGCAGACGCTCTTTGCCAGTGCCGACACTGCCTATGTGCTAGCATATTCCATTATTATGCTGACGACAGACTTGCACAGTCCTCAGGTAAAATGTCTTCGTGATTTATACACTGTCATAGTTAAGTAAGTAGCTTTATTTGGGCACTTAGATGTCTTAAATGGATCTTAATTTTTTAAACTTCCAGGTAAAAAACAAAATGACAAAAGAGCAATATATTAAGATGAATCGAGGTATCAATGACAGTAAAGATCTACCGGAAGAATATCTCTCCAGCATCTATGAAGAGATAGAAGGCAAGAAAATCGCAATGAAAGAAACAAAGGAGCACACAATTGCATCCAAATCTACTAAGCAGAGTAAGGTCTAATGGCAAATTATTTCTATTAACTCTAGGTTTTGAGTGTCAGAATGCATGATTAAGTACTCTGGTGATGAATTTCATTTGCATGTCTGATAACCCAAATAGGATACATGATTAAGTTAATCATTATGATTATGTTGGTGTTCTCTTGATATCACTGTCTTGCTAGATTTGTGATTAGGAGCTGAAGGGAATTTAAGATAATTTATCTGAGAGCTAACTTACCCAAAAAAGAATGCCCCTTAAAACTTGGTTTTAATCCCAGCGTGCCTGTGCTTACCTTGATTAGGGCTCTGTACTGAAGGCCCCGTGGAGCTGTCAGTTTCTGTGTTTGAGATGAGGCAGAGTATAGTGGGGTAGAACCCAGGCTCTGGAGGGTGCTACCTTGGATTCAGTCCCAGCTCTGCCACTTACTAACTGTGTGACTGTAGGCAAGTTCTTAGCCTCTGCCTCATTTTCCCCATCTGCAAAATGGTAATAGTACTTGTAGTAGACTCGTGAGAGGGTTGGGAGGCTTTCTCAGTTGATCACTGTAAGTCTCTCTGTGCCTGGCATATAGCAAGCACTCAGTGAGAGTCCCTGCTGTGTCCTCCTCTTCCTGGCAGGTGTAGCTAGTGAAAAGCAGCGACGGCTGCTGTACAACCTGGAGATGGAGCAAATGGCTAAAACGGCCAAGGCGCTGATGGAGGCTGTGAGCCACGCCAAAGCCCCATTTACAAGTGCCACTCATCTGGACCACGTCCGGCCGATGTTCAAGGTGAGTATCGTGGGAAGGGGGAGAGCAAGTGGCTGAACCTGGTTCGGAGGTGGCCGGCTGATGGCTGTGGTGATGAGACTGAGAAGAGGAAGGGTGAGGTCTGGTGTTTCTGGGCAGGCAGTGGCTGAGCTCGCCCTTCCTCACGACCTTTGCAGCTGCTGGGAGGCACTGGCCCGGCCCGGCCCGGGAATCTGTCTGAATCCTGGCTTTGCCGCTCTGTTCATCCCTGTAAAATGGGGACAAATGCAGGGCTGCAGAGCACACTGAATGGGTCATGTATTCAGAGGTGCAGGGACATGGCGGCTGGGACACCCTGCGGCAGTGGCCACAGGGTTACCTCGTCAGGTGAGACTGGGTGGAAGAAAAAGACAAGTTCCTGCGGTCTCTGGGTTTAAAATGCTAAGAAACAGTCCATGAGCTACATCTGTAGCACTTCACTGTTCTCTGAGAAGTCTTCATAGTAACTTAATATGCCATTAGGTGGTCGTGACTAGATTTTATTTCCCAGGAAGTCAGAGAGATTGGAAGAAAAGTAAATGCAACTGATGAGGATCAGGAGCCTTTCCGTGTAGAGCCAAAGGCGCTCATGGCTTTTGCTTTACAGGCTGGCCTCTGATTGATGGTGGCTGTCTTGCGCTCTGCACAGGGTGCCCGTGCCCCCTTGTAGCTTCAGCAGGGGTGGGCGGATGCAGTGGGGCACAGTAGCCATGTACTGACCAGTCTGTCTTTTGAACTGTGTGTAGTAAGCAGCATGTCTGGAATGATGGTTTTAGCCATAGTTGCAGGGGTGGGGGGGCCTGCCCCGGGGGCTGTATAAGGCCAGTGAAATCCTTTGGTCTGGCGCTACCAAGGCAATTGCAGGAAGGACTCAAAATTCAGTATATCCGTGGTGGGCTATTTTTTAAGTTAATTTTGTGTGACCTGTAAGTGATGTTATAAATACCTAACTGGCCCTTGGCAGAAATTGATACCCAATGCCTAGTATAGGGGAACTGCTTTATGTTGTGAGTGAAACAGATTAAAATCCAGTAACACTGCACTGGGATCCTGGCCATTCTCTGACAGCGCGACCTCCCCTCGCCCTCCCACACTGAGGCTCTAGGGTCACTGAAAATGTTCTTCCTTGATAGCTGGTGTGGACCCCACTGTTGGCGGCCTACAGCATTGGACTGCAGAACTGTGACGACACGGAAGTGGCCTCGCTGTGCCTGGAGGGCATCCGATGTGCAATCAGAATTGCCTGCATCTTCGGAATGCAGGTGGGTGGACGTCAGCAAAGTGGCCGCGATGCTGGGGGGCTGTGTCTTTTAGACTTGGCAGAACTCAGGGGCTAGCGGAAAGTGCTGGTTAACGGTTAACCAAGTGCCTCAGCAGATTACTCATGCCCGCTGAGCAGAGCCAGTAACTTTGTGCTGGGACTACTGGCCTTGCTGGGGGAAAAAAATGCTGATTTAGATTGAAACTCTCTGTAAAGATGGGTAGGGTCCAAGCCACTTCACTGAATTTCACCGAACAGTCCAACTGTTCCTTGCCTACCTTGCCTGCCTGCCTGCTTAGAATTGTTCTCTCTTGAATCAGCTTCTTCTTTTTTTATTTTTTATATATATTATTGAGTTATTATTAATTTAATTATATTAATTTATTATTAATGTGCCAGGGAAAGGCAGAGTAAGAGTGAGAGAGAGGCCTTCTATCCACTGGTTTACATTCTAAATGGTTACAACTGTCAGGACTGGGCCAGGCTGAAGCCAGGAGCCTAGAACTCCATCCGGGTCTCCCATGGAGCCCAAGCACTTGGACCATCTTCCCCTACCTTTTCCTGGCACATTATCAGGGAGCTGGATCAGAAGTGGAGCAGCCAGGACTCAAACTGGCACCTGTATGGCATGCTGGTGTTAATAGGTGGTGTCGTAACCCGCTGGCCCCCTCAAGTCAGTTTTTATTATTATTTCTCTTATTCCCCATTCTTGTCTGGGGAAACAAATAGTTGCATGTAGCCATGCATGTGAAATCGTGAAAAATTCAAACCAATAAATGAAATACATTTCCTAAACTCACAAGAACGGAAGGTTGTTACCAATCCTGTGCATTGCTTTTTTTAAGTCAAAATTTGCCTGCATTCATTTTGAAAAATTCAGCCTTTGTTCCTTACCCAGACCACCACAGGCTTTTATTTTTTTATTTTATTTTTTTTTTGAGAGACTTATTTATTTATTTGAGAGGCAGAGTTACAAAGAGAGGTAGAGAGAGGTAAAGGGGTTTTCCATCTGCTGGTTCACTCCCCAAATGGCCGCAAAGGCAGAGCTGGGCCAGTCCGATACTGGTGCAGGGACCCAAGTGTTTGGACCATTGTCGCTGCTTTCCCAGGCCATGAGCAGGGGGCTGGATCAGGATTGGAGCAGCTGGGACCTGAACCAGTGCCGACATGGGATCCAGCATTGCAGGTGGAGGCTCAGCCCACTACACGACAGCACTGGCCCATCTTTGTTTTGTTTTGTTTTGTTTTAAAGAAATTTTATTTTACTTGAAAGGCAGAGTTATAGATAGAGGGAGAGTCAGAGAGAAAGGGGTCCTCCATCCACTGGTTCACTCCGCAGATGACTGCAATGGCCAGAGCTGAGCTGATCTGAAGCCAGGAGCTTCTTCCGGATCTCCCACGCGGGTGCAGGGCCCCACACACTTGGGCCATCTTCTACTGCTTTCCCAGGCCATAAACAGGGAGCTGGATCGGAAGTGGAGCAGCCAGGACTCAAATTGGCGCCCATATGGGATGCCGGTGCCATGTGTGGAGGCTTAGACCACTATGCCACAGTGTCAACCCCATTTTTGTTTATTTAAACATGGAACACTCGGTGAACGTTCGTGTCATTCTTGTGCAGGTGCCGTGGTAGTCTTTTCTGTATTCAGTTTTAGTGTATGTGCTGCTGGCGCAAGAACAGCCATGCACTTTGATTTCAGATCCCAGCTCTGCTCCCTCTTCAGCCACATGACTTTCACCCAGCTTGCCTGTCCAAAACCCCTTTCACTTCCTTGCTGGTGAACTTGAGAGCATGACCCACCTTGCAGGACCGCACGAGCAGGTTGAGCAGTTTAGAAAGTCCCAGATCCAGAATGCTGCCAAATCCAAGCCAGTCTAAGCACGCAGCTCATTCCACGATATCTGAGATGTGGCGTCAGCCAGGGGTCCACCAGCTGAAGCCTGGATGCAGAAATGATCATATGTGTGCACCGTGGAATACCACGCAGAGATTAGAAAAACGAAATCCTGTCATTTGCAACAAAATAGGTACAACTGGAAACCGTGGTCCTTAGTGAAATAAGGCAGTCCCAAAGGACAAATACTGTATGCTCTCCCTGATCTGTGGTAACTAATGGAGCCCCTAAAAGGTCAGTTATACCAGGGAAATTGACACTGTGAGATGCAGTGACTTTGAACAGCCCTTATCTCTACCGTTGAGGAACAGCTTATTTGTTTTTTCATACTATTTGTTGAACTCTTTACTTAGTGTATGGTTAATCTTACGAGTATAAAGACCTTTGTAAAAAATAAGGGAAAGAGGGAGGACGAAGAAGGGTGGGAGTGCAGATGGGGGGAAGGTAGGCTGGGAGGAATCACCGTATTCCTAAATTTGTCTTTATGAAATACATGAAATTTGTATATCTTAAAAAAAGTTTCTAGGAAAAAAAATTCAGCAGACATGATACCTCAAATGGAAAATTCCACACTTGACCTCATGTGACAGGTCATAGTCAAAATGCAAGCACGTGCCTGGCGCCGCAGCTCAACAGGCTAATCCTCCGCCTAGTGGCACTGGCATACCGGGTTCTAGTCCCGGTCGGGGTGCCGGATTCTCTCCCGGTTGCCCCTCTTCCAGGCCAGCTCTCTGCTGTGGCCAGGGAAGTGCAGTGGAGGATGGCCCAAGTGCTTGGGCCCTGCACCCCATGGGAGACCAGGAGAAGCACCTGGCTCCTGCCATCGGATCAGCGCGGTGCGCTGGCCGCGGCGGCCATTGGAGGGTGAACCAACGGCAAAGGAAGACCTTTCTCTCTGTCTCTCTCTCTCTCACTGTCCACTCTGCCTGTCCAAAAAAAAAAAAAAGACATATGTAAAACATAGATTTCATGTTTACACTTGATTCTCATTTCCAACATAACTCATGCATATGTAAATATTCAGATATATGAAAAGAATCCAAAACAATAGCTTTTTGGTTAAGGGATATTCAACCTTTGTTAGAATTTATGCCATGGTCCTACTGTTCTGCAGGGAGAGGAACACAAGACAAATAAATGTGCTTCAGGCTGCTTGGAAAGGAAAGGGCTAGGGGCCTAGGGGCCTCCGCGGGGTGGTCCACGAGTGAGACGACCCCAGCAGGGGGAGGCTGGCGCGTGGATGTGCAGAAAGCCAGCCTGTCCCTGTGGGGGAAAGTGTCGGAGAAGCCCAGGGCTCACCGCCACAGGTGTGCAAATGGCCATGCTGAGGGAGGAGTCAGCGTGCTCTCGCTCTTGTGTTGCAGCTGGAACGGGATGCCTACGTTCAGGCTCTTGCACGCTTCTCCCTGCTGACGGCCAGCTCCAGCATCACCGAGATGAAGCAGAAGAACATCGACACCATAAAGACGCTCATCACAGTAGCTCACACTGACGGCAACTACCTGGGCAATTCCTGGCACGAGGTGTGTATCTGAACCGTCTTTTCTCAGGGTGACTTCTGGCATCCCCTCCCCCCACCCATTTTTTTAGATTTGCTTTTATTTACTTGAAAGACTAAGTTACAGAGAGAGGGAGAGACAAGAGAAAAAGAGAGATCTTCCACCCACTGGTGCACACTCAAATGGCTGCCACAGCTGCGGCTGGGCCAAGCCGAAGCCAGGAGCCAGGAGCTTCTTCCAGGTCTCCCACGTGGGTGCAGGGGCCCAAAGACTTGGGCCATCTTCCACTGCTTTCCCAGGCCACAGCAGAGAGCTGGGTTGGAAGTGGGCATCTGGGACTTGAACTGGCGCCCATGTGGGATGCCGGTGCTGCAGGCTGAAACTTAACCCACGACACCACAGTGTCAATCAGTCTCTCTCAGTCGCTTCCATTTTTCTTAAAGGCTGACTTGACTTCTGGGCTGCAAAGGGTAAGACAGGTTCAGATGCACTTCAACTTGTGAGCCCCATACCCAGTGGCCAGCGTCCCCACAGGAGTGCACTTCTGTTGTGGTTTCTTCCCATGTTACTGCCTTGTTCCCCGAGCCCTTGCACAGTCCCTGGGGCTCTCACAGTTACTGCATACGTGCACAACGTGAGGAGCTCGGGTTCTAACTATATCTTCAAAGAAGTGGTCAGTTTTCACAAAGAGCTGTCTGTTAGGGAGAGTGCCAGTGAATATTTTAAGATTCTCACATGAGGCAGTAGGTAATTAACTGTACAAAGATGTGCTTAACAGGATATTCATTAGGGCTGGCATTGTGGTGTAGTGGATAAAGCCACCATCTGCCACCCTGGCGCCCCCTATGGGCCTGGTTTGAGTCCCAACTGCCCCACTTACGGTCCGACTCACTGCTGATGGCCTGGGAAAAGCAGTGGAAGGTGGACCAAGTCCTGGGCCCCTGCCACCCACGTTGTAGGGGTGGCAGCCATCTGGGGAGTGAACCAGCAGATGGGTCTCCCTCCCTCCCTCCCTCTCTCTGTAACTCTGACTTTCAAATAAATAAATCTTTAAGAAAAAGGAGTGATGGGGGAGGGATATCATCAGTTTTAGTTGTTCCAGGGGAAAGATTGGATTTACAAAAGCTTAATACACCAAGAGATTCTTTTTAAAAACAATTATAGTGCAGCATTCCATAGACCATTTTAGGGTTATTTTAAATAATGTTGACAAGGGCTTGTGCTGCGGTTTAGCGGGTAAAGCTGCCACCTGCAGTGCAGCACCCATTGTGGTCACTGGTTCAAGTCCCAGCTGCTCCACTTCCAATCCAGCTCTCTGCTATGGCCTGGGAAAGCAGTAGAAGATGGTCCAAGTCCTTGGGCTCCTACGCTCTCATGGGAGATCCGGAAGAAGCTCCTGGCGCCTGGCTTTGGATCAGCCCAGCTTGGGCCATTGCGGCCATCTGGGGAGTGAACCAGCAATGAAAGACTGTCTCTGCCTCTCTGTAACTCTCTGCCTTTCAAATAAAAATAAATAAAAAACAAACGAGACTAGAATTTGATGAAGTTAGATATAAAAACAAAAAACCTAGTTTTAAAAAAAATGGAAGGGGAATGGATACTTCAGGAAAAATGATTATGTTGACAAGAGGCAGGCAGGCATTGGGCACTCCCAAATGGACGTGTAAAGCCAGCTGAGAGACCCTTGTCCTGGGGCCAACCTGAGTCAGTCCACGCCTAGCTGCGAGTTTTCAGGAAATGGAAGGGACACGGGAGGATGGTGGTGGGAGTCTGAGAATGCAGCCTCAAACTCTAGGATGTAAGAGGCCCGGGAGCTGGTGACGAGGCCTTCAACAAGTAAACTGCAGAAAAGTAGCATAAGCATACCTCAACAGCTTCGGGGAAAGTAGAACTAAAAGATAATTTTGGAGGAAAAAATTGTGAAATCCATGCATACAAGGACACTTCAGAAAGTTCATGGACAATGCGTATGGTGAAGAAACTTTATGGGTTTCCAGAGTGTTTGCCCCAAAATAAATCTGCCTTCCTTTTACTCTACTGTCTGTGACTTTCTGACAAGGGGCCTGTGGATGAAGGGAGAGCACGGGAGGGGCGGACAGGCCTCTGGCCAGCGGGGAGACCCTGTATCTCCTTTCAGAGTTCCTGGGTCTACTCCTAATTCCAGCTGCCCTCCAGTGTAGACCCTAGAAGGCAGCAGGTGATGGCTCAAGTGGTTGGGTCCCTGCCACCCACGGGAGACCGGATTGAGCTCCTGCTCCAGCTCCAGCCACTTTGGGCTTCGAGGAGTAAGTCAGCAGAGAGAGCATTCTCGTCTCTCTCCCTCTCTCTATGCCTCTCACACGTATAAATAAATAACGGAAACGGATGAAGAAGGATGTTGTGGAAGGCTCTGTTGTGGGAAGATGGTCACGGCACAGGAAGGAAAAAGTAAAAGTACTGCGGCATTGTGAACCATCATCCCTCGTGGCACACACACACAGCGAGGGTTTGAAAGGATGTTCGTGTCCTGTCTGCGTGGTGGCATTGTGGAGACTATTTTCTTCTTCTTTTCCCTTAATTTCTACTTTTTCTCCTATCTGCTGAGAGAGAAGACTGTGAAAGAGTAGAGATGAGCCATGGACCGTGGCGGGGACTGTGTGACCCAGACTGAACCCTGCTGTTGGCTTCCTGATTGCTCGTGGATCCAGTGGTCCAGGATACAGGCTTGGGAGCCAGGCTGCCGCGGTCCAGTGCAGGGCCTCAGCTCTTCCTGCCTGTGTGATGTGGGCAGGTCACATTCGTCTGTACAACCTTTGTAGGTGGTTGCGAGGGTAAAGGGGCTTAGGACCGTATTTGACATGGTGCAAGAATTCAGCAGTGTTGGTGTTATCATTGTCATCAAGGCACAAAACTCTGTCCCTCTTTTTTATTTTATTTTATTTATTCATTTGAAAGGCAGTCTGGCGGGGGAAAGCCAATGTAATCCATAAACTATACTTTGGAAATTTATATTTACTAAATAAAAAAAAAATTTAAAAAAGGCAGTTACAGAGAGGGAGAGACAGAAGGAGAGAGAGATCTTCCATCTGCTGGTACACTCCCCAATGGCTGCATCAGCCAGGGCTGGGCCAGGCAAAAGCCAAGAGCCTGGAACTCCAGCCGGGTCTCCCACGTTGGTGTCAGAGTACTCGGGCTTTCTTCTACTGCTTTCGCAGGCGTGTTAGCAGAGAGTGGAGCAGAAGTGGAGCAGCCGAGACTTGAACTGGTTCTCGTATGGGAGGCTGGTACTGCAGGCGGTGGCTGAGGCCGCTGAGCCCTGCGCCAGCCCCCATCACTGCCCTCTTAGCCCTGCCTTTCCTTTCTCTGTGTCAGCTCTGGAGAATCTCTTGACTTGCGTGCTTTTTGAAGAGAGTAATTTCTCCTGAAGAGTCGAACGCCTAGAGAATCAGTGAACAGTGGCTTTTTCTTCAAGAACTTTTTGTCCAGCCTGGGAGGTGTGGGCCTGTGGGGCTTCTGCTGATTTTCCCAAATATGCCACCACCTGGCAGCCTTAACACATGAGTTAGCCATGTGGGCGGCCGGAAATCCTGAGACATCAGCTTCGAACCGCCAAGTCCTTGATCTTGCAGTGCTGTTGACATGCCTGAGATTCTGGCTCTCGCAGGCGTCCGGAAAAGGGAGTACACTGATGGTGATAACTGAAGACCGTAACCAGAGCAGAGCAGTCAGGAGAGTCCCCCTGCTGGAATTAAATACATTTCTCAGTCAAAAAGAGGTGATTTACAGCTAAGACTACTTGGCCACTACCCAGTGGTGTCCTGGAAGCTGGGACGTGGGATGGACTAAGGGCAGCACAGAGTCGCAGTTGGTGGGGGAAGGGTTTTCCCGAGAGCCCCGTGCTGCCAGCGTTTCCGCGGTAGAAGCTGGGGTGGGTTTCTGTTAAGCCGTCACGCCTCAGGTGAGACAGGGCATGTGTGCAGGTGCGCCAGAGCCCCCAGGGCTGGGAGGTTGCCTGGCTCCCAGCACACACCTGCTCCGGGGCGCGGGCCCATTCACTCAGTGAACCATGTCGTAACTGCCAAGTGTTCAAGGGCTGGAGATTCAGCTTGAGCAAGAGAGAACAAACCAATAAACCTGTGGTAATGAGGCCAGGGTAAGTGCTGAGGAAGGAAGCCTGACAGCAGGTGGTGCTGGGGGTGCCATTGTCTCAGAATGGCAAGGAAGAGCTCTCTGAGGGAGCACGTGTGTCTGCGCTCGGAACTGAGGGAGTCTCGGGGAAGCAGCAACCAGAACAGCGAGTGCAAAGGCCCTGGGGTGGGACCAGTGGTGGCAGCAGTGCCACTGCCGTGTTACTTCTGAGGGGAGAGTGACAGGGGCTGGGGGAAGCTAGATCAGACTGGATGGTGCACTACCGAGTGGCGTGGTGGGTAGAGTCCCCTGCTCCAGTCACGGACTTTTTACTCTATACTTGCATGAGCATTGTTATGGCTTGACTCCTTTGTACCAGCTTTTCCTGTGCTCGTTTGCTCTTTGCCTTTTTTGTTTCTTTAAATTTCCATTGATCTTATTTGGAAGACAGACACATGGAGAGAAGGCTCCAATCCACTGGTTCCCTCCCCAAATGCCATAGTGGCCAGGATTGGGCAGGGCCAAAGCCGCTGGCCAGGATCTCAATCCAGGTCTCCCTTGGAGGTGGCAGGAACCTCATTACTTGAGCCATCACCCCTGCTTCCCAGGGTCTGCATTAGGGGGAAGCTAGAGCAGGGTATTGTACCCAGGGAACGTAGACGTTCTAGCCGCTAGGCCCAACATCTGCCCTTTTCCCTTTTTAATAGTTACAAATCATAAATGATGGAATCTGTCTGCAAGACCCACACTTGAAGGTCTGTGTCACCAGGACTCTGGGTACCGCCTGCTGAGTGCTGTAGGGAAGCCGTCCTAAGACCCCCGATGCTGTGTCCCCCTTGAGACACTGCCGGCCTGGAAGAACAGCTGTGTGGCTGACTTAGGGTGGCAGCGACCTGTACAGGCGTAAAGTGGAGACACAATTCTTTTTTCCTTAGATCCTGAAATGCATCAGCCAGCTCGAGCTCGCTCAGCTGATAGGAACCGGCGTGAAGACTCGCTACCTGTCCGGGTCCGGCCGAGAGAGAGAAGGGAGCCTGAAGGGCCACACGCTGGCGGGAGAAGAGTTCATGGGCCTTGGCCTGGGTAAGTCAGCTGGCCCCAGAGCTGGCCATTGTGGATTCCCGGATTAGCCAGGATAAAACTCCTCTCAGCAGGACTGGCATGTAAACCACTTGGTGGCCGGCCGGCAGGGCCTTCATTTATGCAAGTGAACACGCTGCCTCAGCTCTCTGAATTGTGTTTCCACTGCTGAGTAAACTCTGTGTGTTCCCCAAATCAGCAGAATGCCTTACTTTTCTTTCTGTCCTTAGAACTGTACCGGAGCAGGGAGAGCCGTTTGCTTTAAAAAGGCTACAGCTTTAGTGCCTGAGAGTAGAGGGTGTGTGTGTGTGTGTGTGTGTGTGTTTGTCTGGAATCAAAGGGTAGATGCAGCACCTCCTGTGTTCACCTGGGGAGCTTTCAGGAAGTGGGGCGAGCGAGTGTGCAAGGCCACATTCTGGGCACTGTGAACTCACTTCATCATCCTCAACAGTTCAGTGTTACTGTTCTTCCCACTTTGCGATGGAGAGCACTGAGGCATGGGGTGAAGTGCATTGAGCAAGGCCACACCGCAAGAAGCAGGATTCAAACCCAGACCATCTGCTTGCAGAGAAGGCTGCTGGGTCCCGTGCCCAGGGACTGGAATTTACGGTGGGAAGGTGAAAGGCGGGGACTCCGGCAGCAAAGGGAGGCTCCTAGGACAACCCAGATGAGACTGTGAAGTCCGCCAGGCGTCTGGCGGTGTGAGCCGCGACATGGTTTTCTAAAGACAGGCTCCTCGTGGTATAAAACCTAGAGACTAGGGAGAGGGAGCCGGCAGGACAGGAGCGTCTGAATACAGATGCAGTTAAATGCCAGCACGGACATTGGACCTTGTGTCGCCAGTGGGGTCTGCTGCTTCACCTGTGCACCGTTCCCACGTACATCCCTGTCTTCTCTGCCCGTTGACGCAGCGGGACGCTTGGTTCTGAATGCGTGACCGTTTTCAAGTGCAGCTGATTTTGTGCATCCTGTTTCAGGTAACTTGGTGAGTGGTGGCGTGGATAAAAGACAGATGGCCAGCTTCCAGGAATCGGTCGGGGAGACCAGCTCTCAGAGTGTGGTTGTAGCTGTGGACAGGTAATGGCTTCATCCTGCAGTGAGGCTAGACTGTCCATCCAGTGGCTTGACATCCTCTGCATCGCATGAGGCATGAACGATTCCTAATTTCACTGCTGTGGTGTTGTCAGCTCCAGATTACTCAAGCTAAGAAAGATTAAAGATAAGGGACAGTGCTGCGTTGTGGCAGGTAAAACTGCTGGCTTCGGCACCGGCATCCCGTATGGTTCAAGTCCTGGCTGCTCCACTTATGATCCAGCTGTCTGCTATGGCCTGGAAAAGCAGCGGAAGATGGCCCAAGTCCTTGGGCCCCTGCACCCACAATGGGGACCCAGAAGAGGCTCTTGGCTTCAGATGGGCCCAGGTCCGGCCGTTGCGGGCATCTGGGGAGTGAACCAGCAGATGGAAAACCTTTCTGCCTCTGCCTCTCTCTCTGTAACTCTGCCTCTCAAGTAAATAAATAAATCCTTAAAAAAGAAAAAAAAAAGGTGAAATATAGTGTGCATGATCTACAACAACTAACTTTCACATTCCTTTGAATTTCAACGTTTAAAAAAATGTGACTTTATATAAACAACATGGTGACAAAGTATGTCAAAAGGAAGAGGTTTTGCTTGTGCTGATTTTTTTTTTTTATATTTATTTTATTTGAAAGACAGAGTTACAGAGAGAGGCAGAGGCAGAGAGGTCTTCCATCCACTGGTTCACTCCCCAGATGGTCGCAATGGCCGGAGCTGTGCTGATCTGAAGCCAGGAGCCAGGAGCTTCTTCCAGGTCTCCCACATGTGTGCAGGGACCCAAGGACTTGGGCCATCTGCTGCTGCTTTCCCAGGCCATAGCAGAGAGCTGGATCGGAAGCCGTGCAGCCCATATGGGATGCCAGCACTGCAGGTGGTGGCTTTACCCGCTACGCCACAGCGCCGGCCCCAGCAGTATCTTAATTGTTAACATTCTAGTTGCGCTAATTTCAATAGAATAGAAAACTTTGCCTTTCGTGTCACTGCATTTCCTCCCTGATTTGTGCTGTCACATTATATTTATAAATATATGCCCACCAATACATCTTTGAAATCTCTACATTTCCCATCAAATGGACTTTAAAGAGAGTTGCAAGCAAAGTATATAACCACACCTTTTGTTTTTCCCTCTGTAGTCACCCTCATTAGTCTTCTTTATTTCTTTGTGTTGTTCTGAGTGACTGTTAAGTTTCCTTTCATTTCAACCTGAGGGACTTCCTTTAGTATGTTTTTATAGGCCCGATCTACCAGTGGTGAATTCTGTCAATTCTTGCTTACCTACGGATGTCTTAGTTTCTCCTTCCTTTTTGAAAGATAGTTTTACTGGGTATAGAATTTTTGGTTGCTAATCTGTGAGTGCCCCAGTGCCTCCCAGATTCTGTGATTTCATTAACCTCTCATCTTTGGCTTTCAGCAGTTTAACTGTGGAATGTCTTGGTATGGTCCTCTTTGACTCCCATCCACTAGGAGTTTGTTGAGATCCTTGGATGTGTTGTCTTCCATCAGCTTGAGAGATTTTCAGCCACTGTTTCTTCAAGTGTTTGTTCAGCCTCATTCTTTCCCTCTCCGTCAGGGGCTTTCTTGATGGTGTCCCACAGGTCTGCAAGGCTCTGCTCATTTTTTTAAATTCTTTTTGATTTTTTAAAAAATATAGATCAGACAGATAACTTTAAGTTCACGTGTCTATTTTTTTTTTAATTTATTTGAAAAGCAGAGTGATAAACAGATATTTTCCATTTGCTGGTTCATTCTCCCAAATGCTTGCAACAACCTGGGCTGGGCTAGGCCAAAGCCAGGAGCCCCAAACTCAGAATTTCCCTTACGGATGGCAGGGACCAACTATTTCAGCTGACACCTGCTGCTTCCCAGGGTGCGCGTTTAGCAGGAAGCTGGATTGGAAGCAGAGTGGGGACTCAGACTATAACTCCAACATGTGGACTTAACAACTGTGCCAACGCCCATCTCTCTCTCTCATTTTTGTTCAGCACATTTGACCAGCTCATTCAACTTACCTTCAAGTCCACTGGTTTTTTTCCTTCTGCCAGCTCGAAACTTGCTGTGAAGCCCTCCAGTGAATTTTTCATTTCAGCTTTATAAATCATTTCAACTCAGAATTTCCATTTGATTTTTAAAAATTATTTATTTCTATTAAAATTCTCTATTTGGTAACACATTGTGCTCATGCTTTTCTTTAGTTGTTTAAACATGATTTCCTTTAGTTTTTGAGCGTATTTTAAGTAACTTAAATCGTTGGTACACTCAAGCACCCAGGCTTTCTTGGCAACAGTCTGTGTTGACTGGTTCTTTTGTTTATAAATCATCTCTTTTTGTTTCCTTGCTTGGTTCCAATTTTTTTTTTAATTCATAACTGGACATTTAAAACAACATAAGGGAGCAGGTGTTTGGCCTAGCTCCTGCATCCTGCATCAGAGTGCCTGGATTGGACACCTGGCTCCAGCTCCTGCTGGGTTCCTGCTAATGCAGACCAGGAGGCAGCACTGATGGCTCCAGTGCTCGGGTTCCTGACACCCGTGTGGGAGGCCTGGGTTATAGTTTCCCCAGCTTTGACCCCTAGACCAACCCAGAGCCATTGCAGCCTGTGGGGAGTGAACCAGCAGATGGGATCACCCTGTGTCTCTGCTGCTCAAATAAGTAAATTTTAAGATGTTTTTAAAATAATAATATGGTGAAGCAGCATTGGGTGGCCAGCTCCCCCTCCTAGGCCATTTGTTGTCATTCTCGCTGTTTCTCTCCTGGCTTTCCTGAACTAACTGTGTCAAGTCTGTGTGCTTTCTGGCATGTGGCCATTCAAGTCTGCTTTGTTGGTCGCTGTGGTCAGAGATTTCCTTAAGTGCCTGGGGCCTTTGCTAAGTGTCCAGCCTTGCTTGCTGAGGGACCTTGCAGGAGTGAGCAGGGCTCCTTCAGCACCCAGCAGGCAGCTCACAACGCGGCCTCGCCCTTCCCTCTCGTTCAGACAGAGGGACCTTGCAGGAGTGAGCAGGGCTCCTTCAGCACCCAGCAGGCAGCTCACAACGCGGCCTCGCCCCTCCCTCTTGTTCAGACAGAGCCCCAAGGGCAGCCAGAGGTGAGAGCTTGTCCTCCAGTCTGCCTGCTGGGCACATAGCCTGCGTGTGGGCAGCTGTCCAGATTCCCGGAACCCCTGGAGCTTCTCAAAGCCTCCTGCATTCTCAGATTTTCCTGGTGATTATTTTTGATAAAAATTTCTGTGGGAAAGGCCATTGGTGCTGAGTGAGTTCTGAGTTGGGTCAAATAATGTCAGCTCTGAGAATGGTGGTTTTGGGGAATGTAAAACCATCCTTCCCCTCGGTGGCTGCTGGTTGGCCGGTTTCACAGTAACCATTTTGTGTTGATGCTGTTTTTTGTTTTTGTTTGTTTGTTTGTTTGTTTTTTTGTTTTTGTTTTTGTTTTTTTTTTTTGACAGGGAGAGTGGACAGTGAGAGAGAGACAGAGAGAAAGGTCTTCCTTTGCCGTTGGTTCACCCTCCAATGGCCGCCGCGACCGGCGCGCAGCGGCTGGCGCACCACACTGATCTGATGGCAGGAGCCAGGTACTTATCCTGGTCTCCCATGGGGTGCAGGGCCCAAGCACTTAGGCCATCCTCCACTGCACACCCTGGCCACAGCAGAGAGCTGGCCTGGAAGAGGGGCAACCAGGACAGAATCTGGCGCCCCGACTGGGACTAGAACCTGGTGTGCCGGCGCCGCAAGGCAGAGGATTAGCCTAGTGAGCCGCGGCGCCAGCCACTCCTTGGATTTTTGTATGCCTTTGGTTAATTTCCAGAGTTCTGTTCTAAGAAAGAAGATTTTGGTCATTTTTTGCCAGCATTCTTGTTCTTATGGAAGAGCAGCCTTGTTTTTTAAGTGGAGCAGTTCTCACTCCACGCTCCCATCAACCGCGTGTCCTGTGCCTTTTCTCTCTCCTCTGCCCCACTCTGGATGCACCACTTCCTCTTTCTCTCCGTGTAGGTTTTCCTGCTCTCAGTTCATTGACCAGTGTGTCTTTGTGGTGCCTCATCATTTATCACTGTGGAGATGCCAGACCTAAACGTTTCGTGCTCTGCCTTTTCTGAGTGCTTCAAGAACTTCAGCTGCTAGAATCTAATTTTTATTCTGTATGTCTGAAATTGTCTTCCTAGAATCTTTACGGGCTCTACCAGACTGGATGGGAATGCAATAGGTACGTATCTGCCCCGCCTGTGACACCTGCAGAAGCCTCCTGCTGTGGCTGTCTGACTTACTAACGAGGCCTCACGTGTGTTGTTGGGTCTGGCCTGTAGTTGACTTTGTCCGCTGGCTGTGTGCTGTGTCCATGGATGAACTGGCTTCCCCCCACCACCCTCGCATGTTCAGCTTGCAGAAGATCGTGGAGATCTCGTACTACAACATGAACCGCATCCGGCTGCAGTGGTCCCGCATATGGCACGTGGTCGGAGATCACTTCAATAAGGTAACCTGGCACCGGGGAAAATGGGAAAAAATGCAGGCAACTAAATCCAAAACAGAGAGAAGCGAGAAAGAACTGGCCCTGTTTTTAGTGCCTAGGGTTAATTTTCCCTGTGGAGCTAGGACACTTCACAGGAGGATGGATAAAACTCACACGGAATGAACTTTTTTCTCTTCTAGAGGTTTCATTTTTGTAGAGTCAGCTATCTACTCACATATGTTGAATATATTAAAAATGAGGCATGCATTCTACCACAACTTTATGAATTTGAAGAAAAAGCAGTCAGAATATACGTGTGTATGTGTGTATGTATCTGTGATGTCATCTGCTGCTTGAGGGAAATTCATTAGCGTGATGACACTGTTGCCTACCAAAACACATTGCACGATCTCAAGGAAATCCCTCAGACCTGGAGATGACAAGTTATAATACAGACATTTAAAAATAGTGTTAGTGAGGGGCCAGTATTGTGGCGTAGTGGGTTAAGGCACCACCTGGTGATGCTGGTGCCCCATATCAGAGTGCCAGTTCAAGACCCGGCTGCTCTGTTTCCAGTCCAGCTCCCTACTAATGTGCCTGGGAAAGCAGCAGATGATGGCCAAAGTCCTTGAGCCCTGGCCATCCACATGGGAGACCTAGGTGTTCCCAACTCCTGGCTTCAGCTTGGACCAACCTTGGCCATTGCTGCCATGTTGGGAGTTATCTAGCAGCTGAAAGTTATCTCTCTCTTGCTCTCTTTGTATCTCCCTCCCTTTCTCTCTCTATCACTTGCCTTTCAAATTAATAAATGCATATTTTTTAAAAATACAGTGCTAGTATAAAGCAGTTCATCCCAAAGAGAACAGATCTTTTACACTGAAGAGAAGGAGAGAGGTAGCCCGCCCTTTGTGTGCTCTTAGAATAATCAGTGGGGTGCTGGTCACTGGCTTTGTGGCATCTGCCAGTTTCTGTGGGGAAATACCCCTCCATGGCCAATTTCAGGCTGGCTTTATGATGTCACCAGATATGGAGTAGGGAAGTTGGGTCCCGTTGGCTCTCACAGGCAGGTGCTAGCACCGTGAAATGGAGCACCCACTGAGAAGGGCCGTTGTCGGAACGTGGTCTTATCCACTCATTGAGGTACACCGTCTGTTGGACCAAGCCCCTGAGCGCCTGTGTCAGGCGGTGGATGGATGAGGCCCCCATCTGTGGGGGTTTCACCCACATTTTCTGATCAAGTAACTGCCGGGAAGGGGTGCAGCCATGGAGTGTGTGAGATCCTTGAGATGCACGGTCAGGGAGGCTTCCCTCGGGTGGGAGCCGTCCGAGAGGAGCGAGAGCCGCAGGGCCCGAGCTGTCTGTTGAGCGAATGGTAACGCTCTGCCTTGCAGTCAGCAGGCGACTTGGCATCGTGTTCCCCAGTTCTAGCCACGTGGAGTCTTAGTGGACAGTTGGAATTACTGAGGTGAATTTGCCCAAGAAAACGTGAACCCTTCCTGTTACCAAAGCTTGTTTTCTTGTCCACACCTCTGACAGCTGAGCTAGAGCAGATATTACGCATCTGTTCCTCAAAGATTCTTTCAGGAATAACAATCCAAACGTGCTTTTCCAAATTTTGTATCAACTCTTCCAAATCCAGCTCCCGGGTTCGGCGGGACTGCTGTCTTGGGAGGGGACTCATCAGTTTGTACAAATTGCTTTTCTCACTGGCAGTCGTCTTGTCCAGAGCCACTTACGGGCCAGCTTGGGCCAGAGCCTGGCTGGCAGTGATTAGGCAATTTGAGGTTGTCAGCCTGTGCTACTAACGTCCATTCCATCTAATCAGGGCAGTTAAAATCTAGTTGCTCGCTCTGGGACTCTCCCGTCTTTCCATCATTGTGGGTGATCTTCTACTTCCCCTTGTAAACTGGTGCACGTGAGATTCCCATGGGTTTGGAGTGCAGCTGTAAGTTTGTGCCCGTTTGCAGGCTGGGTCATGTGACCACCCCCAGGATGCTCTTCTGAACCAGAGCACAGGTGCTGTGGCCTGGGTTGAGCAGAGCGGCAGTCCGTGGGTGCATGTGCCTGAAGCATCTGCTTCACCGGAGTGTTGGGAGGGGAAACTCTCCTTATTAATGTCTAGTTACATGAGTATTACATGGACACCCTCCCTTTTAAAGAAATTGTAGCTAAAAGGCCCTTGAGCACCTCCCTGCACACAGCTGGCCCTGCCCAAAGCTGTGTTCCCATCCGTTTGGTGCACATCCTCCCATGCATTTTTTCTGTACCTACGTACATATCTACTCACAGAAATACAGATAATAATGTCTTGGTTTGTTTCACAGATTATTAATTATGATAGATACACACAGCGTGAAGTTTACCAGCATGGCCATTATTTTTAAAGATTTTATTTATTTATTTGAAAGTCAGAGTTACACAGAGAGGAGAGGCAGAGAGAGAGAGAGAGAGAGAGAGGTCTTCCATCCGATGGTTCACTCCCCAGTTGGCTGCAATGGCCGGAGCTGCGCTGATCTGAAGCCAGGAGTCAGGAGCTTCCTCCAGGTCTCCCACACGGGTGCAGGGGCACAAGGACTTGGGCCATCTTCCACTGCTTTCCCAGGCCACAGCAGAGAGCTGGATCAGAAGAGGAGCAGCCGGGACTAGAACCAGCGCCTATATGAGATGCTGGCGCTTCAGGCCGGGGCATTAACCAACTGTGCCACAGTGCCAGCCCCCAGCATGGCCATTTTTAAGTGTGTGGTCCAGTAGTGTTAAGTACATTCACGTTGCTAGGCAGCAGATCTGTGGGACTGTTTGGTTTTGTGAGGGTTTTTTTCTTTCTTTCTTTTTTTTTTTTTTTAAAGATTTATTTATTGTTTTATTTGAAAGGCAGAAACCAGCATCTCATATGGGCGCCGGTTCAAGTCCTGGCTGCTCTACTTCTGATCCAGTTCCCTGCTCACGTGCCTAGGAAAACAGCAAAAGATGGCCCAAGTGCTTGGGGCCCTGCACCCACATGGGAGACCTAGAAGAAGCTCCTGGCTCCTGGCTTTGGCCTGGCCCAGCCTCAGCCATTGTGGCCATTTGAGAAGTGAACCAGCAGATGGAGAATCTCTCTCTTTGCCTCTCCTTCTCTCTATCTCTGCCTTTCAAATAGATAAAAAACAAATCTTTTTTTTTTTAAGGGAAAGACAAAAAGGTAGAGTTACAGAGCGAGCTTCCATCCACTGGTTCGTTCCCCAAATGGTCATGGTGGCTGGAGCTGGGCTGATGTGAAGCCAGGAGCTGGGAGCTTTTCCCAGGTCTCCCACATGGGTGCAGAGGCCCAAGCACTGCGGCCATCTTCCACTGCTTTCCCAGGGGCTAATGCAAGGAGCTGGATCAGAAGTGGGCAGCCAACTAAGCCAGCACTCACATGGGATGTTGACACATGGCCTTACCCAGTACACCACAGTGCTGGCCCGAGACCATTTTCATCGTGCAAAACCGTAACTCCCCACCCCTGGCAGCCAGTCCCTGTGACCTGAACTACAGTATGTCATGATCGCTTCACTCAGCAACAGCTGGGACTGAGCCAGGCTGAAACCAAGAGCCAGACACTCCACCCAGGTCTCCCCTGAGGCTGGTAGGGGCCCACGCACTTGGGCTGTCCTCCACTGCTTTCCCGGGCTCATTAGCAGGGAGCTGGATCAGAAGTGAAGCATCTGGGACTTGAACTTTACCCCATTTTAGGACTCTGTTTTCACTGGAGGCTGTTTAAGCCACTGTGCCACAACACTGTGTCTCCCACGTGGGCAGACCCAAGCACCTGCGCCATTATGCACTGCCTCCCAGGGTGCACATTAACAGGAAGCTGGACTGGAAGCGGAGCAGCCAGGACTTGAACCAGATACTCTGATGTTGGATGTGGCCTCCTGAGCAGCAGCTTAACCTGCTGTGCCACAGCGCTTAGCCCAGAAAGGAGACCGAAGAGCCCCAGTGCTTCTCCGGAATCTTCAAGGCTGACGATACCTCATTTGTAACGAGGGGCAGGCGTTGGGAAAGGCTGGAAGGGCTCTCTGTGGACTGGAGGCTTTTGACCCTCCTGTGCAGTTGGGTCGTATTCAGTAGCACCCGGAGTGGGAGTGGGAGTTGAATGGGTATAGACTTTGAGTTCTGCAAGATGAGAAGAGTTCTGACGATGGGTTGCACAGCCGTGTGAATATGCTTAACACCACTAAACTGTGTACTTAAAAATGACGGAGGTAGTAAGTTTTGTGTTGTGTTTTATAATTTTTTGAAAACTAAATATCACATTTTGTGAAAGTATTTCTCCGTAAATGTATAATCCTGACCTTTCATCATTACCCTTAAGTGAAACCGGGCAGATCATCACCAAGAACCGACATTTCCTCTCCCCCGGGTGTGTTCCCCAGGCCGCCTGTTTCAGCCGCGGGCTGTCCACCCTGCTGTGGAGTGGCTGTGCTTGTCACCTGTGCCTGTCTCACCTCACGTCTGTTCTTGCTCAGGTTGGCTGTAACCCCAATGAAGATGTGGCTATTTTTGCTGTGGACTCGTTAAGGCAGCTCTCCATGAAGTTCCTTGAAAAGGGCGAATTAGCCAACTTCCGTTTCCAGAAAGACTTCCTGAGGCCCTTTGAGCACATCATGAAGAAGAACAGGTATGTGCGCATCTCTGGGAGACCCTTGGTCAGGTTCCCCTTGGGGGCCTCAGAGGCCCTGTGGCTGCTGACCCCGCTGCGCTGTGGTGGAAACCAGCAGCAAGAGCAGACTGCGATGCCCCTCGGCCTCCTTACGAGGGTGTGTGTGTAAGCCTTCCCAGAGGACAGGTGACGCCGCTGTGACCCACAGCCGTCTGCCAGGGCCCTCACTGGGGCTGGTGCCGGGGGAGCTTGGAGAGAGAACTGCTGCGGCAGCTTCCTCCAGCAAGACAGGAGTGACGCCGCCCGCGTTAACTGCCTGGGGAGGCGACAAGAGGTCCCGTCTCTGAAGCAGGCAGCCTGACCGTGTTCACCTGCCTGTGTTTCTGGAGGCCTTGTTCCGCTAGGTTCTGTTGTAAGTGTAGACAACTTAAAAATCCCTGTTCTTGTTGGGCCTTGAGTTGATCCTGGTTGCAGCTGGGTCTGGGTGTGCGGAGTTCCTCACACTGTCTTCAGACACTGTGGCGCTGTGTCACTCCGTGTGTTTGAATTTCTCTCCATGATAAAATGAGACGTGCGCCCTGTGGTGCTCTGGTGGAACGGGCAGGGTAGCAGTGACAGGTGCTCTGAAGAGTGTCGCACTGCAGGGGAGGGGCAGCAACGGGAGCTGTGCTTCATGCAGAGTAGTCAGCCACAGTGGGTCTGGTCGGGTGACCCCTAGGTGAGACCTGAGCCACGTATGGAGCAACCCCAGAGTGGCCGGCCATTTGCTGTCTTGGCAGGAGTGTGATGATAGGGGGACAAGCGAGAACAAAAGTCCTGTGATAGCAGGTGAGTGGCTTGGTTAAGGGGCCTGAGGAGGCCAGTCTAGCAGGGGTGGTATGAACAAGTCTGGATGTCCAAGATGAAGTCCCTCCCACTGGTAGGAGACTCCCAGTCCACTGTGGAACCATCAGATATTGTGAGTGAGCACCTTGGTTTGCCCTCTGTGGGATGCGAGCTGTTGGAAGAATTTTTTATTTTTTTATTTTTATTTTTTTTTGCACAGGCAGAGTGGACAGTGAGAGAGGGAGACAGAGAGAAAGGTCTTCCTTTTGCCATTGGTTCACCCTCCAATGGCCGCCGCGGCCGGCGCACCGCGCTGATCCGATGGCAGGAGCCAGGTGCTTCTCCTCTTCTCCTGGTCTCCCATGGGGTGCAGGGCCCAAGGACTTGGGCCATCCTTCACTGCTCTCCCGGGCCACAGCAGAGAGCTGGACTGGAAGAGGGGCAACCGGGACTAGAACCTGGTGTGCTGGCGCCGCAGGTAGAGGATTAGCCTATTGAGCCGCGGCACTGGCCGGAAGGGTTGTTTTTTTTTTTTAATATTTATTTATTTATTTGAAAGTCTGAGCTGCTGGCGCCAGCACTGTGGTGCACTGCATTAAGCCGCCGCCTGCAGTGCCAGCATCCCACAGGGGCACTGGTCGGAGTCCCAGCTGCTGTACTTCTGACCCATCTCCCTGCTAATGCACCTGTGAAAGCAGCAGAGGATGGCTCCAGTACTTGGGCCCCTGCACCCACGTGGAAGACCTGGATGAAGCTCCTGGCTTCAGCCTGGCCCTGCCCTGGCTGTTATGGCTATCTGGGGCGTGAACCAGCAGATGGAAGAGTAATGTCTATCTGTCTCTTTCTTTCTTCTCTCTTTCTCTGTCTCTCTGCCTTTCCCTCTCTAACTCTGCCTTTGAAATAAATAAATAAGTCTTTAAAAAAAAAAAAAAAGCTACAGATGGAGAGACCTTCCATCTGCTAGTTCATTCCCTAGATGGCCACAACAGCCTGGGCTGGGCCAGGCTGAAGCCAGGAGCCAGGAGCTTCTTCTGGGTCTCCCATGTGAGTTGCAGGGGTCCAAGTATTTGGGCCATTAGCTGGGAGCTAGATCAGAAGTGGAACAGCCAGAGCATGGATTGGCGCCCATAGGGGATGCTGGCATAGCAGGTGGTGTGGCTTTACCCACTAAGCCAGCCTCCTGTTGGAAGATTTTAAGCTGAGACATGAAATGGGCTGACATATTTTCAAGGCTCATCTGCATTAAGCCGTGGGAAATGAGAAGTACCTGATGAGGTGGGGCCGTTGTCGTTGTCCAGATTTTGGCGTGAGTGGCAGTGGTGGCTTGGATTCTGTGCACGCTTGAAGAAGCCAGCAGCATCTGCCAGTGAGTTGGCAGGGTAAGGGGGGACTCTCGGGCTTGACCCTCAGTGTCTGCTCCGCCCCTGAAAGGGGTGCCCCTGATGGCAAAGAAAAGGAAAGCCCACGAGCTGGAAGGCCCTGGGCTGCAGTGCACCATTGGAGCAGCGAATAGAAAGGCAACAGGGGCTGGCCATGGCTCACTAGGTTAATCCTCCCCCTGCGGCGCCAGCATGCCATATGGGTGCCAGGTTCTAGTCCCAGCTGCTCCTCTTCCAATCCAGCTCTCTGCTGTGGCCTGGGAAGACAGTGGAGGATGGCCCAAGTGCTTGGGCCCCTGCACCCACATGGGAGACCAGGAGGAAGCACCTGGCTTCAGATTGGCGTAGTTCCAGCCATAGTGGCCATTTGGGGGGTGAACCAATGGAAGGAACACCTTTCTGTCTGTCTCTCTCACTGTCTAACTCTATCTGTCAAAAAAAAAGGCAACAGAGAAGTCTGTGTGACATTGTCACTCTTTCTCTTGGAGTCTGTATTCTTTGCCTTCTTGCTTATTTTAAGAGAGCCAAGATAAGCCTATTCTAGTCTGCGTCACCCCTGATTTTAGCAAATGCACCTTTGGGAGCACCCTGCAGAGTGCCGGAGGAGGCCAAGGCCCCCTGTGGCTAAGCAGTTGCCCACAGCTAATGAAGGCTGCAGACCCTCAGCCCCTGGCCCCAAGCCCTTCCCTGTCTGTCCTGCTGCCACCCACCTGGCATTTGGATTGAATTTCCAGTCATGTGCTGCCACCCTCTCAGACTCGGTCAGCAGAACTGTGTTTCAGTGATATTCTTTCCAAAAGAACCTTTTGTGTCCTTTGTTTAGTAATTCCACACTCATATAAACTTTCCAAATAGGTTACTTTGAAATAGAACAAAATGATGTGAGTGCCACAAAATAGCTTTTACAAAAACTTCACCCACCTACATTTCCAAATGTTTAAATGTTGGTACAGCCACAAAGGGAATGTCGTATGACTGTTGAAAGTGTTCTCGAAGTTCACACCATGGGTAATGCTTAATAATGAAGTAAAAAGGGCAGATGATAGAATTGGACAGTGTAACACAGTGATACACATTCCACACCATCAGGCCTGAGCCACCTCTGCACAGGACGTCCTGTCCTGTCAGGCCTGCGAGGACCTGTGCACAGGACACCCATCAGACTCGTGATGCACCTCTGCACATGACGTGTTGTGTCTTCAGGCCCCTGACGCACCTCTGCATGGGACGCACTGTGTCCTCAGGCCCCTGACACACCTCTGCATGGAACGCACTATGTCTTCAGGCCCCTGGCACACCTCTGCACAGGACATGCATACCGTCAGGCAAAGGAAAACTTTTATTATGTCTCCTCTGCATTTTCCCAAACTTTTACTGTCATCGTATATACTTTTAACAGTCAGGCAACACCCACTTTGTAGAGTTGTGCAAAAGTGTTGCGCATTCCCCGTGGGGAGGGGACTGTACAGTCCGTCATTCCGTATATTGAGATAACCTAGGTCTGTTGTCAGTCCTGTGTTATCTGCAGGTGGCGTATTCGCGTCATGGACTTTAGCTGATTTTTAACCCTGTGTTTGACTTTTTCCTCGCCTTCTCTGAGTGGCCTTCCTTCCTGTTTTCCATTAGTTTGGGCCCAGCAGACAGACACGCATGCTGTGCTAAGCCAGATGAAATTGGAAAGTCACGTGTGCAAAGCCAGGAGCACTCAGATGACTTCCACAGTAGTGCTATAGAAGCAGTAGGTGATTCACACACACATTTATTGCTGTTTGTGAGATGGTAATTCCCCTGTAATCATGTATGTCTTAAAAGGTTGCCAAAGGCTGGCGCCGCGGCTCAATAGGCTAATCCTCCACCTGGGACACCAGATTCTGTCTCGGTCGCTCCTCTTCCTGTCCAGCTCTTTGCTGTGGCCTGGGAGTGCAGTGGAAGATGGCCCAAGTGCTTGGGCCCTGCACCCGCATGGGAGACCAGGAGAAGCACCTGGCTCCTGCCTTCGGATCAGCACAGTGCGCTGGCCACAGCGCGCCGGCCGCAACAGCCATTGGAGGGTGAAGCAATGGAAAAAAGGAAGACCTTTCTCTCTGTCTCTGTCTCTCACTGTCCACTCTACCTGTCAAAAAAGAAGGTTACCAACATGTATGCTAATCTGTTGCATATATTCAAGTGATAACTGTGTTCCACCTCGCAGCTCTTTCAGAAAATAGGGCATTCTTTGTATCGTCAGGCTTTGTGTTGTAATAATTAAATTTAAAATATTACATCTTTTTTTTTTTGGGTTTTTCTTTCCAGGCAGTGTAGACAGTGAGAGAGAAACAGAGAGAAAGGTCTTCCTTTCCATCGGTTCACCCTCCAAATGGCCGCTGTGGCCGGCGCGCTATGCCGATCTGAAGCCAGGAGCCAGGTGCTTCCTCCTGGTCTCCCATGCGGAGGCAGGGCCCAAGCACTTGGGCTATCCTACACTGCCTTCCCGGGCCACAGCAGAGAGCTGGCCTGGAAGAGGAGCAACTGGGACTAGAACCCGGGGTGCTGGCACCACAGGCAGAGGATTAGCCTAGTGAGCCACGGTGTCGGCCCATATTACATCTTTTTTTAAGATTTATTTCTTGTTTACTTGAAAGGCAGAGTAACAGAGAGAGAGAGAGATCTGTCAACCACTGGTTCATTCCCAAATGGCTGCAATGGTTGTGGGGGGCCAGGCTGAAGCTAGGAGCCGAGAGCTGCTTCTGGGTCTCCCACGTGGGTGCAGGGGCCCAAGCACTTGAGCATCTTCCACTGCTTTCCCAGGTGCATCAGCAGGGAGCTGGAGCAGAAGCAGAACAACCAGGTCTTGAATGGGTGTCCATATGGGATTCTGGCATTGTAAGCAAAGGTTTAACCTGCTATTCTACAACACCTGTCCCAAAATATCATATCTTAAGTTATGTATGTATTCTCCAGTCCATGTATATATATTTATCATGAATTCCTGCTCAAAAAATCTAAAAGGATACATGCTAAGAATTTAATAACAGTTATCTCTGGATGTTAGAATTATGAGTGTGTTAGTCAAAATGTTTTGGCCCGGAAAAACTGACCAATGACTTAAATCAAAAGGCTACTGTGCCTTTTTTTTGTTTTCTTTTCTTTTTGAAGATTTATTTTATTGGAGCCGACTTTGTGACACAGTGGGCTGAGCTGCTGCCTGCAGTGCGAGCATTCCATAAAAGCACCTGTTTTGAGTCCTGAATGTTCCACTTCCGATCCAACTTCCTGCTTATGTTCCTGGAACAGCAGTGGAAGATAGAAGAGCAGTGGAAGATGGCCCAAGCGGCAGAGCTGCAGAGAGAGAGAGTCTTCCCTCCACTGGTTCACTCCCCGAGATGGTCACAGTGTCCATTGCTGAGCTAAGCCGTACTAGGGATCTGGATCTCCATCCGGTCTCCCACATGGTGACAGGGTCCCAAGTACCTAGGCCACCTTCTGTTGCTTCCCACGCATGTTAATAGGGAACTGGATTGGAAATGGAGCAGTCAGGACACAAACTGGCACTCACATGGGGTTTTGGCTTAACCCACCACACCACAGTGCCAGCCCCTACTGTGCCAAAGCCAGATGTGGACAGGCCCACCTTTGGCCCTGGGGTCCACATTGTGACAGCAGATGCAGGCTCTTTCCAGCCTTCTGTTCTGTTGTCCACGGGGCCAGATTTTTTTTTTTTAAAGATTTATTTATTTATTTGAAAGGCAGAGTTACAGAGAGGCAGAGACAGAGAGAGAGAGAGGTCTTCCATCCTCTGGTTCACTCCCGAGATGGCCACAACGGCTGGAGCTGTGCCAATGCGTAGCCAGGACCCAGGAGCTTCTTCCAGGTTTCCCAACCAGGCAGACTTGGCCCATCTTCCACTGCTTTCTCAGGCCATAGCAGAGAGCTGAATGGGAAGCGGGGCATCCGGAACTCAAAGCAGTGCCCATGTGGGATGCCGGCGCTGCAGGCCAGGGCGTTAACCCGCTGTGCCGCAGTGCCAGCCGCATGCTTTTCTTCTTGCAGCACTCTTCGAGGGGATGAGCTGTGTCCGTTTCTCCCCACCCGCTGGCACAGATGACCCAGCTGTCCCATTCCCCCCTCAGGTCCCCGACCATCCGGGACATGGTGATCCGCTGCATCGCCCAGATGGTGAACTCGCAGGCTGCCAACATCCGCTCTGGCTGGAAAAACATCTTCGCCGTGTTCCACCAGGCAGCCTCCGATCACGACGGGAACATCGTGGAGCTGGCCTTCCAGACCACGGGCCACATCGTCAGTAAGTGCCTCTGTTGTGCCGGGCCTGGTGTCCCACAGGCAGGTCTGCAAGAGCGACGGCGCCTCTGCTAGGTGCGTTTCACCGCCTCCAGGGTCTCCCTTGCTGCAGCTCTGCTGTCACGGAGCCAGCCGCGTCCTAATCATGTCCCGCAAAAGCCCACAAAGGAACCGCAGTCCGCCTCATTGATGAATCCTGTGTTTGCAAGGTCACTGCCCGACTAGACTGCTGTTACCCAAGCCGGTACTCGTGTTTTCACGATTATTTGCCAACACATGCACGCACAAAGCAGCAACAAACTGGAACCCCGCGAGGCGCATGTTCCCAGCCGAGGCGGAGCCTGTCAGGTGCTGGGCTGCCGTTTCTGCTGTTTGACGTTGCTCTGTGATTGGTGGAGACTTTGCTGTGCTGTCACGGCCCCTGAGCCCAGTGCGTGTGCTAGCAGGGCTGTGATGGGTGTCACGGAGGAGGTGCCTGTGCTCAATGCACTTCCTGCAGCAGCAGCCAGAGTGCTGTTGGCGTGACTTCTGTGGTGGTGCCTTAGCCAAGTAGATTAAACTCGGTGTCTTTTTTTTTTTTTTTTTTTTTAAGAATTTGTGTATTTTGAAAGAGTTAGAGACAGAAAGAGAGAGATCCTCCATCTGCTGGCTGCAGTGGCCAGGGCTGAGCCGGGCTGAAGCCCAGGAGCTTCCTCGGGGTCTCCCACATGGGTGACAAGGACCCCAACACTTGGGCCATATTCTGGTGCTCTTCCCGGTTCAGAGTCTTTAAAGAGAAACACGTGCACTACAAGGTTATTTGTTGATTTAGTGGTGAAAGTTATGACTAGAGTTTCTCAGAAGCCTAATCCTACGTGGCCAGCAGTGGTTTAGTTTTCTCTGAATCACTGTTCACAGCAACTTTGTAGAACATGAGTGCCCTGAATAACGAGAACTGACTGCCACCCTCCCCCGTTTCACCAAAGAGGAAGCTGAGGCGCAGAAAGGTAAAGTAGAACAGCTTGCCTGGCTCACACAGCTAGAAGTGGTAGAGCCAGAACATGTTCCAGGCAGCCTAGTCCAGAGAGTGCGGAGTGCCCTGGCCTGAGCAGGAGAGCCTGGGCCCACCTGTGGTTGTGTGGTCTCCGGGAGATCCTGTGAGCCCTCCATAGATGTTGAGTGGGTGGAGACCTGGGTCTTCACATCATTCCTTTAGCTCAGGAAAGCAGCTTGACCCAAAGTGTAATCACTGTTTCCCTCCTGGAATAATTTAACGAGAGGAGCTGTCTTCTACACATGCTAACATGCTTACATTTCCACAAAGATAATCGTTTCTTTGGGGGGGGATGTAGCCCCATTCTGAATCTGTTATCAGACGTGTGCCCTGTGCGTTTCTCAGACCCCTTACTGAATATCAGATATGTGCCATGTCTCTGTGTGTGCATGTGTCTCATTCCCCCATTCCGAATCTAAGTGTTAATCAAACATGTACTCTGTGTATGTGTATCTGTCTCTCAATCCCCATTGTGAATCGAGGTCTTTCCAAACATGTGCCATGTATGTTTGTGTGTGTGTGTGTCTTAATCCCCATTCGGAAGCCAGGTCTTTCCAAACATGTGCAATGTATGTGTGTACGTGTGTCTCAATTCCCATTTGAATCCTGGTCTTTGCAAACATGTGCCATGTATGTGTGTGCGTGTGTCTCAGTTCCCATTTGAATCCGGGTCTCACCAAACATGCACCATGTATGTGTGTGTGTGTGTGTGTGTCTCAATCCCCATTTGAATCCGGGTCTCACCAAACATGCACCATGCATGTGTATGTGGTTGTCTCCCTATTTGAATCCAGGTCTCACCAAACATGCACCGTGTGTGTGTGTGTGTGTGTGTGTGTGTGTGTCAATCTCCATTTGAATCCGGGTCTCACCAAACATGCGCCGTGTGTGTGTGTGTGTGTGCGCGTGTGTCTCAATCCGCATTTGAATCCGGGTCTCACCAAACATGCGCCATGTATATGTGTGTGTGTGTGTGTGTGTGTGTGCGCCCGTGCGCGTGTGTGTCTCAATCCGCATTTGAATCCGGGTCTCACCAGACACGCGTGCCATGTATGTGTGTGTGTGTGTCTCAGTTCCCATTTGAATCCGGGTCTCACCAGACATGCGCCATGTGTTCCCGCAGCAAACATCTTCCAGCACCACTTCCCTGCAGCCATCGACTCCTTCCAGGACGCTGTGAAGTGCTTGTCGGAGTTTGCCTGCAACGCTGCTTTCCCCGACACCAGCATGGAAGCCATCCGGCTCATCCGCTTCTGTGGCAAATACGTCTCCGAGAGGCCTCGGGTGCGTTTTTCATCTCTTGTCCATGTGAACAGTGAACAGAAAATGAGTCGTGGGGCAGAAAACCCTAACCACAAGCTTTCCAGCTACACTTTGAGAAATGTGTGTCTGCCCCGAACCAGGTGTTTACCTCAGAACGCTGCCTTTAAAAAAAAAAGAGAAGGCTATTTCTTCCTGTTTATTTCTCTTTTTTTAAGATTTTATTTATTTTTTTGAGAGGTAAAGTTACAGACAGAGAGAGGGAGAGACAGTGAAAAAGGTCTTTCACCTACTGATTCACTCCCCAAATGGTCACAATGGCCAGAGCTGTGCCCATCTGAAGCTAGGAACCAGCAGCTTCTTCCAGGTCTCCCACGTGGATGCAGGGGCCCAAGCACCTGGGCCAGATTCCACTGCATTCCCCGGCCATAGCAGAGAGCTGGATTGGAAGTGGAGCAGCCGGGACATGAACTGGCACCCACATGGGATGCCGGTGCCACAGGTGGAGGCTTAGCCCACTACACCACAGCACTGGCCAGAATGCTACCTTTGCAGGGATTGTACCTCTTCATTTTGTTGTGTGTAAGAAATTACTGATTTTATACATACTGAACTTTTTTTATATAAAGATTTATTTATTTATTTGAAAGAGTTACAGAGAGAGAGGGAGAGACACAGAGGGAGATCTTGCATCCACTGATTTCATTCTCCAGATGGTCACAAAGGCCAGGCTGGGCCAGGCCAAAGCGAGGTGCTTCATCTAGGTCTCCCATGTGGGTCTCAGGGGCCCAAACACTTGGGCCATCTGCCTCTGCTTCCCCCAGGCCATTAGCAGGGAGCTGGATCAGAAGTGGAGCAGCTGGGACTTGAACCAGAAGCTTTACCTGCTGTGCCGCGATGCCAGCCCCATACTGAACTTTGTCTGAATGTTCCACAGATTGTTTTTGTGGACGGTAATCACACTTTAGATCTTGTATTTTGGCAGAGTTCAGAGAGCTAAACGTTTCAATTTGAAAGAAAACAATCCTCCCTCTTAGGAACTCACGTTCTGCCATTGTCATGCACCTACGAACTCATATTTAGAAATTACCTCTAGTTTCTTCTGCAAATGCCTGGGCTTCTTCTGTTGTGTCTCCTCTTTCTAAAGACATACTGTTGGCCCAGATGACAGAGTTGCACAGCGGTCACGTTGGGTTGGGTGCAGGTGTGTATGCTGCAGCCACGCAGATCCCAGCTGTGTATGCTGCAGCCACGCAGATCCTTCCCGAGATGCTTGTTGGAGAACCAACCGTGCACCTCTGAGATGACAGTGCAGTCCCTGCGCTGGCCGCTGGGCCGGGTGCTGACAGCCGGCGCTGACCGAGTACGTAGAGCTCGCCCGGCACCACTCGCTGCAGGTGTTTCCCTGTGTTCGTGTGCTTACTCCCGAGTCAGACCTGCGGCATGGGTAATTGCATCCAGTTGTGCAGGGGAGGTAACTGGACCAGAGAGGTTGCCTAATGTCTGCTAACCTGAGATAAAGAAACTTCAGTACCACTTCAAGTGAGGCTACCGACCAGGCAGGTGGAAATCCTAGAGATAAGGCAGAGAGAAGAGCTTCGCGTCCATACTGAAAAGCCTGCTCCTCCCTGGCTGCATGGCCTTGGGCAGCTTACTGTAGCTCTTAGTTACCTCAGTTTACTCATCTGTAAAATGGGATCGTGTCTGGCTGCCACTGGAGACTGCTGTGAGAACTTTTAACGGTTCCTGGCCTGTCACAGGCACCCAGTAAGTAGTGACTGCTGCTGTTCCTGGTGTTTGAGTAACGTGTACTGTAGTAACGTCCAGAAATACCTAAGATGCTGAGTCACCCTGGGTATTTGACCTTCCTTGCCTTTCTCAGTTTGTGATCTGCCTAACAACTTGTTCTAAAGCTCACATCCTCAGGCTCTGGCAGGGAGACTGCCCTGTGCCCTTGGCCAGGGGACTGTCTGTCCCGTTGGCACTCTCTGTTGTTCCCTTGCTAACCGGAGATCTTTGAGAGGAAGTGTGTGGGGCCTTAATCCCTGTACAGTTCCTGCCTCCTGCTTGCTTGGTCGACATCCGAGATGTGACTGTCTTCTAGGTGCTACAAGAATACACGAGTGACGACATGAACGTGGCCCCTGGCGACCGAGTCTGGGTTCGAGGCTGGTTCCCCATCTTGTTTGAGCTCTCCTGCATCATTAATAGGTGCAAGCTGGATGTGCGGACAAGGTAACATGGCCCTGGCTGGTGGCCTCTTCCCCACAGACGCCCGGCACCTGCTCACCGCCCTGCCGTTCTCTCCACCCTCTTCTCTGTTGTCTCCCCCACACACCCCCCACTCTCTGTACCGTGTCTGCCCATGTTTCTTGCAGGGGACTCACGGTCATGTTCGAGATCATGAAGAGCTACGGCCACACGTTTGAGAAGCACTGGTGGCAGGACCTGTTCAGAATCGTGTTTCGGATTTTTGACAACATGAAACTCCCTGAGCAGCAGTCGGAGGTGAGCGATGCCTGCGGCACCTCCTGGACACCACCGCGGAGGAGCGCCCGGGTGCCTGCGTCTGCCTCTAGGGGTTGTGTCATCAGCTACCCAGAGAATTAAATAGTGAGCACACAAGATATGTTTTAATCACAGGGACAGGCGTTTGGCCCAGTGGTGGTATTAGAGGGCCTGGGTTCAGTGCCTACCTTTGGCTCCTGACTGTAGCTTTCTGCTCATGCAGCCCCAGGAGGCAGCTGAGGTTCCTGTGTCCTGCGGGAGATCCGGATTGAGTTCCGGGTTCCTGTTTTGGGCCTCAGCTTAAGCCTCATTGTTGCTGATATTTGAGGAGTGAACCAGTGGATGGCAGCTCTCTGTCTCTCTGCCTTTCAATTAATTTAAATTAATTTATAATTTGAAATTAATTGACTAATTTAAAAAATAGAAGCATCCTTTCCCTCTTCCACTGGTACCAGCTGGTGCTAAGAAACCCCCTGCCAGGGAAAGAGTGAGACCCGGTGCCACCACGGCCTGCCCCTGGCTCCGGGCATTGTGCTGCCAGTTCGGGAAGGCTGGGGTGGTCACCCTAGCTGCTCTGTTCACACTGCATGTTGTCAGCCACCAGGAAGTGAGCTGTCTGCCCCACTAGGGTTTTTAGTGAGGTCGACCTTGGAGACAATGCTAGCAAATATTAGTCCCCACACACACACTTTTTTTTTTTTTAGAGATTTATTATTTGAAAGGCAGAGAGCTCATGTCTGCTAATTCACTCCCCAAATGCCCAAAACAGCCGAGGCTGGCCCAGGCCAAAGCTAGGATCCAGAACTCCCTCCAAGTGTTCTAGATGGGCAGCAAGGACCTAAGCACTCTGTCATCCTCTGCTGCCTTCCCAGGCACAATAGCAGGGAACTGGAGCAGAGGTGGAGCTGCCGGACATGAACCAGCGCACATACAGGAGGCCAGTCTTGCAGGCGGCTCTCTGAACCCCCTTCCACCAACAACTGTGCCTTCCATGTAAATAAATACATAACTCATTTTTTTGTTTTTAGTAGGGCTTAATGTTTGCCAGCATCGTCTCCATTCACCAGATGAAAGACTTCGGTCTGTATCACTCTACCTGTCAAGTAGATGCAATAAAAAAAGAAGCATTTAAAATAAAATGTGCTAGCGATGTTGCAGATTTTACTCCTGGTGTCAGTCACTTTGTTTCTCATCTGTGCGTTGACCTGAGCCTACCTATTGAGTTTTTCATCTTTTTGGTATTGATTTATGAGTTTTTAAGTATAGAAAGAATGTGGCATATCCTTACATAAATTACAGATTATTTTACCCACTTTGTTATTTTTCTTCCATTTTTTGGGAAATTTTTAGCTTGTTTTTTTTTTCAAGGATTTATTTATTTGAAAAGCAGAGTTATATATATAGAGAGAGACACGGAAAGAAAGGTTGAGAGAGAGGTCTTCCATCTGCTGGTTTGTTCCCTAAATGGCTGCAATGGCTGGAGCTGAGCCCAGCTGAAGGCAGGAGCCCAGAGCTCCACCTGCGTCTCCCACGTGGGTGGCCGGGGCCCAGGTACTTAAGCCATCTTCCACTGCTTTGCAGGCGCATTAGCAGGGAGCTGGATCAGAAACAGAGCAGCCCGTACTCAAACCTGTGTTCCAATATGGAAATTTTTAGCTTTTAAGTAACTGAGCCTATTACTTTTTTCCTTTCTGGTTTCCACTTCTGGCATATGCCTGGCAGTCCTTTCCTTTCCCCTGGTTTTACAAGTATCTTTATGCATGTTTTCTCTGGTGACTTCAGAGCGTGTTTAATATTGAGCTCTTAGTGTAAGGTGTATTTAGCGTCATCTCGTGTTCATTTTTTCCAGATCAGTAAAACATAAGCATCATTTTCAGTGGCTCTTTCATATTTTTTATCATATGGATATACTTAATTTAATTTTATTTACTTACTTTATTTGAGAGAGAGAAGTCTCCCATCTGCTGGTTCATTCCCCAAATGCCCATAACAGCCAGGGCTGAACAGACCAAAGTCAGGAGGCAGGAACTCAATTTGGGTCTCATGTGGATGGCAGGGACCCAAATACTTGCGCCATCACATGGTTCCTCCTGGTACCGCATCAGCAGGAAGCTGGAATCTGGAACAGAGCCAGGATTTGGACCCAGGTACTCGAGCGTGGGATGCCGGAACCCCGAGTGGCCTCTCAATGGCTGAGTGCTCGCCCTGGATGTACTTAATTTAATGTACACGTTGGTTGGCGTTAAGTTGTATCTGTTTTCAGTGTTTAAATGCCATTGTGGTAAACATCTTTATTCATACATTCTATTTTAATTTTTTTTGTTCGAGAGGTGGAGAGACAGAGACAGAGCTCCCATCTGTTGGTTCACTCCTTAAATGGCCACAAGAGCTGGAGCTGGGCTCGGAGGAAGCTGGGAGATGGGGACATCATCCACATCTCCCACGTGAGTGGCAGGGACTCTGCTGCTCCCAGAGTCCTCATTAGCAGGAGGCAGGAGCAGAGACAGGCGTCAACCCAGGTGCTCAAATATGAGAAAGCGGCATCTTACTTGGTAGACTAGACGCCACCCTGTTCGTAAACCTGTGCCCACAAATCTTTGGGTATTTTAGGATCGATTCTTTGAAGTGGTACTGCACAGTCAGTGGGTGTGGAATTTTAAAGACTACTGATGTGGATCACCAGGTTGCCTGCCAGAACAGTTTGCCAGAAGTGTACACAGCAGTCTGTTTCCCTGTGGGGAGAGTGGCTAACTTTGAACATTATCTTTTTACTGTTTCTCCAGAAATCTGAGTGGATGACAACAACCTGCAATCACGCACTTTATGCTATTTGTGACGTCTTTACGCAGTTTTATGAAGCTTTGAATGAAGTCCTTCTTTCTGATGTCTTTGCACAATTGCAGTGGTGTGTAAAGCAAGGTATTCTTTCAGTCTCCAGGTGTCATTGTTCCTACCCAGTCTTAGCAGAAGGCTGATTTCTTCAACGTGAAAAAGCATTCATATGATGCCAGGGAGTACAGTGGATGATGTAACTGGTGAAGATGTGTGTTTTTAATTTTATGTTTTATTTTTTTTGTAAGGGAAAGAGTTTATTGGGGGAAACCCAACAGACCGGAGGGAAAAGGCAAAGAAAGAAAAAGAGAAGGAGAATGTAAGAGAGAGCTCAAGAGACAGAGATCAGGAGATGGAGAAAAAGAGAGCGTATTTTAAAATTTAATTAGAACATAGGAACAGTTGTCTCAAGTCAGCTTATAAAGCATTTCTTTTCTTTTTTATTTATTTATTTATTTGTTTGATTGAAAGGCAGAGTTACTGAGAGGCAGAGGCGGGGAGAGAGAGAGAGAAGTCTTTCATCCACTGGTTCACTCCTCAAATGGCCACAACGGCTGGCCGATCTGAAGCCAGGAGCCAGGAGCTTCTTCCAGGTCTCCCATGAGGATGTAGGGGCCCAAGGCCCAGGCCATCTTCTAGTGCTTTCCCAGGTCATAGCATAGAACTGCTATGTTGGATCAGCGCTACACTGATCCAAAGCCAGGAGCCAGGTGCTTCCTCCCTGTCTCCCATGCAGGCGCAGGGACCCAAGTACTTGGGCCATCCTCGCTGCCCTCCTGGGCCACAGCAGAGAGCTGGACTAGAAGAGGAGCAGCCAGGACAGGCACCCTGCAGTACCAGCTCTTCCCACTATGGCACCATGCCAGCTCCATCTTTTTATTTTTTTTTTAAGATTGATTTATTTATTTGAAAGTCAAAAGTTACACAGAGGGCCGGCGCCGCGGATCAACAGGCTAATCCTCCGCCTGCGGCGCTGGTACCCCGGGTTCTAGTCCCGGTCAGGGTGCTGGATTCTGTCCCGGTTGCCCCTCTTCCAGGCCAGCTCTCTGCTATAGCCCAGGAGTGCAGTGGAGGATGGCCCAAGTGCTTGGGCCCTGCACCCCATGGGAGACCAGGAGAAGCACCTGGCTCCTGGCTTCAGATCAGCGCGATGCGCTGGCTGCAGCGCGCCAGCCGCGGCGGCCATTGGAGGGTGAACCAATGGCAAAAGGAAGACCTTTCTCTCTGTCTCTCACTGTCCACTCTGCCTGTCAAAGAAAAAAAAGTTACACAGAGAGGAGAGACACAGTGAGATCTATCTTCCATCCGCTGGTTCACTTCCCAGATGGCCAAAACAGCCAGAGATGAGCCGGTCTGAAGCCAGGAGCTTCTTCCTGGTCTCCCCCGTGGGTAGCAGGGACCCAAGCACTTGGGCCATCTTCTCCTTTTGAGGCCATTAGCAGGGAACAGGATCAGAAGTAAAGTAGCAGCTCCGGTCGTTGTGGCCATCTGGGGAGTGAATGGTGGACCTCTCTCTCTCAATGCCTCTGCCTGTCTATAACTCTGCCTTTCAAATAAATAAATCTTTAAAAAAAAAAAAAAAGTGAAGCAGCTAGGACTCGAGCAGTCGCCCATATGGATTGCTATGTTTTTAAAGGCGGTGGCAGCACCTACTGCTCCACAGTGCAGCCTCTGTAAAGTGTTTCTGTAAGGTAGAACCTAAGTTTTTTTGTGTGAATTTTAAAAGATGTGCCTTTTCGTATTATACTGTTCTTTTAAATTTTTATAGCAAAATTTTTATTTGTTTGTTTTTAAAGATTTTATTTATTTATTTCAGAGGCAGAGTTACAGACAGTGGGAGGGAGAGACAGAGAGGTCTTCCATCTGCTGGTTTACTCCCCAAATGGCCGCAAAGGCCAGAGTTGGCTGATCCAAAGTAAGGAGCCAGGCATTTCTTCCGTGTCTCCCACGTGGGTGCAGAAGCCCAAGTGCTTGGGCCATCTGCTTTCCCAGGCCATTAGCGGAGAGCTAGATTGGAAATGGAGCAGCCAGGACTAGAACCGGTGCCCATATGGTATGCCAGTGCCACAGCATAGCCCCTAGTAAAAATTTTTTTTTTTTAATTTTTTTTATTTGACAAGTAGAGTTATAGACAGAGAGAGACAGAGAAAGGTCTTCTTTCCATTAGTTTACTCCCCTAATGGTCGCTACGGCCGGTGCTACGCTGATCCAAAGCCAGGAGCCAGGTGCTTCCTCCCTGTCTCCCATGCAGGCGCAGGGACCCAAGTACTTGGGCCATCCTTGCTGCCCTCCTGGGCCACAGCAGAGAGCTGGACTAGAAGAGGAGCAACAAGGGCTAGTACCCAGCGCCCCAACCGGGACTAGAACCCGGGGTGCCAGCGCTGCAGGTGGAGGATTAGCCTAGTGAGCCACGGCACTGGCCATAGTAAAATGTTTTTAAAATGTACTGTTGGAGTCAAAATCAACAGCTGCTGTAAAGGACTTTTTTTTTTTTTTTTTTTTTTGAATAGATACATATTTATTTTACTGTGTCAGGAAATCAGACTGGATTCCGTGAATAATGTTGGCTTGGGGCTAGGCTAAGTTTAATTAAGTTTGTCAAAAAATTACGCAGTTTAAAAATGACTACAGTCACTACTGTTTGGATGCAAAAATTCGAAACGTAGTCTTTGACTAAACTGTTCTAGTATTTTCCCTGTCCTTTTACGGTTTCTCATGTATGAGCCACTTGATTAAAGTAGCGAAACACTGACCTCCTTCCATTCCTGGCAATAGAACTGTGAACAGTAATTCTTCAGCTGTAAAGGTTTTAGCACTGTTTTTGTAGCATTGTCCCCTTAACTAGAAGTCTGCAAACCCACGGTGTGTGGGGGCGGGGGAGGCCTCACAGCATAAAGCTTCTGGGACCTGTTAGCATCCAGCAGCCCTGGAGGCTTCCTGATGGGCACTGCCTGATTTCGCAGATAATGAACAGTTGGCTCGGTCTGGTACAAATTGCTTAGAAAACTTGGTGATCTCCAACGGAGAGAAGTTCAGCCCCGCCGTGTGGGATGAGACCTGCAGCTGCATGCTGGACATCTTCCAGACAACCATCCCACACGTGTAAGTGTCTGAGCCGCGCAGCTCGCTCCACACCCAGCAGGCTGCCCTCGACACTGACGCTTGTCCCTTCTCTCCGTTCCCTTCAGTTTGCTGACCTGGAGGCCTGCGGGAATGGAGGACGACTCATCAGAGAGACACTGGGTAGGGCTGGCTTTTCTGTTGTCTTTCCTCTCTCCTCGTATCTGCGTGAAAGACGAATCAGTCTGTACTGCTTGTCCTTATTTGGTGGGAAGTGAGTGAAAAAGGTGTAGATCTAAAGTAATCTGTGTTCATTAATGTAGGTTTTGTAAAGCACGAGGAACGATTAAGAAAAATAAGTCACCTCACCGGTAAAGCGCCGTTTGCATTTCTAGGTTTTGCTGTGTGACTGCACTCCCCTAGTGGATCCACACACACATGAATGAGGGCTCACTTGGCACATACTGTGTTAGCAACACTCTGAGTGTTGTTCCAAGGCTTTGACCAGTCATTGAGACAGCCTTTTCAGTGGCTACACAGTATTGTACTTTTTTTTTAATTATTTTTAAAATATGTTTTTAAAGTCACAAAGGGACAGAGAGAGAGAGATCTTCCTTCCACTGGTTCATTCTCCAGATGGCTAAAACAGCCAGGCCTGGGCAGGCCAAAACTAGAAGCCAGGAGCTTCATCCAGGTCTCCCGAGTGAGTGACGGGGGCCTGAACACTTGCTGCTTTCCCCAGGCCGTTGGCTGGGAGCTGGATCCGAAATGGTGCAGCCAGGACACTATCAGCACCTACTGCCACCATTCCAGTGGCAGCTTTACCTGCTGCACCACCACACCTGCCCCTGCAATCTTTTTTAATTAATTAATTAATTTGAAAGGCAGAGCCAGAGAGAGAGAGACAGTGAGAGAGAGAGACAGTTTGATTGAGATTGAGAGAGGATGTATCTCCCATTTGCTGGTTCACTCTCCAAATGACCACAAGAGCCAGGGCTGGGCCAGGCTGAAGCCAGGAAACTGGAAATCCGTCTGGGTCTCCCATATAGGTGGCAGGGACCCAAGCACTTGAGCCATCATCTGCTGCTTTCTCAGGCACCTTAGCAGGAAGCTGGATCAGAAAGGTAATAGCCGGGACTCGAACTGGTGCTCTGATGTGGGATACAGGCTTAACAATGCCTATAGTTTCTTTTGCTTTTCTTTTTTTTAAAGACTTTATTTATTTATTTATTTGAGAGGTCAGGTTACAGACAAAGAGAGCAAGAGACAGAAAGGTCTTCCATTCGCTAGTTCATTCCCCAAATGGCTGCAACAGATGGAGCTGGGCTGATCCGAAGCCAGGTGCCAGGAGCTTCTTTTAGGTCTCCCATGCGGGTGCAGGGGCCCAAGCACCTGGGCCATCTTCTGCTTTCCCAGGCCTTTAGCATAGCAGAAACCTGGACCGAAAGAGCAGCCGGGACATGAACCGGTGCCCTTATGGGATGCCAGTGCCACAGGTAGAGGCCAAGCCTACCATGCCACAGTGCCGGCCCCCACCCCATAGTTTCTTGAACTGATTGTCTCTAGTGAGGCTCTCAGGACAGTTCCAGGGTGGCATTGCTATAACTACTGCTTGGGTGTGACTTCCTGTGTGTTGCTTTCCAGAGCAAATAGTGCTGTCCTCTTCTCCAGAGAAGGGGAAGTCCTTATGTTATGTATACAAACATTCGAATTCAGGTCTCACGGGTACCATGTGTGCCGTATACAACATTCGAATTCAGGTCTCACGGGTACCATGTGTGCCGTGTACAACATTCGAATTCAGGTCTCACGGGTACCATGTGTGCCGTATACAACATTCGAATTCAGGTCTCACGGGTACCATGTGTGCCGTATACAACATTCTTTTTTTTTTTTTTTTTTGACAGGCACAGTGGACAGTGAGACAGTGAGAGAGAGAGACAGAGAGAAAGGTCTTCCTTTGCCGTTGGTTCACCCTCCAATGGCCGCCGCGGCCGGCGCGCTGCAGCCGGCACACCGCGCTGATCCGATGGCAGGAGCCAGGAGCCAGGTGCTTTTCCTGGTCTCCCATGGGGTGCAGGGCCCAAGCACCTGGGCCATCCTCCACTGCACTCCCTGGCCACAGCAGAGGGCTGGCCTGGAAGAGGGGCAACCGGGACAGAATCCGGCGCCCCGACCGGGACTAGAACCTGGTGTGCCAGTGCCGCTAGGCGGAGGATTAGCCTAGTGAGCCGCGGCGCCGGCCCGCTGTATACAACATTCTAATTCAGGTCTCACGGGTACCATGTGTGCCGTATACAACATTCGAATTCAGGTCTCACGGGTACCATGTGTGCCGTGTACAACATTCTAATTCAGGTCTCACGGGTACCATGTGTGCTGTATACAACATTCTAATTCAGGTCTCACGGGTACCATGTGTGCCGTATACAACATTCTAATTCAGGTCTCACGGGTGCCATGTGTGCTGTATACAACATTCTAATTCAGGTCTCACGGGTACCATGTGTGCCGTGTACAACATTCTAATTCAGGTCTCACAGGTACCATGTGGACTGTATACAAATATTCTAATTCAGGTCTCACAGATACTTTGGTTTAATTGGTGAGAGGAGGGTGAATTATTAATTTCTATTTCCAAGTAATTCTGAGGCCGTTAGATTTTAAAAGGTAATGGAGGCACAGCAACTTAAACTGAAGCGCTGAGGTCGGATTTTGGCCTAGCAGTTATGATTCCCAGGCCTCTATCAGAGTGCCTGGGCTTGGTACTGTTGGGCACCAAAAAATATGTTGTGCCCAGATCGTTAGATCCCTACAGAGACCCCCAGAAATTCAATCACACCGAACTGCAAAAACAAGGTTTATTCAGGAGTACAAGCTGCCACAGGGACCCCATCCAATCAACTGGCACAGCGGAGGAAGGAGTGAGGCCCTGGTCTTTGTTTGGGAGAGTTTTTAAAGGAAAGAAAGGGCTACATCAGCAGGAAAAAAGAGTTACATACAGCACGGGAGCTCTGGGTGCAGGGAGTTACTTTGTTTAGCAATCTCTACTGTGCTGTCCCTGGTAAGCTTTGACATCTCCGGAATGCCTGAATGCCTGCTTTTACAAGGACCCGGGTCTGCTATGGGAAACGGAGGCTGCTTTTTTTAATTGTTTTAAAATGGAGTCACTTTGGTTCTTCAGTACCCCGTTCCGCTCCTGTCTCCAGCTTCTTGCTGAGGCAGATCGGGGAGGCAGTGGCTCGGGAGAGTGGGGCCCTGCCACCCTCGTGGGAGAGCAGAGTCGCAGGCATTTGTGGAGTGAGCCAGCGGAGGAGAGCTTCCTTCCTCTTTGTCTCTGTGTGTCTCTCAAATAAGTTCTAAAAATTTTAACAAAAATGAAGCATATTATTTAAACATTTTGATTTTTAGCCCTGTCTTCTACTGTCACAACAAAAACTAGCTACTATACTACTGATTTATTTTTTAACTTGATTTCATGAAAAATTTGTCATATTCATTTATAAATCATAATATGTAAAGAAATGTTGCCTGAGTTGGAATAGAAAATTGTAAAACTTTAGTGGGGGGTGGGACATATTGAAATTCCCCAGCTCTCCAGGGCTATATAAAGTGTGCAGTGTGATTTTACTTTAGACTGAACAAGGCACTTACATTCAAGCTGAGCCAGCAGTGTTAAACAGGCACGTCTCTGCCCAGGTACAGAGTCCTGATGAGGACAAGTGAGCTCTGTGTTTTTCTCTGGTTTATTCTCAGGATGTGGATCTGGACCACCAGTCTGTAAGCAGTGTAGACAAAAATGCCTCCGAGAGAGGCCAGAGCCAGCTCTCCAACCCCACCGACGACAGCTGGAAGGGTAGACCATATGCAAGTAAGGCCACGTGTCTTTTTTAATTTTTCTTTTTTAAGATGATTTATTTGAAGGTCAAAATTACAGAGAGAGAGAGAGAGAGAGAAAGAGATCTTCCATCCACTGGTTCCCTCCCCAAATGGCTGCAATAGCCAGGGCTGGGTCAGGCCAGAGTCAGGAGCCCAGAGCTTCTTCCAGGTCTCCCACGTGGGTGCAGGGGCCCAGGACTTGGGCCGTCTTGCAGTGCTTTCCCAGGCCTCAGCAGGGAGCTGGATCATACTTGAACGGCCAGGACTCAAACCAGCACCCACATGGGAAGCTGGCACTACAGGCCGGCTTTGCCTGCTGCACCACCATGCCAGCCCCAGTAAGGCAACTTTGTTTGTTTTTGTTTTGTTTTGTTTACATTTGTTTTTTATTTATTCATTTTGAACAGGGAGCACACGTGTATGTCATTCACGTGTTCAGAAAGCACAAACCAGTAACCAGAGTGAACTTTCTTCCGCCCCAGGCCTCAGTTCCCTCTGGCAACAGAAGGGACTGGTTTCTCGTGTGCCTTTCCACGGATTTAATCCACGTGCCAGCAGATCCAAGCGGAAATGCCTTTGCAGACGTTCACATACGTGCACCTACACCTGGGAACTCTCCTCTCCTATTTATACAGTCACTACTTATGCATAAGCTATGCATTATTCTTTTCTCATTTAACGCATATTAGAGGTCACTCAGCATCAATTCATAAAGTACTTTCACATTGTTTGATACTATAATCTCTTGTTCCAGTATGTAGATGTACTTACTACTGTTTAATCGGTCCCCTACTGTATGACTTCTAATCTTAGTATGTGCCATTTGTGAGTCTGTGTATTAAATTCCTAGAAATAGCACGTAGGGTCCATGGATAGATACACTTGCCAGTTGGACATATTTGCAGGGGCCAGCACTGTGGCGTAGCAGGTTAAGCTGCTGCCAGCAGTGCCAGCATCCCATATGGATGCTGGTTTGAGTCCCAGCTGCTCCACTTCTGACCCAGCTCCCTGCCAATACTCCTAGGAAAGCAGCGGGACATGGCCCAAGGGCCTGGGCCTCTGCACTCATGTGGGAGACTCAGATGAACCTCCTAGCTCCTGGCTTCAGCCTGGCCTGGCCCTGGCCATTGTGGCCATTTGGGGAGTGAACCAGCTGATGGATTATCTCCCTCTTTTTTCTCTCTCTCTCTCTGTGTATTTGTGCCTTTCAAATAAATAAATAAATTTTAAAGAAGGGGGGAAAAAAAGAACGTATTTGCAGATTGCCATCTGTTGAGGTTGTGCCTGTTTACATGTTCTTTGGCAGCACCTAAATGGAATTTGATGTCTTTAAAGGAACTGCGATTTGTGCTTTGCTGTGAGTGAAACGGAGCTGTTTTTCATATGTTTAAGAAGCACTTCTGTGTTCTTTTCCATGAACTCCCTGTTGGTAATCCTCGCTCATGCTGTGCTGTCTCTGGGTGCTTTGTCTTGCTGATTGGAGGAGCTGCTGAAGGATTAGAAATCCTTTCACTAGATACAGGTTTCAAATTACTTTCACCAGTTTGTCTGTTAATGTCGCTTTCCGTGTGTTTGAGTGCCTGTCAATCATTTGTGCCAGGCACCGCACTGTGTTTCATGGGTGTGAGCTTACTGAACCCCAGCACGAGCCTGTGAAGAGTGTTGTTGTACATGTGACCAACCCGGGGCTTGGATAAATGAAGGGACTTGCTAGTGGGTAGTGGAGTTGGGGTTCAGGCACATTTTTGGCAGACTGAGGAATGGGCACGTTTAAAGCATTATTCTGGTCTTTTTAAAGTTGTGTGTCTTCATAGCAGTCCCACCCTGTCTTCAAGATGCCATGCTGCAGGTGTCAACATTGAACTTCTTAGGGCCAGGGTTGTGGCATAGTGGCCCAAAGTGGCCACCTGTGACACTGGCATCCTATATGGGTGCCAGTTCACGTCCTGGCTGCTCCACTTCTGATTCAGCTCCCTGCTAATGGTCTAGAAAAAGCAGTAGATGATGGGTCAAGTGCTGGGGCCCCTGCCACCCACATGGGGGACCTGAATGAAGCTCCTGGCTTCAGCCTGGCCCAGCTTTGGCTGTTGCAGGCATCTGGGGAGTAAGCCAGCAGATGAAAGATCTCTGTCTCTCCTTTTTCTCTCTGTAACTCTTATAAATAAATCTTTTATTTAAATAAATTGAACTTCTTAAGCAGCACATTGAATAAAAGCAATATATGTGACCATTATCTTTTATTCACTATTTAAAGATTTATTTATTTGAGAGGAAGAATCACAGACAGAGGGAGAGACAGAGAGGTCTTTCATCCGCTGGTTCACGTCCCAAAGGGCTGCAATGGCCAGAGCTGGGCTGATCCAAAGCCAGGAGCCAGGAGCTTCTTCCGGGTCTCTCACACAGGTGCAGGGGCCCAATTCACAATTATAAAATCAGGAAGTCTTAAATGCCAGTTTTTAAAAAGTTTTATTTTCCATTTTACGTGAAAGGCAGAGACACAGTGTGGAGCTGTGGCCCAGAAAGTTAAGCCACCACCCATGATGCAGTCATCGCGTATGAGCGCCAGTTCATATGTCCTGGCTTCTACGCTTCCGAGCCAGCTGCCTGTTAATGTAACTGGGAAAGCAGTGGAAGATGGCCCAAGTATCTGGGCCCCTGACACCCATATGGAAGATTCAGTAGAGTCCTAGCTCCTGGCTTTGGCCTGGCTAAGCCTTGGCCACTGGGGCCATTTGGGGAGTGAAACAGTAGATGGAAGACCTTTCTCTGTCTCTCTCCTCTCTTTGTAACTCAGCCTTTCAAATAAACAAATTTTTTTTTTTTTTAAAGAGAGATGGAGACAGCTCTCCAATCCACTAATTCAGTTCCCAAATGTTTGTAATGGTTGGAACTTAGCCAGGCCAAACCCAGGAGTCTGGAACTCCATCTGGGTCTCCCATGAGTAGCAGGGGCCCAAGTACTTAAACCTTCATCTGCTGCCTCCCATGCCATGCTGAGCATTAGCAGGGAGCTGGAATCAGAAGTGGCACAGGGACTCTACTTTTTTTTTTTTTTTAATGTATTTGAAGGAACGGTAGATGGGGATCTCCATCCACTGGTTCATTCCTCTAAATACCCGCAACAGCTGGGACTGGGCCAGGCCAGAGCCTGGACCTGGGAACTTCATTCCAGTTTCTCGTGTGGGTGGCGGGGACACAGCACTGGAGCCGTCACCTGCTGCCTCTGCAGGTGCACATCAGCGGGAAGCCAGGGCAGGAGTCTGTGCTTTGGCTGCAGTCATATTAACCAGCAGTGTTACCAAGTGCTTGACCAGGGCCACCTCTGAGCCCGCGGGGATGGAGACGGAGTCAGCCACAGAGAAGCTCAGAACTGGGAACGCGCCCGAGGTTACTCAGCCCTAAAGGGGAAACATTTACTCTTACGAGCTGCAAAGTAGGAAATGCAGAAGGCAGCGGCTGCCTCTGGGGATGATGGAAAGTGGTCCATAAACTAAGAACCACGAAGAGCCGCTCCCCCCACCCCCACACTGAGATGCTAGCCTCTTCAGGGGCTGCTGCCCCGAGGACCTGCCTGCTCCTGGGGGTAGGGGGTGCAGAGCTGACCTGTAGGAGCAGCCCACAGGTGGCAGAGAAACCCGCTGGAGGACACAGGACCTGCGTGGGAGATTCCTTCGTCTTTTTTGACGTCTTTGCTTAGCACATCTGCAGAGACCTTCCCTGACCTGCATACTTAAACTCAGCTTCCCCCCAGTCTCTCCTGGTCCTCGCCTGACTGTCTCTGTTCATGCCTGGAGCAGGGGTGTGAGTCCAGTCCGCTCATGGCTGTGCCACGGTGTCAGGCCTGCCTGGCACGTAGTAGAGTGGGTGACTGTTTACTCGGCAGCATCAGCTGAGTCATCGTCAGGGTTCATCTCTGTCGTCTAATGCAGATCAGAAGCTGTTTGCCAGCCTCCTCATCAAGTGTGTGGTCCAGCTGGAGCTGATCCAGACCATCGACAACATCGTGTTCTACCCTGCCACGAGCAAAAAGGAAGACGCCGAGCACATGGTTGCTGCCCAGGTACGACAAGGCCTCACCGTGGGCACCCTTGCCCGCAGGGAGTGGCTCCGCGTCAGTGGCCTGCTGGAGCCGGCTGGGACTGGCTTTCCCAGGCCTGTCGTGTCCGTGACTTCCCAGACCTGCAGACAGGGATGCTGAATCGGTGGCCACAGTGGGAGTTAGCCCTCGGAAACAGGCAGAGCAGACAGGAGAGTCGGGCTTCTGTCCTTGTTCCCGCATTTCAGACTCCGCCCCCACCAGGGTGCTTCCTGAAATGTGCTGCCGTTCCCACAGCTGGCGTGTGTTGTAACACAAACAACTGAGAGGGGAAATCTCTCTAAAGATCCTAGTTTTTCCTTCAGAAAATTCACTTTTGTGTTTGTGTATAATAAAGATTCTTGAAAACAGACACCTGAGTGTCCAGAACTTGGACAGTTGGCTTACACCATGGGTTACAAACTGAAGGCCTCGGGGGCCTAGCAGACCCACTGGAATGAGGGCGGCCGACGGGTGGGGCCTGCAGCCAGTCGGAGCTCTCGGGCCCAGCGCTGGTGGTGGTTCCAGTTTCTCAAGGAGAGCCAGAACCAGAGTTTTCTTCATGTAGGAAATTGCCCATTTTTTTAAATACTAGCTGCTACTGTCAGTCGTCTCATCACTGCTGAACAGCAGGGGCCAGATCCCGCTCGAAGGCGGCCACTTCTCTGTGTGTGCACTCAGTGGTTTCACAGATTGTGGGCTTGTGCCTGCGTCGCCCCTGTCTGATTGGGGAATATCTTTATCACTGTAGAGGACATGCAGGAAACCATGAGCTGGGCGTGCCCACTCCCCCGCCTTCTGGCCCAGGCGGCCACTAATCTGCTTTTTGTCCCTGTGGATTTGCCTGTTCTCGGTATTTCGTATAAATGGACTCACAAAATGTGTGACCTTGTGTGTCCGCTTTCCAGACTCCCCCAGGTTAGTGCATGTGGCAGCACTTCCTTCTTTTTATGTGTAGCCAACTAACCTTCCACTGTATGGGTGGAGGTGTGGAGCAGACCTAGTCCGGAAAGTCTGAATCTGGGCTCTGAAACCTAAAATGTCCTGAGCACTGACGAGACGCCACAGTGGAACGTTCCTCTCGACCTCACGTGATAGTTATGGGCAGGGTGTGGGTACACTCTGCTGCACGCTGTGTACTTCACCTGCAGGTTGTGAGTGTAAGGCATAGATGAAACACAGGGGGATCGCTTGTGTAGACCTGGGCCCCATCCCCAACGGATCTCATTGTATGTATGCAAACGTTCGAAAATCCAAAACACGTGTGGTCCCAAGCATTTTGGATAAGGGATGCTCAGCTTGTACTACACTTTGTACCCAGTCATCTGTTGGTGGAGGTTTAGATTAGTTCCGTCGTGATGAGTAATGCTGCTGTGAACACTTGGATATAACTCCTTATGTGGCCGTATGTCTCCTGGGTGTGTACAGGGAGTAACTGGACATTCCCCTTCCTGAGAGGTTGCCAGCCTGATTCCCACAGTGGTGGCACAGCCGTGTATTCCAGCAGCAGTGTGTGAAGTGTCACATCTCACCAGCGGCCAGCACTGTCCTTTTTAAATTACAGCCATCATCATGGATGTGAAGTGGCATCTCATTGTGGTTTTCATTTGCATGTCTCTAGTGACTAATGATATTAAGCATCTTTTGTATATATTGGTCATTTGTGTGTCTTTGGAAATGACTACTCAAATCCTTTGCCTGTTTTTAAATTGTGGATTTTTTTATTGTTTAACCTTTTTATTTATTCTACATATATAATTTCATATCCGATATATGACTTTGGACCTGTTATCTCTCATTTTGTGTGTTGCCTTTTGGGATTATTGGTGCTGTCTTTTGAAGCCCAAAAGTTCTAATTTTTTTTTTTAAGATTTATTTTATTTATTTGAAAGTCTGAGTTAGAGTCCTTCAGTCCAGTGGTTCACTTTCCAGATGACCGTAACAGCCAGGGCTGGGGCAGGCGGGAGCCAGGAGCTTCATTCAGGTTTCCCACATGGGTGGCAGGGGCCCAAACACTTGGGCCGTCTTCCATTGCTTTTCCTACATCATTAGCAGGAAGCTGGATTGCAAAATGGACCAGCCAAAGCACAAACTAACACCCATGTGGGATGCTGGCATTGCAAGTGGTAGCTTTACCCACTATGCCAAAGCACTGGCCCATTAAAGATTTATTTTGTTTACTTGGAAGGCAGAGTTACAGAGAGAAAGAGAAAGCTATCTTCTGTCAGCTGGTTTACATTCCAGATGGCTGCAGCAGCTGGGGCGGGGCTGGGCCAGGCCAAAGCCAGCAGCCAGGAATGCCATCCAGATCTCCCATGTGGGTGGCAAGGACCCGAGCACTTGGGCCATCTTCTGCCTTCCCAGGTGGATTAGCTGGAACTGGAACCAGTGCTCATAGGGGATGCTGGTATCAAAGGCAGCAGCTAAACCCACTACACTACAGCACCTGCCCCAAAAGTTCTAAATTTTGATGAAGTCCAAGTTACCTATGTTCTTTTTGTTTTGTTATGTTTTGTTTTTAAGATTTATTTGTTTGTTTGAAGGTCAGAGTTACAGAGAGGGAGAGACGGAAGAGAAATCTTCCACCCTCTGGTTCCCTCCCCAAATAGTCGCAACAACCAAGTGACCAGGGATGGACCAGGCTAAAGCCAGGAGCCAGGAGCTTCTTCCGGGGCTTCTACATGGGTGCAGGGGCCCAAGCACTTGGGCCATTCTCCAATGCTTTCCTAGGTGCATTAGCAGGGAGCTGGATCAGAAGCGGAGCAGCCGGGACTAGTACCCGTGCCCAGCTGTGTCACAGCACCGGCCCCCACCTGTTGTTCTGTAGTCATTTGTACTTGAGTGTCAAGTCTAAGAAAACATTGCCTGATTCAGAGTCACGTAGATTTAGGCCTGGCTTTTTGTTTGATAATTGTGGCTCTTACTTTTAGGTGTTTGATCCATTCTTTTGCCCGCCCCTTAGTCTGTTCCTGTCTAAGGCGGGGGTGGGGAACCCGGTGTCTTTCCCGTGCGTGTGATGCCATCTTCCCAGCACACTTGCTGTGAAGTCCGTTTCCCCCGTGAGTTTTGCTGAGCCTGTGTTGGAAATCCCTTGACCGCGAATCTAAGGGCTCTTTCCAGACTCTCCATGAGTACACAAGGGGCCTTCAGGGACGTCATGGACCCTGCGGACCATGAAAAACCTAGCTGTGGGTTTCAGATACTTTGTACCAGATTAAGCTCCTGTCTTCCTGCGAATGCTTTGAAGCCCCTGGGTGCCTGTCCTGATGGCTGCAGCTGTCTAGGGAGAGCCTGAGTCCCCGCCTCTGTGTCATGCGTGCTTCTGCGTGGGTTTTAGGGTTAGCCTGTCGGTTTGTGCCAGGAAGTGAGCAGGGGTTTTGGGAAGGCCGCAGTGACTGTAGAATCACAGGGAAAGCACTAGGCGCTGTGGCCTGTTGCGGCCTCCGGCTCTGATGTGGATGGGCCACCCCTGAAAGTCTCAAGGAATACAAGGTCCCTAAGCAGGTCCCAGACGTGGGGCAGTGCGTGCAGTAGCGTTTCCCAGCATTCCACAGGTGCTACAGGTTTGTTTTCAGTCGTTGAGCTTCAGCTCAGTAATTACCTGACTGAGGTCCATGACGCACGCAGGCCTTGCTGCCGGTTTGCACCTTCCAGTTAACGTGCTCACACCTTTGTCACATACATTGCATTGTGGTTTTTTTCTCCTTTTTCAATCCTGGACAAAATGAATGCAGCCCTTTAGTGAAATGAGTGGAGACGCATAACTCGCATTCACACAACACAGCCGAGTTGGCTAGCGTACCCAGCTGGAGAGCAGGCCCTGGGTGGGTGTAGTTGAAGACGGCGAGTAGTGCGCTGTGTTTCGTGGGGACAGGTCTGCCTTTGCCTGCTATCAGGGTGCCCAAAACCAGTCCATCCTCTCCACTCTGTGCTCTGTGCTCTGTCCTCTAGCAAGACACGCTGGACGCTGACATCCACATAGAGACGGAGGACCAGGGCATGTACAAGTACATGTCCTCCCAGCACCTCTTCAAGCTGCTGGACTGCTTGCAGGAGTCCCATTCCTTCTCGAAGGCTTTCAACTCCAATTACGAGCAGCGGACCGTCCTGTGGCGAGCAGGTATGGCCACCCAGCGGGTAGACCAGGTGGCCACGTGGTCACCGACTTGAAACGTGAAGGCCTTTGGAAACTCCTGATGTTCTAAATGTGTCTGGAATAACTTCCCTGGTATTTTCCTGCCTGATGCTGGTACATTTCATCCTCGTACCAGATATACTGCCTGACACTTGGTAGCTTCTCAGAGCAAGTCAGGAAATTCGGCAGTAAAATATCTAAAAAGGCGTGATAGTCTAGGAGGAACAGAAAGTATTCGTTTCCTGAGATTTAAGGGGTTTTCTCTCCTGCCTCCAAAAATAAATACCTAAATTGCAGCAGTAAATATATTTTATCTGGGGTGGGGTGGAGATTTTTTGTTATTTTGGATGATGCACAAAAGGTGTACTTTTCTCTAACTTTTTAAGAAAGATTTATTTATGTATTTAACAGGGTGACAGAGAAAGACATCTTCCATCCACTGATTCACTCTCCAAATGGCCACAGCAGCCAGGTCTGGGCCGTGCTAAAGCCAGGAGCGCCATCTGGGTCTCCCACTTGGGTGCAGGGGCCCAAGCACTTGGCCCCATACACTTGGGCTATCATCTGCCGCCTTCCAAGGCACATTAGCAGGGAGCTGGATCAGAAGCGGAGCAGCCAGGACTTGGACTGGCTCTCTAGGATGGGTTGGCCACTTAATGTGCTGCACAACACCAGCCCCTTTTTATATAACTATTGTGTTGATATCATTGCTTTAACTTTTCTCCCAAAATGCCCATTTTTACCCCCAAAGCATCATTTTTCTCCATTGCTTTAAAATATTCAGATGTTTTATATCCTTTGCCTATAATAAGATTTAGCTTGAGAATGATTTGCATCCTGTGTGGCTGAATGGTACTCCTTTGTTTTTCGAAACTGTGTTCTTACATGAGCTTTATGGGGAAAAAATATCTTGCCACTTAGAGAAGTGCTTGTGGGCCAGGTGTTGCGGCCCAGCGGCTGGGCCACCATTTGGTTTTGCCCATACCCAAAATCAGAGTGCTAGTTTGAGTCCCAGCAACTCTGCTTCTGAGCCAGCTTCCTGCTGATGTGCCTGGGAAGGCAGCAGGGAATAGCCCAAGTGTTTGGGTACCTGCCGCCCCGGCCCAGTCCTAGCTGTTGTGGGCATTTGGGAAGTGAACCAGTAGATAGGAGATCTCTCCCTGTCTTTCCCTCTCTCTGTCACTCTGCCTATTTTAAAAAAATAAATAAATCTTGCAAAGAAAAGTGCTAGAATTCAAGAGCTGTTAATTTGAGAAGACGGAAGTAATGGCTCCCCAGCCAATGAGCAAATTCCAGAGGTGGCGTGAACGTCTCCAGTGCAGAGGATGATGGAGACTGCCTCTGTCTGACGCTCAGCTGAGCCATGTTTCAGGATTTCCTAAAGCAGCCAGAGCTCTGCACTGTTCGTATGACTGTCTGATCTCTAGGTTTTAAGGGCAAGTCTAAACCCAATCTTCTAAAACAAGAAACCAGCAGCCTGGCCTGTTGTTTGAGGATCCTGTTTCGGATGTATGTGGATGAGAACCGCCGGGATTCCTGGGAAGAAATACAGCAACGACTTCTAACGTAAGAAGGCTTAAGGTCGATTAATGAGAACTGCTCGAACGGGGACGCAGGGACAGCAGGGAGCAGCCCCAGACAGAGAAGCAGGGCACTCTCACCCAGCTTCCCAACTTGCTGGACATCGGCACGATGCCGGGTCTGAGCCACCTTCTACTCCAAAGACTTAAAAACTGTAACACACGGCGCTGGTCAGACACCAGACACACGCCCTCCTGCAGGGCTGGTGGGGGGTGTACAGCGACCGGTCTGTAGCACACACCATGAGCCCTAACATGTTCCTTGTGTTTGACAGCAGTTCCACTCTTACAGAATCAGCTTCAGAAAACGTAGAAATAGCAGGATTTCTAGTGAAATATTCAGTGCAAACTTGCAATAGAAAAGTTTATAAACAGCTCAACTGTGGAATGAGTAAATTGTGGTCCAGCCTATGCTGGTATAGCTATAGCCATTAAAAATGAAGTTGAAAAATTAATTTTCCTAAGACTAAGTTTTACCCCCATTTAAAAAAAGCAAAATTATATTTTCTGGCCAATTTCAGCAATAGTTTTTAAGAATAGAAAAAAGACCTAGAAGGAAATAAGCCAAAGTATTGTCGTATATTCTTTAGGGTGATGGGATTATGCTTTTCTCCTTTATAATTTTTTGTGTGTCTGGTTGTCATATTACAATGAGAATATATGACAAACAAGTCAAAAGAGAGTTCATCAAAGGGGATAGCTCAGTGGCACATTTCTAAAGGAGATGCCCAGCTGTCAGAATTTTAGCATAGCATGTTAAAAGCCATTGGATTTTGAGAGGTGAGAAAGGAGTTACATGAGTGTGGACAGTAGTTCTTGGTGTGCTGCGAGCGGGGCCTGGCCAGGCCAGAGCGAATCTGTCCATCAGCATCCTCACTTCGTTTCGCCTTCCGCACAGCCCCTTAAGTTTGGTACGATTGTGCGTCCCTTTTATGGCTGGAGGAGCTGAGGCGCGGTGACGTGCCCAGGCGGTGCTGAGTGGACACTCGCTGAGGGGCTGGGTGGCGCCCTGACCGTGGGTGCTAACGCACCTGCTCTCGGCCCTTCAGGGTGTGCGGTGATGCTCTCGCCTATTTCATCACCGTGAATTCTGAAAGTCATCGGGAGGCCTGGACAAGTCTCCTGTTGCTGCTTCTAACCAAAACCCTCAAGATAAATGACGAAAAGGTAGGATCGGCTTTCCACCTTTCCCTTGGTTCTCCAAGGTGGTTGCCTAACAGGCCCATCCGGGTTCTTTGGAGAGAAGCTCATTCACTCGAGCCGCGGGTGCCTTTTTCTGTGGAGGACCTCAGCTGAGGAAGGCTGGCGTTTAAACACGCGTGCTGCTGCTGGGAACGGGGCGGTGGCTCAGTGCAGGAGGAGAGGGCTGGGAACCACCGGCGTAGACCTGGGAACTTAGGAAATGCAAGGGCTGGGTGGGCATCTGGCCGAGCAGTGAAGATGTCCAAGTCGCACATCAGAGTACTTGGATTTGAGTCCCATCTCTGGCTCCTGAATCCAGCGTCCTGCAGACCGTGAGACGCAGCTGTGCTGCCTCAAGTAGTGGGTTCCCGCCCCCGACGTGGGAGCTCCTGGTTCCAGCCCCAGCCCCAGCCCGGCTGTTGCAGCATCTCGGGAATGAACTCCCTGAGTGGGAGTTTGCTCACTGCCTGTCTCTGCCTCTCAGATCTTTAAGAGGAAGGAGCAGTTACTTTTGGTAGAAATGCTCTCCTAATATCTCTTTTTAAATATATTTTATTTAAGAAAACTTTTTTTAAGATTTATTTAGCTGAAAGGCAGAGATACAGAGAGACAGAGACATCTTCTACCTGCTGGTTCACTCCCCAAATGGCCGCCAACGGCTGGGGCTGAGACTGGGCCAGGCTGAAGCCAGGAGCCAGGAGTCATCTGGGTCTTCCAGTTGAGTGCAGGGGCCCAAGGACTTCGGCCACCTTCCGCTGCTTTCCCAGGAGCGTTAGCAGGGAGCCGGATCAGAACTGGAACAGCTGGGACTTAAACTGGCGCCCATATGGGATGCCAGCACTGCAGGTGGAGGCTTAACCTTCTGTGCCACAGCGCCAGCCCCTATCCTAATATACTTTTTTTTATAATATTTATTTACTTGAAAATAAATGAATGCGCATATAGGATACTGGCACTGCAGGTGCTGGCCCCAAGTGCCTTTTCTTGTGATTAGAAAGTCGCTGCAAAAATCTTGCAAAGTGAAGTGTCTTTTAATTAGATTTAACTTATTTTGTTAAAAATAGATTAGGGGGCCAGTGCTGTGGTGTAGCAGGTAAAATTGCCACCAGTAGTGCCGGCATCCCATATGGGCACCAGTTCAAGTCCCAGCTGCTCCACTTCCAATCCAGCTCTCTGCTGTGGCCTGGGAAAGCAGTGGAGGATGGCCCAAGTCTTCGGGCCCCTGCACCCACCTGGAGACCTGGAAGAAGCTTACCTGGATCCTAGCTTTGGGTTGGCCCAGGTCCAGCTGTTGCGGCCATTTGGGGAGTGAACCAGCGGATGGAAGATCCTCAGATCCTCTCTGCATTTGCCTCTCTCTTACTCTGCCTTTCAGATAAATAAATGAATCTTAAAGGGGGGGGGGGGCATTTTAAGAAGTTCCAGGGTGAGATGAGTACTTTTGAAAAACTGCTGTAAAAAGAGGCTGTCGCATGACTGACTTTGTCTCTCTTTCTTTCCCGTCTCAAGTTCAAAGCACACGCTTCGAGGTACTATCCCTACTTGTGTGAAATTATGCAGTTTGACCTGATCCCCGAGCTGCGAGCAGTGCTGCGGAAGTTCTTCCTACGGATAGGTGTTGTGTATAAGATATGGATTCCAGAAGAGCCACCACGGGTGCCAGCCACACTGTCCCCAGCGTGGTAGCCCTGGCCCCCGCGGTCCACTGCCGCAGCTCGGCGGAACACTCATCAGGCCGTGTCAGACGGGCGCATCGTGTGAAAGGTCCCACGGAACCCAGGAGGCAGCGTCTCCTCGGCTCTCAGGACGGCCTGGATAAGGATGACCTCTGCGCTGGCCTCGTCCACGTCCCCGGCTCTCAGGTGGGGAGCCGCACTCCGCTCTGCCGCCCCACGTCACCGACGGATCTGTCAGATCTGCGCCCGCACAGGCCGCCATTTCCTAGCAGGCTCCCGTCCTCGGCCGCCAGTGTTTGTTGGAGGAAGTCACTCTCCTGGAAAACAGTGACCATAGCTGTACAGTTCGTGACTATTAGAGAGTGTTAATAAAGTTTCTTGTCACGGCTATCCGCCGCCTCCCATGGGCTGGGCTGTTTGTGTCTGAGTGTGTAAGAGAAGTCTGAGTGTCTGTCAGGAGTCAGCCCGGGTTAGTCTGGGGGAGGGAGCAAAAAGAAGGGTCGTTTTTGTGCTTTGTTCCCGTCTGAGTGATTTTTACAAAGTGTTTGACAAAGACATTACTGAAGATTTGATTGAAGACAGAATTTAGAATTTAGTCATTAACTTAGTGCAATTAAAGAGCTTGCAAGGTTAAAAAATAATGTAGTGCCTCACGGCTCTCGCTGTCTTAGTGACTTGAGGAGAAAAAGTCCGTAGGAGAAGCCGGCAGTGGAAGGAAGGTGGTGAGCCTTCCTCCGAGTGAGTACCTGTGGATGGGGGTTCGAATCCCCGAGCAGTGTCCTTGAGCACGCTCCAAGGGCGAGTAGATGCAACAGGAATGAAAGTGAAGTAGTGACTCACCCAGACTTGACGTGTCTTTGAGTAAACCTTTTTATTTTTACCTCTGCAGAGTGCATGTACTGACGGTTAGCGTCACTGTGCGTGAACCCCCTCAGCCAGGAGGCGTGGGTGGAGCCAGGGCTGTCCTGGGGCAGCAGTGGGGAGGGCCCACGCTCAGCACTCGCGTTCATTTGCACCTAGGAGCTGAATTTTTGGGCAAGGTTGGATTCTCGGGTCTTTCTTACGTTCATGTTGGAGCAATACCCTGAGCTGCAGCAGAACCGGGTGCCAGTGCAGCTCGCGTACATGCGGGCAGGACGCACGCGCGGCCCAAGCCTGCGCATTTGATTCAGTCCACGTCTAAGAGAAAGAGAACACTCGCCTCACCGTCTGCCCTCGTCCACTGCTCACCTAGAGCACACGTGAGCGCTGGGGAAGTGTTCCCAGCACGACCGATGTCCAGTCTGCTGCCCACGCCCTCCCATAGCCTTGGAAACCGGGCTGTTTGCTGTCGACGCTGGTGCTTGGACGTTCGTCATCTGGGAGCCTGGCTGTCCGATCAGATCTCTCTTGCGTTCCGGAGGAGGCTTTCCGGTGCTTTTGCTCACCAAGAGACCCATTTCCCAAGTTCTTGTCTCATTTTATTTTGAGCAGCCTCGAGAAGTGGCTGGATGTAGCCGGCAGTATTCTTGTCTACTCGGTTCTTTCCCAAAAAGTGTTTTCATTTTTTTACCAAAGAGAAACAAGAGCAGGTTTCAGGTTTTCCGTCCTTGACCTACAGTGGAGAAAGGGAGCCGTGTGGGTTCGCAGGAGGGGACGCTGGGGGATGTGACTGAGCGAGGCTGGCACCGCGTGTCCCGGGGCCCCTGGTGGCTTTCACAGCTCGCCGCAGCCTCCCCAGGCCAGACGCCTGCACCGACACCTGGACTGGAGGCGTGAACGGGGACGCGCAGGTCTGCGCTGACGTCCGCCCTGCCCACGCCGCGTCCCTGCGCCCTCCTCCCCAGGTTTCAGCTGGAATTCTCCTGACCCGCGTTTTCCCAGCGTCTCTGACGCCTCCGGCAGGGTGGGATACGCATCGGTGCATTTTGTCACTTCCCGAAACATTCAGGCTTGGATTTCTTTCTGTCATTCAGAAGATTTCATTTTCTGAGTGAGGCATGCGAATTGTACCAGCAGTGGACTTTGTAAAAACTGGACGTAAACTCATTTTTCTCGCCAGTGGCCAGCGGGGGACGTCGCCTCCCGTAATAAGCCAAGCAGCTGTGACTCTTTTGTCGGTGTGATTCTGTCCTGCTTCGTCACGGCGAGCACGTGTGATGCGGACGCATTGGCTGCACAGCGTGGGCCTGGGTGCCGCTTGCCTGGCTCATGAAGGGCAGCACGGCGTTTACCAAGGTCTTATCTCTGCCTCGGAAAGCTCTTGGTGTTGGTTCTGCGCTCCAGGTGTCTAAGGGTTTTCGTTGCAATCCTGCTGCTTCAAGTCTGCGTCCTCACTGTTAGGAAACCACCAGCTTCGCCATCTTAACCCACAGTGCGCGGGAAAGCTCATTCCTAACATGCGCCTTTCCCCTGCTCTCCCCACGTACAACCAAAGAACGCAGGCGTTATGAAAATCGTATGATAGGATCTGGAAACACAGCACTTTCCTCTGACATGTGACTTTTGTACAAAATAAAAAAAAATTAAAACTTCTTTTGTTCTTTTATGGAGATGGCGAAACGTTTAGTAGTCTTTCCGGTGGTTAAAGGAGTCTGCTACAAATGCAAGCGCGACCGTCTCATTCAGAAGTCTCCTCTTGGTTTGCAGACAGACACCTGTTTCAGCAGGAGCTGGGCCCGCATCCTGCAGCTCTCGGGTGTGTTAGGGTCTGTGTTAAGGGAGACAACGACCTCGCACAAAGTCCTGGGGTTTTGCTGTCAGCAGTTTGCAATTCGGGGAACAAAGAAACCAAAGCTGAATGTATAAAAGGATGCATCTACCTGGGAATCCTTGCTCTTCAAGAAGGACACTCGTCGAAGGTGTAGTTCTTCTCAGTGTTCTAATTTTTACAAAATTTTATGTGCATATTTGCATCAAATATTTCTTTATGTGCAAAATGTATGTTTTACCTCCTTCAAATGCCTAAAAGTTAGTAGTTACTTTGATTAAATCTACACACAATGATTAAGTGCATTTAATATTGGTAATTTAATGAAAAGCATCCCCTGCCCAACGGATGTAAACATTTTTGAAAGAATAAGCAGAATTATATAATATGAAATGCTATGTAAAGTTTTCTATGTAAAAAATTATGTATAATACTGTTAAAATATCCCATGCTTTGATCAGGTGGTAAATCAATAAAGTTTTAAAAAGTAAATGTGTTTCTTTATTTTAAAACCCTTGTTTTTTTAAGATTTATTTATTTATTTGAAAGGCAGAGCAACAGAGAGATCTTGCATCTGCTAGTTCACTCCCCAAATGCCTGCAACAGCCAGGGCTGGGCCAGGCTGAAGCCAGGAGCCAGGAATTCCATTCTGGTCACCCACATGTGTGGCAGGAACCCAAGTCCCGGGGCCATTTTCTGGTGCCTTCTAGGTGCATTAGCAGGAAACTGCCACTTAACCTGCTGCACCACACCAGCCCCTAAAACATTTTTTAAGCGATCTGTTTGTTTATTTGAAAGCCATAGTTGCAGAAAGAGCAGGAGAGACAGAGGCAGATCTTCTATCCAGTGGTTCACTCCCCAAGTGTCTGCAAGAGCCAGGGCTGTGCAAGGCTGGCGCTCTGTCTGGGTCTCCCATGTAGGTGGCAGTCACTCAAGTAGTTGAGGCATCACCTGCTACCTCCCAGGATGCATTAGTAGGAAGCTGGAGTTGGAAGCAAAGGCAAGACTTAAACCCAAGAGCTCTAGTATGAGATGCAAGGCATCCCAAGAGGAATTGTTGATGTGGAGAATAATTTGTGAGTAAATATTTTTCAGTAAAGCTCCCTCACACACACAGTGAAAGAGGAGAAAAGTCCAGGTGTGAGAAGATTCTGTATATCTTTTGAACACATTTTAACTTATTAATTTTTTTTCTATTTTTATTTACTTTTTTTTTTTTTTTTGACAGGCAGAGTGGACAGTGAGAGAGACAGAGAGAAAGGTCTTCCTTTGCCATTGGTTCACCCTCCAATGGCCACCGCGGCCAGCGTGCTGCAGCCGGCGCACCGCGCTGATCCGATGGCAGGAGCCAGGAGCCAGGTGCTTCTCCTGGTCTCCCATGGGGTGCAGGGCCCAAGCACTTGGGCCATCCTCCACTGCATTCCCTGGCCACAGCAGAGAGCTGGCCTGGAAGAGGGGCAACCGGGACAGAATCCGGAGCCCCGACCGGGACTAGAACCTGGTGTGCCAGCGCCGCAAGGTGGAGGATTAGCCTAGTGAGCCGCGGCGCCAGCCAACTTACTAATTTGAGCAATGGTCAGTTCCCAAGAGGAGAAAACTGGACTGGCATTGACAGCAGGATTACGGAGAAGACTGGGGGGCACCCAACTGGGCATTGAGTAAGTGGAGGTGACCTTGGGGTTCACACAGGTGGTCACATAAGGCAGCAATAAAATCTAGGGTGGGGGTGGTGTGGGTTTTGTGGAGTAGCTGTGGCTTGGGACACCGCGTCTCCTCTTAGAATGCCCGGGAGGAACTCTTCTGCCTCCTTCCACTCCCGCTCCCTGCTGATGCACCTGGGAAGGCAGCAGGTGACGGCCCACGTGCTTGGGCCCTGCCAGCTATGTGGGAGACTTGGCTGGAGTTCCTGGTTCTTGGCTTCAGCTGACCCAGCCTTGCTGTTGCCGGCATCTGGGGAGCGCCCTGAGGGTAGAAGACCTCTCGCTCTCCCCTTGTCACGTTGTCTTTCAAGTACATCGAAGTGTTAAAACTTCAAACAAAAACCAAGACTTGCTCTTTCAGAATCCATTCTTCACTGTGAAGTCCGGCTTGGCTTTTGCAATGATTGTGCAGCTTCACCTGTCCTCTCTGTCGATCCACTGGCGTGCAAGTGCTGATCTCAGGGGTGCTACATTTCATGGGCTTCCGTGCAGAGCAGACTCCCTCCCTTGGGGAAGAGCCTCTCTAAGGAGACCTCCTCTCAGAGCATGTGGTGGATACCCAGGACAGTGGTTTTCAACCTGGGACAGATGGGACAGTTGGCGGTGTCTAGAGACACTTGCGGTTGTCACAGCAAGGAGGGAGAGTGGCCATGGGTATCCAGTGGGTAGAGGCCAGGGATGCTCCTCCTACAGCCGCACAAGGAATTAGCCCCAGGTGTCAGCGGTGCCAGGGTTGAAGACCAACAGAAGTGACTTTGTCCCTCCAGCAGCAGGACCCCAAAGCCACACTGTGGCAGGTACAGCCTTCTTTGACCTTCTGGTGAAAAAAAGAAAATGAAAACCGAAAACAGAGATCTGCTTACCCAACCTTTTCCGAAGGAGAGCATGCGGGGAACGCTGGTTCAGTTCGGGCCGCCTCAGCCGTGTGCGGGACGCCACTTGTCTGGCACTTGGGAAGGGAGCTGCAGGGTCACAGTACACTTGTGCCGTCCCTGCAGACGGAGATACCACTCGGGCAAAGTGTACTTCCTGAGGACGAGCGTGAGCCTGGGTGGTGTGCCTGTTTCCCGAGACGTCCGCATGGGCAGCGGTCGGTGCAGCAATTAAGATGCTCCTTGCAGCCGGCGCCGCGGCTCACTAGGCTAATCCTCCGCCTTGCGGCGCCGGCACACCGGGTTCTAGTCCCGGTCAGGGTGCTGGATTCTGTCCCGGTTGCCCCTCTTCCAGGCCAGCCCTCTGCTGTGGCCCGGGAGTGCAGTGGAGGATGGCCCAGGTGCTTGGGCCCTGCACCCCATGGGAGACCAGGAGAAATACCTGGCTCCCACCATCAGATCAGCGTGGTGTGCCGGCCGCGGTGGCCATTGTAGGGTGAACCAACGGCAAAGGAAGACCTTTCTCTCTGTCTCTCTCTCTCACTGTCCACTCTGCCTGTCAAAAATAAAAATAAAAAAATAAAAAAAAAAGATGCTCCTTGGGACACCCACACTCCATCCCAGAGCGCCTGACTCCAAACTGGGGATTCCAGCTCCCGCTAACGCACGCACACCTTGGGAGGCACCAGTCGCGGCCCCTGCCCCCGGGAGACCCAGAGTTCCAGGCTCCTGGCTTCAGGCCTGGCCCAGCCCTGGCTGTTGCAGGCGTTTAGGGAGTGAACCAATGGATGGGAGCTCCCTCCCTGCCTCTCAAGTGTTTTTTTTGTTTTTTGAAGAGGCGATTTTGTCTTTCTGAGAAAATGCCAAACCTTGCATAAATCTGCAGACTTCATTAACCTAAATCATGTTTGCTTAAAGGATTTCTTTTCATTAATGTTCAAGGAACCCATGTGTTCTAGGAAACTTCTTAGCTTGAGTGAATTTGAGCTGTGAGTGAGAAACAGGAAAAAGCAGCTCCCCGTCCATGGGAGAGGTCAGAGGGCAGATCGTGGGAGCTGGAGAAAACTGTGCAGAAAACCGTACTAACCAGACATTGGCTATAAGCAAACTGGCCTTAAAATTTATTTACTGGAGAGGCAGAGAGAACTCCAATCCACTGTTTTGCTCCCCAAATGCCCAGGACCTGGTTGGAGCCAGGGGTCAGCAAAGCAATCCCAGGACATTCGTGTGTGTCGTAGGAGCCCAGTTACCTGGGCTGTCACTGCTGCCTCCCGTGGTCTGCATTAACAGGAAACCACAGTCAGAAGCTGGAAGTAGGAGTTGAACCCAGGCACTCTGATGTGTTCCATGGTCGTCTTAACCACGAGGCTAAATGCCCACTTCAATAAGCAAACTACTGATACCGCTTTTCAAAATGTATCGTTCACTTATTTTCACTTTGACAGATCTCGCATCTGTGATTTCACTCGAAATGCCCACGACAGCTGGGTGACAGGGATCCAGGCGCTCGGGCCATTGCCTGCTGCCTTTGCAGAATGCATTAGCAGGGAGCTCAAAGCAGGAAGCAGAGCTGGGACCCAAACCCAGGCTCTCCTTGAAATTACTGCCTTAAAAACCATTTTATGGGGCTGGCGCTGTGGCATGGCGGGTAAAGCTGCTGCCTTCTGCAGTGCCGGCTTCCCATATGGGCGCCGGTTCTGGTCCCTGTTGCTCCTCTTCCAGTCCAGCTTCAGATTGGTGCAGCTCCGGCCATTGCGGCCATTTGGGGAGTGAACCAGCAACAGCAGACTTTCTCTCTCTCACTGTAATTCTACCTGTCAA